GAATATATGGAATTGGCGGAAATGACTGGCAGAATCCGTGACCAGGGAGAAGAGTCGGTGGAAGAAGCTTGGAAGAAATTCAAAGACTATTTACAGAAATACTGCAAAATTAATGAATGTTAGAATGATGTTGGATTGAAGTTAAGGGGTTTCTAGCTGTACAGGCTAAAAGAATATGGAAAAATTGGTTTTAATATGTAAAATCTAAAATTTAAAGCTATATTATATCAAGATTAAAGATTAGGATTAAAAAGGAGGGAAAGGAACTGTTGGACTAACATATTTAATTAGAATACAAAAGAGGGAGGTAAGAGGAGGTCCGAGAAACAAGTAAATGTAAAAGAAGTGAGGAAAAGATGAAATTGTTTTTAATTGTTTTTTTCCTTTTTTCCTTTGTATTTTTTCTTTTTATTGTTAATTTTTTCTTCATTAATGTGGTGTTTTTTTCTTGTGAAATTTTAATAAATATTATTAAAAAAGAGAGAGAGAGAGAAACATATTGATTCCAATGTTGCCTTTTGCACTTAAAAGGAACAAAATATCTGAAAAACGAAAGAAATTTTGTTGCTGCATTTGCTTTTAAAAAGACGGATACAAATAGAAAAATAGAAATTGTTTCCTCTAGAGGGAGCTTGTGAAACTGTTGCTGGAGTCGATCTGGGGAATTCTACAGCTGTAGAGATTAAAGATCGTGGTAACCAGACACTGACCTTGAACAAGAATGTGCCCAGAAGAAGCTTTAGTGTTGGCTTTTTGCAAGACAAGCGCTTTACTGGAACAGCTACATGAGAAGATGGATTTGATGACTGTTGCAGTTGGAAATTTTGGACAAACAGTGAATACCTATATAGAAACCACTCAGGAACCATCCCAGGAATGTGCTTTGACAGGGCAAGTTGTGAAGAAGATAAAGGAGGAGGTTGTTGCTGAACCTCAAGTAATAAAAATGGAGAGAGCTGCGGCCTTGCAGGAACATAAGTTGTTGTTTCTGACGACTGAACCTGGAGAAAATCAGATTTGGAGAGATGGAGTACTGTGATCTGGAGATGGGAAGCTGGATAGATCCCCCTATGCAGGGATGTTTTGACTTTTCGGACCTGGTTTTGGGCCAGGGGGAGTTTGGAGTTGTGGGGGCCCTTAACCTTGGAGGGACTTTGAAGCATGCTTTTAAATATCTTTTGGATTTCAGTGCTGACTATGGAGAATGGGCTGACTTGTTGAGAAGGGATAAAGATATTGTCAAGTTGGAGTCTCCCCGAGATCTACCCCTCAGTGAGAAAGGAAGGGAATTAAGAATAATATCAGCAGAAGATAAAGTAAAGTGCAGGTATAAACATGAAGAAGACCTGCAGAAGGGACATGGAAAAGACTTAAGAGCCTCGGATAGAAGGTCACCAGGTTGATGGACTAGATGGAAGGGATAGAAAGGACTGATAAAACCCGAGACCAGGAAGAAGAGACGATGGATGAAGATTGGAAGAAAGTTTTTAAAATTCATTTAGAAAATCATTGTAAAATTAATGAGTATTAGAAAAATGTTGGAATGAAACTATTTGGCTTTAGTAGAAATGTTAAAAGGAATTACGTATAAATAAGTTTTAAGTTTTAAGCTTTAGGGCTTTTTATGGTAAGATAAGGTTAAAATAAATTAAGGTAATTTAATGACAGAATATAGTGAAAGATGGAAAGGATTTGCTGAGATAATTAATAACTAGGAGGTGTGAGGAGGTCGATGAAACAAGTTAACGAAAGATAAAGATTTGGGAATATTGGATTTGTTTTTAAATTTTTTGTTTATTTTTGTTTTTGGTCTTGATGTATTGTGTGTTTTGTTTTTTCTTTTTTTCTTTTTATTGACTTGTATTGTTAAATTTTTCTTTTTGTTTATCTTTTTTCCTTTTCCTTTTTTTTCTCTCTGTAATTTTAAATTCTCAATAAATATCATTAAAAAAAAAAAAAGTATCCTGATCTTCAATCAGCACGTCGTCCTGTAGCTCTTTGTGATGAAATTCCAGTGCCACTCTTCGGAGAACTTCCTGACATTAGTGACGAAGATGCCTCCAGTGTTGAAGGACATGAAGAAGAAGTGGTTCTTGAAGATGATGCTCCACATCCATTTTCCCAAAAGGAGTTGAATGATCTAGTTCATGACCTCAGCTTGTCAAAGGACTCTGCCGAACTGTTGGCATCCAGATTGAAGGAAAAAAACTCCTCTCTGTCAGTGCTCGCATCAGCTTCTTCCGTAACAGGCATCAAGAGTACCTCCGTTTTTTCTCGGAAGAGAAGGACTTGGTGTACTGTGCAGATATTGCACAGCTTCTGCTCAAGCTTGGAGTGCCACAGTATGAACCCAAAGATTGGAGACTGTTCATTGACAGCAGCAAGCGATCACTGAAATGTGTTCTGCTACACAATGGCAACCAGTTTGCCTCTAAACCCCTGGCTCACTCGAGTACAATGAAGGAGAACTATGAAGTGGTGAAGTATGTGCTGGAGAAAATTGGTTATGATCAGCATAAGTGGTTTTTTGTGTTGACCTGAAGATGGTGAACTTTTTGTTGGGACAACAGTCTGGCTTCACCAAGTACCCATGTTTTCTGAGCATGTGGGATAGTAGGGACCGTGCTCAGCATTACACGAAGAAGGACTGGCCTGTGCAAGAGGAATTGGTGCCTTGCAAAAAAAGGAACGTCATCAATGACCCTCTGGTGGACAGAGACAGAATACTCTTCCCACTGCTGCACATCAAGCTTGGCTTAATCAAGCAGTTCACCAAGGCTCTGGACAAGGATGGTGACTGCTTCACTTACTTGTGCCAGGCTTTTCCAGGATTGACCATGGAGAAGTTGAAAGCTGGCATCTTTGATGGTCCTCAGATCTGTCAGCTCATCAGAGATCCAGAGTTCGGAAAGTCAATGAACGAAGTGGAACTGGAAGCGTGGAAGGCATTTGTTCTGGTAGTGAAGAACTTTCTTGGCAACAATAAGGCCAGAAACTACGCAGAACTTGTCAACAACATGCTGACTGCTTTCAGAAACCTGGGCTGCAACATGAGCGTCAAGATGCACTACCTATTTTCTTTTTTCTTTTTTTAAATGCTATTTATTAAAGTTTCAATAAAAGATTAAACATAAAACATAAAAAAGAAATACACAATTCAAAAATACACAATACATAATCCAAAAAAGAAAAAAAGAACAAAAAACAAAAGACAAAAAAGAAAAAAGAACAGTTAAGAACAATATCACCTTTTCATCTCCATTTTTAAATTTACTTATTTTCTGGACCTCCTCATACCTCCCTCTTTTGTATTCCAGTTCAAATTGTTTGTCCAGCAATTTCTTTCCCTCTTTTTTAATCCCAATCTTTAATCTTAATATAATATAACATTAAAGTTTTACCTCTTAAAAACCAAGTTTCCATTTCCTTAAACTATTTTCACATATGGACCGGTTTCCTGAGAACCTGGGTTCAATGAGTGACGAGCAAGGGGAGAGATTCCATCAGGACATGAAAGAGATGAAGACCAGGTATCAGGGTCGCTGGGACGCAGTCATGATGGCTGACTACTGTTGGACTCTGAAGAGAGACCTCCCTGCTGCTGAGCATTCCAGGAGTTCCAAGAAACGGAAGTTCAAGCCCTGAAGTTTGAAAAATGGTGAAGCAACATGCAATTTACGTGTACTTACCTTTATCAATGCCCACCATTCAGTTTACAGTAAACCTGACCTGATGGCGAGAAACGGATGCCATTTCCTGATTCAGCAGTGCAAAAATACCCTAAATCAGTTGTAGAAATCTAGACAACATTCAAAAAGTAAAAAATTGTTGCCCAGTGTTACACTTCCCTTAAATTGGAGGAGCTAAACCCTTGCAAGGAGTTCCAAGCAGAGAACTTGCCCCATCATTTCCCTCATAATCGTCGATCAGGATTTGTTTTCGTTTATGTTTAGGAACCTCAGTAAGAAAATTATTATGTGTCCAGCAATCTGGATTTGACTAAATCAAAGCAAAAGCCAACAATAAACAGTTAACTATTTATTATTTCTAAAACATACAGATAAATCAAAGTAAAATAAAGGGAAAGCCATAGGCCTTGCCACCTTACAGTGAAGTAAAGATGGAACAAGAAGTTGCCTTGGCAAATGTATTTTCCCAAACCTGTGTTTGCTGAGATAACAGATGTGAGTATGGATGAAGCATTTGCTCAAGAGAATCAGCTGGCAGGGAAGATGGTCAGCCCATTGCTTTCTTGCTGATTCTCCCCTACAAACCCATGGAAGTGGTACGAAGAGCCCTACGGGATCTAATCCAGCATCTTGTGGTCACAATGGATGAGAGACGCTCTGGGGGGAAATATATATAAGCAGCTCTGAGCTTCTTAGACGATGAGCAGGGCAGGTAAATCCTAGCTTGGGATTTGGATTTCTTTTTCTTTTTGGCTGAGGGCTTGCATAGCCATGGTTCATTCAGACCTGGCACGTCTGAACGAACCATGAAAACAAAATGGTTGGTATGTTTGCAGGCTCTGGGGGCAAAGCCACCCCAGCAGAGAGTGGTGGTGAAGCAGGAACTAGCTTTGCCTCTTGCCTTCCTGGTAGCTGGCCAGGCTGAGTTGACATCTATCACCCGAGATCCTTCCTTAACAAATGGCCAAGTCTGTCCGTCTGGCCTGAGGTAAGTCAGACTCACTCATGGCTGATCAGATAGGAAAATCTTCAGAAATTGGAAAAGAGTTCCAGATTCCAGGCTGCTGATGTGCCACACCTTATTAACACACCCAGGAATGTATGTAGGTTCACCAAGCAAATGTAGCTGCACACAGGTAGGTACACCAAGCCTAGCAAAAATGGACTAGTAACTTAGGTGGACTTCCTTGCAAGGGTGGTCTCTTTCCACCATATTTGCTTTGCCTCAATGTCTGGCTCCCCTTTTTTCTCAGGCTCTTCCAGACTAAATGCAGTGGTTGCCTCAAAGCAGTGGCTCCCTCAGAGTTCATCATGCGGGTGCTGGAAAACGTCTATCATGTCCACTGTTTCTCCTGCTGTGAGTGCGAGAGGCGGCTGCAGCGTGGCGATGAGTTTGTACTCAAAGAAGGGCAGCTGCTTTGCCGCAGTGACTATGAGAAGGAGAGAGACATGCTGAGCGCCATCAGCCCCGCTCCCACCGAGTCAGGTGAGAGGCAAGAGCAGTGAGACCTTCTTTGTAGGGATGGAGGCAAATGTCTCTGAGCATGGGCAGAGTCACCAATCCAGAGTCCTATCACCAGCTCTCGGGCATCTGAGGCCACATAAGCACAGTCCTATGTAGGAAAATGGATACCATGCCCTCCCACTCTAGTTCCAAATTTGCCATCCACAAAGCCCCCATCTGCAATCCAAATCACACTTCTGTGGGGCGGGGCAGGGGAAACCCAAGAAATTCAGGATGATTTACTTCTGAATAGCCATGCTTAAGAATGCAATGCACGAAGTTCCTGTTTCAACCAGTAACAACAAGGCTTTGTGGCATCCTCCTGTGAAGCTGCTGACCTTAGATAAGGGGCTAGAATGAACAGGTGCAACCTTAAAAGACAGAGGGTTGTACCCAAAGCTACTCCTACTTAGAGCAGACCCACTGAAATGAATGAACCTATGTTCTAACATGTTCCTGTCCATGCAGCAGGAGCCTGAGGGGCACCCTCCTCCAATGTGTGCATGCCATGTCTCCACTCGCACTCGGTCCAGGCCTCCTCCGCTGCGCCATCTCTGCACCCATCTCACTGCTTGCATGCAGCACTGGCTCACAGGAGAGGCAGGGGCCATGGCATCCTCCCAGCGGAGGCAGTGCTCAGCTCCTCAGAATGGGGCAAGGGGGCTGTCGCAGCCGACCCTCCTATGAGCCAAGGTGAACCGACTGCCTCAGGCAGCAGAAGCCCACCAGGCAGTGTTCAAACACACCCGCCAGGGAAGCAGAACCAACAGTGGCAGCGGAGTTTGGTGAGATCTCACAAGAGTTCTCTAAAATCTCATGAGATCTTGTGCAGAGCATGGGATGTCATGAGATTTTTGTGAGCTCTCACTAGAAGCAGGCACGGCTGTTTTGCAGTTGCTGCCACGCAACCCAGGCAAGGCAGGCTTCGGCCGGGGGGGGGGGGCAGTTGCAGAGCTGCAGTGGGGCAGCATGTTCCCCTTGGCCACAAGTAGCAAAATGCAACGTTGAGCCTCTGGTGGCAGCAGTTGGCTCAATGCCACCTCAGCCTGACATCTTCAGGAGAAGGCTCAGGAGTAAACCTGACACCAATCTGGAGTGGAGTCCCTTCCGGCAACTCCTGCCACCAAGCTGGTGCCAAATGTGTTGCTCTGCTTTCCTTTGGACCACCTCAGCAAGGCCAAGAGGGGGTCTTGTCATCTGGACAGTCCAAGACCTCCATCCACACTGCCCAGGCTTGTGCCCCAAAGAGACCATGCTTGTTTGTTGCAGCAAAAGCAACAAAAATCTTGCGGCCCCTTAAAGATGAATCAGTTTTTTAATGCCATAAGCTTTTGCAGCATCTGACGGAATAGACTCTGGTCCACAAAGGCTGGTGGCATTTAAGGTGCCGCCTCAATTCTCATTTGTAAGGCTTCTCATTAAGATGAAATAAATAGGAGACCTAGCCAGTATACGTGCTAGCAATGCTAATTTACTGGTATATTTTCCCTGGGGGGCTTCCAGATGTTGTTGGACTCCAACTCCCTTGGCCAACCGAAGGATAAGGGGAGACATATTTTGGCAACAACTGGGGAGCTGCAGGTTCCCCGTCCACAGCACAGATCCCTGAGGCAGGGGCTCCCATGAGAGAAGTGACCATGAGGAGCGCCTGCATTTCTTGAAGGGGGCAGGACAGAGAAGCTGTCTCCCACTAGGCACCCAATGTGGGGGGATCCTGAGTCTGGTGTTTTCCTTTTCCCTTCATAGTGAAGAGTGAGGATGAGGATGGGAGCCACCCGCAGGGCAAAGGCAGCGAGGAAGCCAAGGACCACAAGCGCTCCAAGCGGCCACGGACCATCCTCACCACACAGCAGCGCCGTGCCTTCAAGGCCTCCTTCGAAGTCTCCTCCAAGCCCTGCCGGAAGGTCCAGTATCACGGAAGATCCCTTTGCATGGGGGGGGGGATAAGAGAGTTTCCCCGCCCTCTCCTCCTGTCCCCCCTCCCCATTGGCTGTTGGGGGTGGGAGAACCCCCAGAACACCCGGGGGGTCAGGGGAGAAGACGGCAGATTGTTGCCTTAGGCAAGCAGTAATGTTTGCACGGAAAAAGTGGCGTAGCAATATCCTGAATTCTTCCCATAGGATTGGGGAGAGATTAATTTTAGTTCACATTTTGATATCAACCTATCTTTTAATGCAAACCTCATTTTAATGCAAAATATTACATGAACTGAAATGCAGCTATTCATCAAAATTCATTCAGCTCTGATCCAGTTCTCCAACTAATGTGTCAAAAAATGCCTATATATATATATATATATGGAGAAAGTGTGCAATTATTAGTATTAGTATTGTATACCACCCATCTGGCTGGGTTTCCCCAGCCACTCTGGGCAGCTTACAGCATACATAAAACATAGTAAAACATCAAACATTCAAAATGCATTTGTTGTCATCAATTTATTAATTGCCTTCTAAACCTCCATTCAAGGCAATAAGATAATTTTTAAAAGTTTTTTAAACAAAACACTTAAAGCAAGACGCAGACCACAACAAGCCCACACTCAGCTCACAGAATCATAGAATCTGAGAGCGGGAGGGACCAGCCAGTGTCATGTCGTCCGACCCCCCCAATGCAGGCATCTCAATATGCAACCCCCCCATCCAATTTGAAACCAGACCAGACCCTGCTTAGCTTTGCAAATGTTAGGGGGGAATTGTTTATAAAAGTGTCTGTTAGGAGAAACGTCACTAAACTCTGACAAAATTTCATGGGAACTTTGTGCATTTTTAAACAAATCACAAGCTGGAAATGTGGAGAACTGAATTTAAGACTGGAAGATAAAAATAAAGGGTGAGAGACCAACATTAGTTTTGTCGATCCCTACCCGCAGACAATGTTGTAGGCCATGGGTAGGCAAACTAAGGATCGGGGGCCTGATCCAGCCCAATCACCTTTTAAATCCAGCCTGTGGACGATCTGGGAATCAGCGTGTTTTTACATGAGTAGAATGTGTGCTTTTACGTATTTAAAATGCATCTCTCGGTTATTTGTGGGGCATAGGAATTCATTCATTTTTCTTCTTCAAAATATAGTCCGCCCCCCCCCCACAAGGTCTGAGGGACAGTGGACCAGCCCCTGCTGAAAAAGTTTGCTGACCCTTGTTGTAGGCTGAACAAGCCCCACTTTCAGCCCTGAGGAGTTGGAGGCGGGTAGATTGCTTTCTTTTAGCAATCAGGTGTGGGGAGAGGAGAACCTGCAAATCCTTTGGCAGCGCATAGCATCTCTTAGCCCCAACCTGAGAGGGATGGAACTCTTTTTAACCAGACGCTTTTCCACTCTCCACGCTGGGCAGGTGAGGGAGACGTTGGCAGCTGAAACAGGCTTGACTGTTCGGGTGGTACAAGTTTGGTTCCAGAATCAAAGGGCCAAGGTGAGTGATGGCCTCAGAGCTTTACATTTGAGTGGCAACCTATCTCTGACTAAACAGGAGGAAGGAGAAGGGGCATCTCTCCCTGCCAGAGTCGGGCAGGGGAAGGGGGTGCAGTGGGGACGGGCCGCCCCAGGTGTCACCACTGAAGGGGGTGACAAAATGTCGGGCGGCACTCACCGCGGGGCCTGCAGCGCACCCAAGCCATGCGTCTCTCCTGGGAGTGACACAGTGGCTTCGGCGCCCGCAGGCTCCACGCTACCCCAAACGGTCTGACGGTGCCTCCCCCACAGCTGTAGGGCGGCCGAGTGGGAGGAGGCAGGCAGACCCCTTGGAGGCCCCGCAGAGCGTCCTGACCCAGCTCGCCCTGCCCCCGTGGGCAGCTGGTCCCGCCCCTGGGCACAGGGCACGCACGCCTCCCAGGCGCCCAATCGGCTTGCTCCGCCGCTGGCCAAAGTTATCCAGGGCTGTGAGGCTGGAACTCTCTCTTTTTTTTTTTAAATGATATTTATTAAAGTTTCAAAAAATAGAAGAATTGCACAAAAACAAAAAGTAAAAATACAAGGAAATACAAAATACAGAAAAAAGAATAAAGTTTTTAAGATATAACAAAAAAATGAAAAATAAAAAGAAACATACAAAATAAAACAGTTAAAAACACGTTAATTTTCCATAGCCTATCTTCCTTACACTTATTTCCCCGGACCTCCTCGTACCTCCCTTTTTTGTATTCCAGTTCAGTTTGTTAGTTCAGCAAATCCTTACCATTAAGCTTTTACCAATTTGTAAACCTTTTTTTCGTATCTCTTAAAGCATTACAGCTGGAAACCACTTAGTTTCTATCCAACATCCTTCTAAGATTCCTTAATTTTACAACATTTCTGTAAATAGTCTTTAAATTTCTTCCAGTCTTCTTTCACCGACTCTTCTCCCTGGTCTCGGATTCTGCCCGTCATTTCTGCCAATTCCATGTAGTCAATCACCTTCATCTGCCATTCTTCCAGAGTGGGTAGATCTTGTGTCTTCCAATACTTTGCAGTGAGTATTCTTGCTGCTGTTGTAGCATACATAAAAAAAGTTCTGTCCTTCTTTGGCACCAATTGGCCGACAATGCCCAGAAGAAAGGCCTCTGGTTTCTTCAGAAAGGTATATCTAAATACCTTTTTTATTTCGTTATAAATCATCTCCCAGAAAGCCTTAATCCTTGGGCACGTCCACCAAAGGTGAAAGAATGTACCTTCAGTTTCTTTACATTTCCAACATTTATTATCGGGCAAATGATAGATTTTTGCAAACTTGACTGGGGTCATGTACCACCTGTATATCATTTTCATAATATTCTCTCTTCTCTCTTATAATTTCATAATATTCTCTCTTAAGGCATTACATGCCGTAAACTTCATACCTGTGGTCCATAACTGTTCCCAGTCAGCAAACATAATATTATGTCCAACATCTTGTGCCCATCTTGTGCCCATTTAATCATAGCAGATTTCACCGTTTCATCCTGAGTATTCCATTTCAACAGCAAGTTATACATTCTTGACAAATTCTCAGGTTTGGGTTCTAACAGTTCTATTTCTAATTTTGATTTTTCCACCTGGAAGCCAATTTTCTTATCCAAATTATATGCCTCCATTATCTGATAATAATGAAGCCAATCTCTCACTTTGTTTTTTAGTTTCTCGAAACTCTGCAATTTCAATTTGTCTCCTTCTTGTTCCAAAATTTCCCAATATTTCGGCCATTTGGCCTCCATATTGAGCCTTTTCAGAGCTTTCGCTTCCATCGGTGACAACCACCTTGGGGTTTTATTTTCCAATAAATCCTTGTATCTTATCCAAACATTAAACAATGCTTTCCTGACAATATGATTTTTAAATGCTTTATGTGCTTTGACCTTATCATACCATAGATATGCATGCCATCCAAATACGTTGTTAAAACCTTCTAAATCCAAAATGTCTGTATTTTCAAGAAGTAGCCATTCTTTCAACCAGCAAAAAGCTGCTGATTCATAATAAAGTTTAAAATCTGGCAGGGCAAATCCGCCTCTTTCCTTTGCATCAGTTAATATCTTAAATTTTATTCTGGGCTTCTTGCCCTGCCAGACAAATCTAGAAATCTGGAACTCTCAGGCCTCTGAGCAACACACAATCCCTGACCATTATTAAGAGGAGGAACACCTTTGGCTGTCAAATTCTGGCTCTTATCCCAAATAGGCCCCTAAACGTTTAGAAAGGTGGGCTATAAATGCTGAAACAAACCAAGAGCGCACACTTTTGGCAATTGCAGCTGTGCTCTCTCCATTCCTAGAGCACAACTGCCTATGCTTTTGCCTTGGCAAGGGCTCCTGTGCCAGGCAGAAATTCACCAGGTCTTCCTCTCAGCATTCCTACTTATTCAAGCTGGAATTCCTGCACTTGTTGAATTTCTGCCTGTCAGGAAGCTATTAAGGGCACAGGAACTGTACAAAAACCCAGCAAAAAAGAAGTGGCAACCCTTGCTGAGTCTGGTGTTTTAGAGTTGCTTTTAAATGTGGGTGCAATATGAATCAGTGCCAATTTTATTCACTGGCCCAGCAGCAATGCCTTGAGCTGTGGTTTCTGGTCTGCAGGAAGTAGCCAGAGAACAATATTTATCTCCCTGTTGTGGAAAACCACATCTTTTGCTATTATCGAAGATAATTCATTACACTTCAGCCAAAGTTCTCTGAGCAACTTTACAGAGCAGCATCATGCCTGCTGACTTCCTCAGCTTAAACCATGGTTAAAACTTAAGGAGTAGTCTATCTTAAGGGGCCGTCTTCCTTCCTTCCTTCCTTCCTTCCTTCCTTCCTTCCTTCCTTCCTTCCTTCCTTCCTTTTCTTCTTGGCAGCTGGCAACCTTAGTTGGTGCAGCAGTGGTGGGAGGGGAGGAGAGCATCCGATGCAAGGCAGGTGCAGGTGCGTGGCACTGGCCTCGGAAGGGGACAGACCCCCTCGCCCCAATTTAGGAGGGGGATTCTGTCCTCCCTTCCCCCTTTTGTTGCACCCCTGCCCAGGAGCATCCGTCCTCCTCCTTGCAGATGAAGAAGATCGCCCGCAGGCAGCAGCAGCAGCAGCAGCAGGAGCAGGAGCAGCTGGGCAATCCACGCCTGGGCACCGGAAGGGGGACTGGAAGGAGCAGCAGGCAAAGCAATGAAGACAGCGAAGGTGAGAATCTCTGGCGGAAACTCGAGGGCACCTGAGTCCCTTGGTGTCAGGAGCTGGAGTCAGGCGGAGGTCAGCAACAAAACAATAAAGCACCGATGTCAGTGAAGTTAACTCAAAGAAACAAAACATCTCAGGGCTAGTGGTCACAGCAACGCTTCCCAGCAGGTCTTGCCCCAAAGAAGCCATTGCAAGGACTGAAGGTCCCTGCCTTCCCACCACTCTCTGAGGCTCCTTCCCCAGCAGCCAAAGGCTCCGTTAGTAATTACTATAAACGAAAGAGAAATACAGTGCATCTCACCATGAGACCATGAACAGGTGAGTGCCTCTGTGTGCATCTGCTCAGTTACAGAACAGTAACCTTTGTTGCACATTCAGTGGGAGAGCAAACATACCATTTTTGTAACTTGCAGTCTATATTTTGGCCCTGGTTTATGCCATCAAAATAGTGTATTCTAATTAAACAGCTCTGGGTCCCGTCCCGTCCCGTCTGCCACCCCACCCCCACCCCCACCCCAGGATTGGGTTACTGTAGAAGAATAGGAATCTGTGCACAAAATAGAAATGGCTTTAACTCACCAGTTTACATTTGGGATTGTGTGTGTGGCATTGTGAGGATACTGGCGCCTCCGGAGAATCTGTGGCCCTTCAGATGTTGGTGGACTGCATCCCATCATCTTTCTGCTGGCCCTGCTGGTGGCCGGTGCTGATGGAAGTTAGAGTCCCACAGCACCAGAGGGTCAGTGGTTCCATCCCCACCCACCCCAGTGTTAGAGAGAGCTACAATCCCCAAGATTCCCTGGAGTGAAAGTAAAGTGTGGACAGGCACACAGAGCTCTGAAGTCCTATCAAAAGCTTCATTTGACTTCTGAGGAATCAGCAGTCTCCGCTCATACTCTGCAGCTGTGAGGGACAGAAACTTGCTTTAAAATAAATTAAAATGAAATACTGGTTATCAGGAGATGGCTATACATGGCCTTCCAAGTTGTCTATTCACAACAAAGATATGCCTGGAACAGCAATTATTGATCATAGCAGCAAACCTGCATTCCCCAATGTCTGTCTTTTCCCCAGGCTTGGCTGTTTTAAGTGCTGTTTCAGAGAGGATGTGAGAGCCAAGTATTTAAAAAAATAAAACAGCTTTTGAGAGGACAGAGTAGTTTCAGTAACTTAGTTGTTACTTAAACACACACAGAGTGTTATTACTAAATCCAAAGTGTTCGCTGATAGGCTTCCCCCCTTCTTTGCTTCAACAGATGGTGCCAGTGTGCATGGAATCGAGGGTCTGATGGTGCCATACTCCAGGATTGCCCAACAGCAGCTGCTTCCCCTGGATCAGAACAGCTACAGCACAGACTTGTACCGGCAAGGACTCACCCCACCCCAGCTGCCAGGAGACCATCTCCACCCCTATGGTGAGCTTCTCCGAGGAATCTGCTATGAGCATATGCTGTGCACCAGACCCCTCTGTCACACTTTTCCTACAGATACATAATACTCCTGCACAGTTTTTTCTGCCAGTGGGTGCATAGCAGAAGTAAAAATCTCCCTCCATGGATGTTGGTGGCAAGGAAATGAATAGGCATAAAAGGAGAATTCCCTGGATGCCAAGATCCAAGTCTGGGGCAAGCACTCTTTGATGAGAGAACCTAGGCAGAAATTTAAAATCACAAAATATGCAGCAAAGCATGGGAATATAGACTGTTAGACCTTTAAAATAAGCCCTTAGAAGTTCCAAAGCTTCCTTCTTCCCCTAGCATAGATTAAAAACCACACATTTGGTAAGTGAAAAATGGTTTACTTACAAACTCTCCAAAGGTCATATTCATGTTCTTTTCCATACAGCATTCAAAAAAAGTTGCACAGGCAGTAAAACCTAGTTTAGTTACAGTGGTGAAAGTTCCTAAATTATTGGGTATAGGAACTCAAGAGAGGCTTGTAAGAGCCATGTGGTCTGAGCTGCAACAACCAGCTCAAACCTCCTCACACACTGAGCTTCTTAGGTAGATGGAAGGGAACAAAGGCTTGACACTTAGTTCCTCCTAAGGTGAGCTAAGCCTGTCAGGACAGCTTACTCTATAGTCCTAACCCTTTCATGCATTAAACATGTTGGTTATATGAGGCTGGTTATCCCACAGGATGTTCATGACACATGGTGTATGTGACCTGTGAAAGTTAAATAATTATTTTTACAGTGGCCCTCAAAATGAAAGACCGAAGACGGAAATGGCCCTGGCTGTGCCTGTTGCTGTTCCTCATCTTTCTTGCTTCCGAAGGCCACACCAGACATTTAAAACAGTATCATGCCACTTTAAACAGTCATGGCCTTCCCCAGAGAATTCTGGGAACTGTAGTTTGCCAAGAGTTGTTAGGAGACCCCTTTTCCCCTCACAGAGCTACAATTTTCAGAGTTCCCCTGGGAAGAGAGATTGATTTTTCAACCACCCTGAGAACTGTAGCTCTGTGAGGAGAAAAGGGGTCTCCTAACAACTCTTAGCAAACTCCAGTTCCCAGAATTCTTTGGGGAAGGCCATGTCTGTTTAAAGTGGCGTGATACTGCTTTAAAGGTATATTGCAGATGTGGCCTTTGGGGGGATCCATGACGGCTTAAAGTGGCATGGTGCCTCTTTAAAAGTGATGGGGCCAAAGTAAGATTCCCTGAGGGCCAAACTGAATGTTGGCCTCTTGTTTCTACTTACCATTTTTGTGAGAATGTCGCCATTCACCGAATGATGTCCATGTGGCTTTCAAAATAACCAACACTCATTTTGTTTCAAGTTATATCCTGGTTCATTCCAGTGGTGGCGTTAAATGGGATCAATGGTGATGGTGTAAATGCCACTGTGCTTTGTTTGCCATTGGCGTTTGCCTGTGAAAGGGGAGCTGAGGAATAAATTAGCCAACAGGCAAAGCCATAATGGTTTAAGAGGAGCGAGAAGAGTGTACAGATAATCACAAGGCTTTTGACTGGACCTTTTGCTCATATTGCTTAGAAATGTTTTTAGATGTGCTTGGGTGTTTTGAAATGTTTTAGTTGGTCTTTAAAATATTTTTAAATATATATATTAAATTATATTGCTTTAACTTGCTGATGTTTGTCATCCTGGGCTCCTTTGGGAGGAAACGTGGGGTAGAAATTTAATCCTCCTCTCTCTGTGGGCTCAGTTGGTACCAGCAGGAAGAGGTGGTAGCAGCCCCACGACCATGGCCACTGTCAAAGGGGAGGGGGTCTCCTTCCCCCTTCTTTGCCCATAGATGGCTGGTTCATTTACCATCTGACCCAGAGGCCCACTGGGGTGCAGGTCCCAAGGACACACCAAAATCCAGAATAGTTCCTGTTTTTGTGGCACCTTTTTTTTCCCCAGAGGGAGAGGAGGCTGGCCTTCTGCCGCAAGCCCTCTGCCCGCTTCCTTGTGAAATGCTTGTAAGCAACTGTCCTTCTCTTTCCGCACCCTAGATTCAGAAGGCGTCTTCCATGACATGGACAGTGACACCATTGGCCATTTGGGTGACTGCCTGCTGTCAGCGGCTGAAGCCAACCTCCTGCAGACCCGAGTGGGCAACCCCATTGACCGGCTCTACTCCATGCAAAGCTCCTATTTCACCTCCTGACCGTGGGGACGTTCCTGGCTCTTCCACCTGATCTATGCCACTCTGGGCTTAGAAGTGTGGAACAGCACGGAGGAGCAAGCCCGTTGCATTTGGAAGGACTCTTTGGACCCTGCAAAGTGAAGGAGGCATGCAAGGCTGCCCGGCATTTGAGGGCCAAGCCTTAGGTGCTGAAGTTGAGTCTCAGAGGACTTTGCTGCACTGCCTCTCCCCTTGCCCTTCACCCAGTGTCCTAGAGACGGACAATTTCACATTGTGTAGCTTGTATTTCTAGCAGTGTGTTTTTGTGCTTAAACTGTGTAGGGCATTAAGGCTAATTTGATGCATCACCAGCAGGGACGGGAGACCTGGCTCATGCTGGGAACAAGGTTTCCAGGGCCACTGGGCTGCTTTTCATCCAGCTTCTTGTTCCTTGTTAATACTCTGCAACCTTGGCACAACTAAGAGCTTACTTTTCAGGAACATGAGGAGTCTGAGAGGTGCTTTAGAAACATTAGTTTAGTTTTATACTTTAACTATTATGCCACTCTAAAGAATTATGGGAAATGTAGTTTGCAGAAGGTCCTGAGAGTTCCCCACTAGAGCTACTTAAACCCCCCTCCAGAGAGGGGAAATGAATGTTAAACTAGATATGATTATAGTGAAAACATGCTCTTAGATTCAAAGTGTCCCAAGCATCTCAAAGAGAGGGTCCAGAGCAGGGGTGGGGAATCTGTGGCCCTTCAGAGGCTGCCAGACTGCAATTCTCATCAGCTCTTGCCAGCATGGCCCAATGATCAAGGATGATGGCAGCCAGAATCCAGCAATTGCCGGAGAGCCACTAGTTCCCCATCCTTGCTGCAGATGGAAGGCAGTTTTGCTCTCTGTTCATCCTTCGACTCCCTTGCTCTTGAACAACTCTATCTTCTCTTTAAGCTCTGCCCCAAATACTTTCCATTGGCCACTTGATGCTTGCTGGAGATTTCACACAATATATTCCCTGCAGGATGGTTTCATTAGCCAAGGCAGCACTACAGACCTCAGAACAGTTCCTTCCATCATCATAGCAGCAAAAAAAACTGGATCCTCTTGTCCTGTTTAAAAACCTCCAAGGAAGGAAAGCCTACCACCTCCCAAGGGAGACTGTCCCACTGTTGAACAGTTCTGACTGTCAAAAAGTTCTTCTTGGTGTTTAGTAGAAATCTCCTTTCTTGTACCTTGAATCCAGAGCAGGAGAAAACAAGATTGCTCTTCTTCCCTGTGGCAGTCCTTTAGATATTTGAAGATGCCCCGTGTATCTCCTCTGTGATTCACGATGATCCATTGCAGGTTACAAAATCATTATATGGAGGGAAGCCCCTTTTGTTGCAGATGACCTGTGATGTGCCTGGGCAAAGCAAATATCTGGAATGTGCCAGGAGGCAAATGATCTTGTATAGAAATGTCCAGTACAAAACCAGACCTCTCTTCTAGACTGGCCACCAGCATCAATGCTGCTTTATAAACAGCTCTATATATATAGTTCATATTTATCTGCAGATCAGTGTTTCAACAACAACAAAGGTGAAAAGAGCATCATTAGACATGCAGAGGCCGCTGAGATGATCTTCTGTCAAAGTCATCTGGTTGTTTTTTTAAGGCAGGTGCCCTTTTACATGCAAGTAATCCGTCCTAGTTTAAATACATTTTGACGAGGGGGGAGGGTTTTGGGAGAAGGAAGGTTCCCCAGTCTGAGTGACCTATGCGTGGGCATGTTGGAAGGGCTTCCATCCCCCCCCTGCCCACAACAGAAAGTGTGTGGTTGTTATGTGTGGGGTGGGAGGTAGGGGCACAACTTCACTCTCCCAGGCACCCCATGTCCTCTCAGTGAGTGAATCCTGTGCAGGTGTACTCCAGTGTATTACCCATTGAGCTAAATGGGCTTTCCTTCAGGTGTGTCCAGAACAGCAGATCAATCTGTAATGGTTCACTGTAGCCAAGATGTAGGATTGTGCTCCCAATGGACAGTGGGAAAAGCAATTTGGTTGTTGTGAGCTCTGAATATATCTACTTGTTGAACCACCACTTGTCACACATTACTCTAAGTTGAGCTTGAGAGGGAGACTACAGAGAAAGAGGGCTCCTAGCCTGTCCCTGGGCTGCCTGGGGAGCCTGGCTTCGCCACCAAGATGTGCATTTTGGCTCATCAAATGCCAGCTCAGCTGCCTGTTTTGACCATCTCCCAACGCTTCCAGCAGTCTGACCACATTCTTGGTGTTTGGTTTTAATTACTGCATCATATATTTACACCTTCCATCATCATCTTGTTTGAAAAGTTGCAAAATCTGTTGCAAAAACTGCAAGTGCAAGCGGGGTTGTGAGATCGCACAGCAAGCTTCTGCTGGACACTTCCAGAACATTTACCCCCAAAGCCTAACTGCAGAAACAACCAGCACTTTTATCATGAATGTGGCGACAGCACTTCCAGATGGGCCCTACTGCGCTCTACATATTCTGTTTTGTCTTTAGGCAGAGAGACCTTGTTCTGACAGTGCTTGAGCAAGGGCCTTTTAAAAACTGGAAGCCAGAGGTTCCTTGGAGTCCCCACCCCCTGCTCAGTTGAGTTCATGCGCTGCTTGATGTGCCCCCACCAACTGTGAGCCCAGGACAATTAACCCCTCCAGAAAGGCTCTACCTGCAGCTGGGAGCCACAGGAGAGCTTCTCAGAACCTATTGCCTAACTGTGGTTCCAAGCTGCAGCCCACAATCTACTTATTTCTGCTTGGACGTGTGCTAAAGTTACAGTTTGCATCCTGTTACACACAGTGGTCTCCCTGTCTTCAATGGAAGTTGCAGGGTTGCAGCACACATGGTGTAACCAAAACAGAAAGCTTTCTTTCATGGGTCAGGAAGCTGTGGACCTCCAGGTGGACTACAACTCCCATTGTCCCTGTCACCAATGGCCATGCTGGCTGGAGCTGATGAAAGTTGAGAGTCCAGCAACATTTGCAGGGCCACAATCCAGTGGGGCAGGAGGAGAACCTTGCAAACCCCAACAGAATGAATGGTTGAAGGTCAACACAGAACACCCTGCTGAGTGGCACCCTCTCTGTAGTGTTCCTCTCCAGCAGAGGCATTTGCTCTAGATTTTGGGTCCAGAATGAGCTTTTGAAAGAGTTTCTATCCATCCGAAGCACACATTGGCCAGTGTACTCCATATACAAGGCCTGTTTGGGGAGGGATAGGGGAGACCCTTACATTTTCATACCCGTTGTAATCTAGTGTTGTGCTGTGCTGTGCAGGTGTCTTTGCATGTGCATTTGGAAATTAAACAAGAACAAAAACTCAAAGCCAAGCTTGCCTACATAAACTGTCTGCACTTTCAGCTCTTTTGAGATTCAAGCCAATTGGTGAAATCCCACGGGTGTGTGTGTGTGTAAAAGAACAAATAATTGTGCTCTTCAACGACAGTACTTGTTGCGCTATCTCACTGGCATGGGCCAGCCTACTAAAACACAGAGATGATGCACCATCTAAGCTGGTGCTAGTTAGAAGAGAAACCCTCTTTCCCTCGGATCCGGCCTGCACAACCTGGGTCCCAGAAAGCCGACTGCAGCCCACCAGCCAACAATGGTTGCCCTCCAGGGACCTGCTTTTAAAAAGTGAGGCAGTACCACAGGGGAGTTGACAGGCCCCCAGCCAGCTGCATCATACGGCTGCACCTGCCTTGATGAGGCACAAGTTGTGCAGGATCCTCAGAGCGGATCATTGATTAGGCTAGGTAAGAGTGTGAAGCAGCCCACCCCCCCCCCCCCGCGATAAATTTCATCCTCGGGAAACATCTTGAACTCCTGGCTTTGATTCTTTGCTCTGTCCAGCTCCTCCGCTCTCCTACGCTCAGACCCAAGAGCCTTGTCTTGCTTTCGGCTGGACGTCAGCCAGTCAAAACCAACGTGCATGGAATGCCGTTCCCCCAGCGCCCTGAGCCCGTCTCACAGAGAGGCATTCATCTCCCCCGAGGAGCCCGTCGACACCAAAGGCTGTGGTGCTGATTAATGGGCATGCTCAATAGCGAGCGAGAAACGGGGTGTAAAATGAGGACATTTTTCTGGATGAGGAATTAAAGGCAGAGCTGGCCATGAACTTGCTCTGATCTGGGCTGTGTCCACATGCAAAGTTCCACTCGGGGAAGAGGTGACAACTGACAAAGCCGCTTGGTGCCATGTTCTCATCCAGTCTGACTCCACAACTTTGGGGCAGAAGGGATGGGGGGCTGAAACTTTGGGGCAGAATACATGGGGATTGACATACATGACTGCATATGTGAGTGCAAGAATCACACCACCGAGTTCTGTTTTTTAAAAAAAACAAATTACCTTTCATTTCACTGCTCTGGGGAAAAAAAACCTATTATTTATGTCACACAAAGGAGAAAACAGAGGCAAAACAACAACCCAAAGAGCTTTTGTAGCCCTTAGATCATTTCTGTATGGCTTCTTTCCAGAACTTTTGAACACTAAATGAAGCCAGTCCAGAGATGGTTTCTCGTGCCCCATGGAAATCAACAGAACAGAACAAGCTAGTTATAAGTCAACATGAAGTTGCAATTTGTACAGCTAATTTCCTGTAAACTGAAGCAATTACCTCCAATGCAACCCAAGAGGAAATCATCTTAGACGAGGGTGCTTCAAAATGGAGGTTGGTATATTTTTAGCGTTCAACGTGCTGATGCCTGAAAGCTGCACAGGGACTCTGCTGATCTCAGTTCTTGATCATGGTAGGCTAGAAAGAATCAGGGTAAAAGCACAGTCCGATCAAGGAATTGTGGACCACTTCCACACTGGACAAATCTCACCTTTGATGCAAATTGTCCCAATTTAGCACTACAGCACTAAGGTAGTCAGCAGACTATGCTGGTAAATTAAACATGCCAACTCCTATGTCTGTTGCCAGCTCTGGATTTTGGTCATCACATCCTCTTAAACAGAACTCGGAGTGGCCACCTGGAAGAAATGTTGCAAGCAAAATATGACTTAAGCACCTTGCACTATGCAACCACTTATGTGATCAGCAATATTATAGCCAGTCCCAGTTAGAAGTGGGAAAATAATTTGCTCAAAAGAAAATGGAAAAGTCAGCTTCCAGACCCTTAGGAAAGCAGTGTGGTCTTCCTAAAATGCTCAGAGAGCTGGGAGAATATCCTCGAAGCCCCTGCTCCCAGCCCCCTTCCTAGTAGGGGGAGAAGACTTTGGACCCTTCTATTGTTATTCTAAGCTTAGACTCTGATCCATTCCTCTGAAAACAAGCACACTTTCCTTTTATCACTTCCTGCTGCCCTACCCACATTTTGCCAACAAACAAACTTGCAACAGCATCAAGCAATGGCAGCACCTGTCACACTCAAAATCTTTTAACCAGCACCCTTTAACCCTAACTTAGTTCGTAGGGACACAGTCAACCTTTGTTTCAGCTGAACCACATCAGACTCTAGGCAAGGAAGGGAATGATCTCCCCTGCCACACCAGACTGTTCTGGTCAGGAAGTGCTTTTGTTTGCAATCTCGATGGTGCACCCCAAGCACAGGTTTAGTGCCTCCAGGGGAAGCAAGCCATGCAGGCCATGCAATGCGTTTGACTAAAGAGGGGATTGTTTTCCTCTTGTTCCAGCCTGGTTATAGGTGCAGTGGGGATGCTAATCCATCCAGAAGGTGGTAGTTATTTCACATGAACCAAGATGGTTCTCCTGCTGAGATAGTGCCCTCTACTGGCTCTGGGCAAACACAATGCAAACATCTACCTCCTGTCCCCTGCTCAAGGAGAAATGACAATTTAGGCTGCATGGATTTTGCAGGGAAGATCCACAAGCAGAAAACCAGACTCCTTTCTGTTCCCATCCATGCATTTCCCTGCAAACTCCTGCTGATCACCTTGAAACTGGTTTAGGTTATGTATGGTTTAGGTTATGCTGCTAAACTGGACGATTAGACTGAAAGAACCACAAGAGACTGTTCTGGTCTTTGACTGCAGTTTATTGCACTGTGCCTGGATGAGCTCCAGGCTCAGGAAAACACACACACTGGGCTCCAAGAGGCAGGGCTGGCTTTGCAGATGGAGCTGAGACTACCATGGTCATGCCTATGTGGTTCCCATGGTTTATTGATCAGAAGCTGCACTTCAATGTGCCACACTGAGATGGCATTGACAGGCATGGCTGCAGAAATGGGCTTCCAGGACCGGGAAGCAATTCTTGTGACCTAGTAGATCTTGAGGATGACGTTGTTGCCATTCCTGGAACCAGGAACCTTTAATCCAGTCGACACCCCAGAGTTAACACAGAGGAAATCACCTTTTTTGGTACTGAAGGAGAAGGAGAGAGGGACAAAGAACAAACACAGCACAAATGAAAGGCCTATCAAAACAGTACATCACAACAGGTGGAATTCAACGTAGTGCAAAATGGGGGATGTGTCCCTGGAAGGAGGTCCATTTGCACAATGAGACTTTTCCTCCCTCTCCTCTCCACCACATGCCCCCTAAACCGTTCTGGAGATCCCTCCAACCCTCCAGAGCAGATTTAATGGGTGTGGAGGAGGCTAACAAATGCATTGTGGAAGTGGAGCAAGTGTAAAAGGTACCCCTGCCCGTACGGGCCAGTCGTGTCCGACTCTAGGGTTGTGCGCCCATCTCACTTAAGAGGCCAGGGGCCAGCGCTGTCCGGAGGCACTTCCGGGTCACGCGGCCAGCGTGACAAAGCTGCATCTGGCGAGCCAGCGCAGCACACGGAAACGCTGTTTACCTTCCCGTCAGTAAGCGGTCCCTATTTATCTACTTGCACCCGGGGGTGCTTTCGAACTGCTAGGTTGGCAGGCGCTGGGACCGAGCAACGGGAGCGCACCGCACCGCGGGGATTCGAACCGCCGACCTTTCGATCAGCAAGTCCTAGGCACTGAGGCTTTTACCCATAGCGCCACCCACGTCCCGGAGCAAGTGTAGTCCATCATAAAGTGGTTCATCTTTTACAGTGCCACAAGACTCCTTGGAAATAGAATGGCAGCAAACATCCTGGCTGCCTGTTTTCCAAATATGTGCCTAGAAGAGAAGATGGAGACAGCAGGGGAACAGGAGGCCTCAGGGGACTCTCTATTTTCAAGGCTGATGGAGGCTTGCACACTGTTACCAAGCCTAACTTAGGACAGGAGAGCAGTTTGGCAACTGAGAGGTGAGAAGAAGTCCCTGTCAGTGCAATTTTATCTGGTCCCTGGCAGGCCGACTAAGCAGTAATCGAGTGCTGCTTATAGGAGAGGAAGAACAAAGGCTCAAGTGAGAGATATATTTCCCCCTTTGGAATTGTTTGTAAAGAACAGCTATGTAAGTGTATTTTTGTAGTTCCAGGCTCGAGCATGCATAGGTTAAACAGAGAAGTGTTTACTCTAACAACGGCCACAACTGGATTAGTGGGTTAGCTTGTTTGGCAAAACACACTCCTGGATCACTGCTGGGGAAATACAGTGGTACCTCGCAAGACGAATGCCTCGCAAGACAAAAAACTCGCTAGACGAAAGGGTTTTTTGTTTTTTGAGCTGCTTCGCAAGACGATTTTCCCTATGGGCTTGCTTCGCAAGACGGAAACGTCTTGCAAGTTTGTTTTCTTTTTCTTAACACCGTTAATACAGTTGCGACTTGACTTCGAGGAGCAACTCATAGAACGCGGTGTGGTAGCCTTTTTTGAGGTTTTTAAAGACTTTGGTGATTTTTGAAGCTTTTCCAAAACTTTCCCGACACTGTGCTTCGCAAGATGAAAAAAATCGCAAGACGACAAAACTCGCGGAACGAATTAATTTCGTCTTGCGAGGCACCACTGTAAGAGTGGCCACCCAAGAATGACACATGCATGCACATGGAGAGCGGGGGGGGGGGGCGCCCTCTTACATATCAGTTTGGGGCACCAACCTTATGTGGCCAGTTTCACCTGGTCAGCACAGAGCAGGAATTTCTGGACATGTTCACTGCAGTTGACTACAGACGTCTGGTTCAGTTTAAGACACTGTTCGAATGCAGCAAATGGTTCTGCGCAATCGTGGCGGATTTTCTGTACAATTGGGCTGCAATGAAAGCCACACAGGTGGTTGTGTAAAAGGTGAGAAATTGACAGATACTCTTGTTTGAATGGTCGGAGAAAGATCTCACTTTGGCCTGGCACATACATCGCAGTAAGCTCAGCTGTGGCTTACCATTCATGAGCAAGTGTGCTAAAATCATGCCTTCCCCTCCTTCCCAAAGCTGAGAGAAAGCAAAGCACAGAATTAGCATTAGCAATTAGCAAGCAGCACTTGTGGCTTCTGCTCATGATTTGTTCAGAGAGAAGCAAACCATGACCATTGGGTCACACTAAGCCAGTGCTTGAGTTTGTTCCCTTCCAGCTTTGCAAAGAGAGGGACAGGCAGGCACCACTGTAGCAGAATGCACCAGTATGCTTGTTCATTCATGGTGCACCTAGACTTAGCGTGTCACTCAAACTGCGTCTCTGAGTGCTAGTGCATTGTAGTTGCTAAGAGAGTGAGCCAAAACACTTTGGCCCCTTCTTGTAACTCAAAAGCACTCTGCCTGACCAGTACAAGTGCAGAAATAGCTCATCCATTCTAGAAGGCTTGCAAACAAAAGGTAGTCCTGAAATTCATGCTCCCTCATGGGGAACCTTCCAGGGGCTGCATGCAAGTAGTGGGCAGGGCCAGAAGCAAAAGTCAACAAAGCCATAGGCTACTACATCCTCTGCAATATCACAGTTAAGAACACATTAAATCCAGGCAAAAGCAAATATGGCATAGACCAGGTCCAGTGGAGGGTGAGATCTGGAGGCCTGAGGTTCCCAGTCTCTACATTAGAACCACAGGAGGATTATAGGAGTAATTTAGACATCACTTCCTTTCTCTAGCTGGGGGCAGAGTACAGGATAGACATTCCCCAGACACAGGCCTAATTTATACACAATGCAGACCACAGGGAAATCGTTACCCGTGTAGGCTTCCAACATGCACTGGCTTAGAAGCAGTGCTATTTTTCTAGAAAAAGAGGTGCCAGAACTCGCCTCGTTCTCTTACAAAGGCAATGGTGCCCCCCTGGGAGGAGCCAGAACTAGAAAAAGCCCTGCTTAGAAGGCTATTAGTCACATCAGTTTAATGTGTGATTTAAGCACGGCATTCAAAGTCAGGCTTTCCTGGTGCTATATAAATCCAGCCATTCAGTCATTGCTTTGAAAGTAGATCCCCAAGCGGGAGGGGGGGAAACATGCACCAGAGGGTTGCCCCCCCCCCAACATTGACGCATCAAAGTTTTATTGCACAAGATGGGCTTGTGCTACGGAATGGTGCCCTGCTTGGAAACTTACTGGGATGACGTGCACTTGGCCATTTCAAGCTTGAGCTGGTGACAGTCCTGCTGCCAGGAGGAAGGGTTGGCAGCCACACACTGGCCATACTGCTCTGCTTCTTTTCGGCAATGCCGGGCGGTCACCTCCAGGGCCGCCTGCCTGTCAGGATGGAGGCACAACAGCATTCATTAGAGTGATCTGATCCAACATGGATAGGATTCCAGTGCAGGTACATGGAGAGCCCTGTAATTTACAGAGTCTCTGCCCCCTCCTCAAAGATTAGCCATGCTCCCTAATCCCTGACATTCGTGGTTATCGCTGGAGGCCCTCTGTGCATTCTCCCATGCACAGACTTTGCCATTATTCCACATGCTCCTGGCAAAATCATACCCAACACGTAGGAAGAACTGCTTTGGAGTGCATTGCTAACATCAGGATGTAAATGTAAAATTTCTAGAATTTTTTTTTGAAAATGGGGGAAATGCAATGCTCTTTTCTTTTTAAGTGCTCTTTACAAGTCATTTTGTAACATTAGAAGCATGAAGTGCCTAACTTGGTTTACCACAGAATTATAAACAGCTCAGGACCGCAATACCTCAAGGACTACCCCATATGAGCCTACCTAGACCCTGAGATCATCCTCTGACCATCCTTCTTTGTGAGCTTCCTCTACGTGAGGCCTGGAGGGTGGCAGCAGGAGAACGGGGCCTTCTCTGCGCTGGCCCCCCCTTTGCGAAATGCTCTCCCCAGGGAGACTTGCCTGGCACCTCCATTACAGACCTTTAGGTGCCAGGAGAAAATATTCTTCTTCAACCAGACCTTGGGCTTGTTTAATGTCTTAATTGTGCATCTCGCTCTTTGTCCGTAGTCTCGGGGCATAAAAATGTCACAGCATAAAGATGCAAGATGCCTTTGTGTTGGAGCCCTGAGGGTTTCCCAAGCCAAGCGCCCTAACCATTAGGCCGCGCTCTCCCTCCCTCCCGCCGCACTGGGCTTCCGCTCAGACGCCCCACTCACATGTCGCTCCTGCAGCGCCGAGGCCGGATCCCGTCCTCTGGCGCGCATGCTCCCTCCCGAGGGAGTGTCCCCATCTGCGCATGCGTGCCAGGCTCCCTCGGGCAGCCATGACACTGGAGGCCATTACGCTAAGGCCACGTTGTATCGCTGCCCCGCCACCGCCGCGGGAGGGGCTGCGCATGCGCGGGGGCTGCGCGCCTGCCGGGCTCGCGGCGGGGCCGGCTGCCCCGGAAGCGGAAGCGGCAGCGCGCGCGGAGCTGGCCGGTGGCGGCGCGGGGTCCCGGGAGCAGGATGGCGGCGGCGGCGGCGGCGGCGGGTGCGGCGGGGGCCGGTCCGGGCCCCGGGGACGAGCTGGTGCAGGACGTGGTTCCGTACCGGCGCCGCTCTCGGCTGCTGTGGGGGACGGTGCTGCCCTTCTGCGTGCTCTACCCGCTCTGGCTGTGGTTCTGGGGGCGCAGCGCCCGCGACTGGGCCTGGGGCGCCGCCGCCGAGGCGCCCGAAGCCGCGCTGCTCTACCTGGCCGCCATCGGCGCCGCCCACCTGCTCACCGCCCTGGCCGGCCTCTGGAGCGTCCACGTCCACTGCCTGCTCTACTGCTGCGCGGTGAGTCGGGCCTCCTGAGGGCCCGGGAAGCCCTTGCGGAGGGACTGGGGGGGGGGAGGGGCTGTTCATGTGACCAGTTGGAAGTCCTCTTCACGCACGTTTCATTTTACCAGAACAGAATCTGTGTTTGGAGACTCTGCTGTAAATTTAAGCTAGGGCTGGCAGCTGCCTAATTTTAAAGTGGTTGGTTGGTCTAAAAACCTGCCCTTTGTTATACTGCCATACATGGTGGATTGTGCTTATTCCAGGTCATTGTAGGGATGTCTTGAAAGCAACAATTTCCTACATGAGTATCCCTGTTGCACAGAAAATTTGTAATCGAACCTGTTTTGCAGGAAAAATATTTGTGCTTGCAAAATTGGCTGCATGACAAAATAGACCATTAATTTAATTGGTGTGTGATTATTTGGACAGTCAAGGCCACTTTCAGTTTTTCACCATGACAAAAACTTCATGCATGATTAAATACATGTAACATGGTGATGTACATGTTTCCAACATACATCTACCCTGCATGAAAGTTGGATCCACATGTGTTACTGTCACAGTTGAGGTACTCAGACAGCTGGAGCACAGGATGTTCCCTTATTTCAAAACTTGCAGTTTGATATGCAGGCTTTGGAGTGGCGTGTATTTCTCTGTGAATTGTTAAGTCTGGCTGATTTCAAAGGTGGGCAATAGCAAATAAGTAAATGGATAATGATCCACTCTGAATATTTTTGCTGCCCTGAAGTTTTTATGAAGTGGCCAGGCTTTCTCCTTGCAATGGCACACTGGTTTCTGGGCAGTGGTGACACTTCTAGGATTGTCCTGTGTCTGTCACCAGTAGGGCAAGCTGCATCAGGATATTCTGTATCCACTTCCTCAAGAATCAATGTTGGTTGGGACTTGCTTGATTTGAGTACCACAGACTGAGACCAACAACAGCCTCTGTCAGCCATACCAGTATGTCTCAGTTAGGATGCTGGTGACGAAGAAGAAAATCAAAATACTTATCCTTTTTTATTTCATATTTTTAAGCTGGGAGACAAAGCTGTAAATAACTTTTTGCTGCTTGTGGTATTGTTGGGCACAGCGTCAAAACTTTGTTGGAAGGGTGGTAATCTGGTGAACTTTGCTCAGTCGTCTCTTTCCAAGGCCTTGAAAGTGGCAGGCCGTCAGGTTCTCACAGCTACATTTAACCCCTGCTAAGTTTGCTTTCTTTAAACCACTGGGCTTCCTCATTTCTCTAAAATGCAAGAAAATGTTTTGGGGTTGTTGCTTTTTTGGGGGGCTATTTTTAGATTCCTAAACTTTAATTGCATAAGCTTCATTTCCTTTGCTCCCTTTCAAGCAAGTAATAAGCATAGTTCAGGGGGAGCACATGATCTGCATGCAGAAGGTCCCAGGTTCAACTCCCAGTTAAAGGATTGCAGGTAGCAGTGCTAAGTGAGAGCTCTTCCTGAAACTGTTGAGGGGTACTACTGCCAGTCAGAGTAGACAGTACTGTGGGCTAGATGGACCAGCGGTCTGACAGCAGTATAAGGAAGTTTCTTACATACAAAAATAATCTTCTCTTCCTGCTACACAAAAGACAAGTGTATGTAAAATTTAGGGGCTGGACTATAAATCTAAGCTGCTGTCATAACTAAACTTACTGAAAAGTAAATCCCAATGTAGCTGGAGGATCTTTCTTACCTCTGAGCAAATATGGTTAGAACGTGGCAAGCAGTGGCTTGGATCCTAAGGTCAGGTGACTTAAGGAAGCTTGGGGAAGAAGAGTTTTCCATACCCTCTGCCCAGTTTTTGGTGATTTCATGCCCCATCCCTCCTGATTCTATGGAGAGACTCCCACAGAGAGAATCCAAGCCATTAGGTGTAGAATTCTTTATGACACTAAGCACAAGCCCCAATGTCAATATGGAAGACACTAGCTTGATTCAAGCTTTCTACTTCTGTGTTTAATCATCACATGACAGGGAAGGGGGAAGCAAAGGTGTGTGTGTGTGTATCTTTGTTTTAGAGCAGCGGTTCTCAACCTGTGGGTCGCGACCCCTTTGGGGGGTTGAACAACCCTTTCACAGGGGTTACCTAAGACCAGAGGTCAGCAAGCTTTTGGGGGGTGGGCTCCTCCGCTGATGACAGCCTCTGCCTCTCGCAGGGGCAGGCACAGGAGCCGCGCTTAGCAGGGTGGCGGCGGCAGCACGAGCAGCGGCAGCAAACAGCTTGCTCAGATGAGGGACTGCTGGAAATGCGCTCGGCCAGCTCAGCCCAGCCCTCTTCCTCCTCTCAGCCACACGCAGCCACCGCTCGCCCATTGGCCAGGGCCTCAAACCTTGGCTGGCGATTTGCTACACTGGGAGGAGGGGGAGGTTCCACCGCGGTGAGGGAGAGAGGGGGAAATGTCAGCGGGGAAAAGCGTCATAAATTCTGTCAATTTTGTAAAGGCGAGCACTTTACGACTGTTTTCGCAACTGCAACGAGTTGGATGCGCTGAACAATGCTCTGCTATTTCACACTGAAGTGAGATGGTTGTCTAGAGGAAAAGTTTTAAAATGTGTTTTTGAGTTTCGTGATGAACTCAAAACCTTTTTTAATCAGAAAGCAAGACCGCAGTTTGAAGCACTTTTCAGCAATAAAAGTGAACTGCAGAAAATAGCTTACTTGGTTGACATCTTTGCCATCTTGAATGGTTAAATTTATCACTGCAAGGGGACGCGGTGGCGCTGTGGGTAAAACCACAGTGCCTAGGACTTGCCGATCACATGGTTGGCGGTTTGAATCCCCGCGGCGGGGTTAGCTCCCGTCTTTCGGTCCCAGCTCCTGCCCACCTAGCAGTTCGAAAGCACCCCTAAGTGCAAGTAGATAAGTAGATACCGCCTTATAGCGGGAAGGTAAACAGCGTTTCCGTGCGCTGCACTGGTGCTGGCTCGCCAGAGCAGCTTCGTCACGCTGGCCACATGACCCGGAAGTGTCTCCGGACAGCGCTGGCCCCCGGCCTCTTAAGTGAGATGGGCGCACAACCCTAGAGTCGGACACGACTGGCTCGTATGGGCAGGGGTACCTTTACCTTTTATCACTGCAAGGACCAAATGCAACATGCTTCGATTTGTCTGAAAAGATTTGATCATTCCAAATGAAACTTCAGCTTTGGCAAAAAAAAATTGGATCAAAATACAGTGGTACCTCGGGTTAAGTACTTAATTTGTTCCGGATGTCGGTACTTAACCTGAAACTGTTCTTAACCTGAAGCACCACTTTAGCTAATGGGGTCTCCCGCTGCCACCGCGCCGCCGGAACACGATTTCTGTTCTCATCCTGAAGCAAAGTTCTTAACCTGAAGCACAATTTCTGGGTTAGCGGAGTCTGTAACCTGAAGCGTATGTAACTTGAAGCGTATGTAACCCGAGGTACCACTGTAAAATTTAGGTGTTACCTACCTTATGTGCTTTCTTTGAGGAACATGACATTGAACCAGACAAAAGGATTGCGATTATAATTTCTGTGAAAGAACACTTGCACATGCTTGCAGACGAAATTTCATCATACTTTCCAAATCTACCTGACACCCCATTTGCACTTGCCAGAAGCCCATTCACAGTCAAAGTTGAAGATGTTCCTGAGACAGCACAAGAGGAGTTCATTGAATTTATTAACAGTGATGCAGCGAGAACTGATTTCTCTACAAGGCCAGTTACAAAATTCTGGATCAAGTGTTTGCACTCATATCCTGTTCTGTCTGAGAATGTGTTGTGCCTTCTTCTTCCATTTCCAACAACATATCTTTGTGAAACAGAGTTTTCCAGCTTGTTGGTTATCAAGTCTACAGAAGTAGACTTGTTGTAGAAGATGATCTTCGTTGTGCTCTTGCAAAGTCTGCCCCAAGAATTTCTGATCTGGAGCTTCCGGGTTAGCACCTCCGGCAATGGCGGATTTCCTCTGACCAGGAGGAATCCGCTTCGTGAGAATTAGGGTCTGGACCGCCGCGGCGAGGCGGAGACCCATTAAAAACCACAGGCGGGAGAAGCCTGTGGACGTGGGATTCGGCTGGCACCTTTTGCGCCTCCCCTACTCGCGGGGAAACCCGGTTTCGGGGATCCGGAGCGACGTGGGGTGAATGGCGCGGTGCTTTGAATCGACTGCTTTTTTCACGGAGTGAAGCCGCATTGCTGTTGCCGGAGAGCGCTGACTTTTTCCTGTGGAAAATTGGATTATAAACAATTACTCGTGAGTAAATCGGAAAATTGGATTTTTAAATACTTTAATTTGGCACTGAAGCGGGAGGTCATAAACAAGAAGTCCGCCTCCCGTTTTTGTAAATAGACTGAAGCAAAGACGTTACAAGTTAAAGTCTTTGAAAGCTTTTGGCAAAGGATTAAATTTCCATCGGTTTAAAATACAAAACCCCCCTTGGAAGCAGGAGAAGAGGGGGAAATCTAGTGAGCCTGCAGGAGAGAGTGAAAAATCAAATTACCACTGCTCTGAACCTGGGAAACGGGCTGCCAGATGACGTTTGGAGAGAGTGCAATTGACAGAACGGATTTGACAGCTAGCTAAATAAGAGCAAGATACTGTTTCCATTGTCCTTCTCTGAGTTTAAAAAAGAGGAAAAGTAACTGAAATTTTATCTTTAGTGTTTGAATTTGTGCTTGAAAGAACTGATACAAGTGGAGACTGTTTCCCTCTAGAGGGAGCTTTTGAAACTGTAACAGGACTGTAACTGGGGGATTTCCAGCTGCAGATAAGGAGTTTGAGAACCAGAGAGCGACCTTGGACTATTTAAAAATGTTGACAGGAGAGGCCATTGTGACTGTTTTATGTAAGATAAGCTGTTCGCTGGGACAGCTTCATAAGAAGATGGATGACATGACTTTTAAAGTTGACAATTTAGAACAGAAAGTGACTAATTTGAGTCAAAAAGCGAACATCAACACAGAAATAATTCAGGACTTGGTACAGGAATCCATTTTGGCAGGACAAATGGTGGAGGAGAAGGAGAATGCTGCTGTTGTTGAACATAAAGTTGAACATAAAGTAGTACAAGTGAGATCTGTGGCTTCACAGAAGCAAATTGAGGACTATAAGTTGAGGCCTTTTATGATTGAATCTAGGAAAAGTCAGACTCTGAGGAATGGACCCCGGCTTGGACGAAAGAAGGAAAGTTGGAAAGATCCCTCTATACAGGGATTAATTGACTTTTGGGACATGGACTCGGGCCTGGAGGAGATTGAAGTTTTGGGGGCCTTTGGACTTGGAGGAATCTTGAAATATGCCCTGAAATACTTTACGGACTGTAGCTTTAACTATGGAAATTTGGCTGATCTGTTCAGAAGGAAGAAAAGGATTGACAGGTTGGAGTTTCCCCGAGATTTGCTTTTTAGCTATAAAGAAAATGAAGAAGACCTGCAGAAGGGACTTGGAAAAGAGTTAAGAGCCTCGGACATAAGATCACCAGGTTGATGGACTTTATGGAATTGATGGAAAGGACTGGCAGAATCCGAAACCAGGGAGAGGAGATGGTGGAAGAAGATTGGAAAATTTAAAGTTTATATATAGACTTATGGTAAAACTAATGAGTGATAGAAAATGGTGGAATGATTTTTTATGGGCTTAGCAGAAATGTTATAAGGAGTTAAGTATATATAAGTATTTTAGTTTTAATGGAAAATAAGGTTAAAAAATACGTTATTTACAATATGATAGAAAATGGAGAAAGATGGAGAGGATTTGCTGAAACAATTAAATGAAGTGGAATACAAAAAGGGAGGTGAGAGGAGGTCGAGGAAACAAGGGAATGAAAGAGTACGGAAAAGAGAGGATGCATTTTTTTTGTTTTTTTTAAATTGTTTTGTTTTATTTAGGGTTAAGGTTAGGGAGTGGGGTTTGTTTAGTTTAGTGGGGTTTGTTTAGTTTAGTTTAATGTGTTTAGTTTTTGAGTTTAGGTTGTGTTTTGCATTGTTTATATATTGTATTGTATTGGGTTTTTTTCTTTTTGTTTTCCTTCTTTGTCTTTTTTCCTGTTTTTTTCTTCTTCACTTTTTTCTCTTTTTGTAATCTATAAAAGTAATAAACATTATTTTTTTTAAAAAAAAAAGAATTTCTGATCTGGTGAGAAAGAAGCAATCTCAACCTTGACGCTGACTTTGGCTTTTTACGCATACTGTCGCAAAATGGAGCAATGTAGTTTACTGTTGTTATATTAAGACTGTTACCCATGCTACAGCATGCTTCATGACAAAATTTCATTTATTTGTAATTAGAAATAAATATTTCGCAATATATAATTACATATTGTTTTTGTGATTAATCACTATGCTTTAATTATGTTCAATTTGTAACAATGAAAATACATCCTGCCTATCAGATATTTACATTACGATTCATAACAGTAGCAAAATTACAGTTATGAAGTAGCAGCAAAAATAGTTTTATGGTTGGGGGTCACCACAACATGAGGAACTGTATTAAAGGGTCGCGGCATTAGGAAGGTTGAGAACCACTGTTTTAGAGAATACAGTGGAAGGGCACAGACAATATTTATTTTAAAACTTACTTGTTAAAGCTCTTAATAGTGAATTAGTTTAAGTAACTGATAGTTATTTACCATTAGTTGTTAATGTTTTGCCACCTGTTAATCATACTCAAAATTAGCTGCTTGAGGCAGCCACTGTATTCTGTCTCATAGTAGGGTCAGTCCTGTGCAAAAGGTTCAAAGGAACAGAGGCTAGTTGTGTATCCATCTCAGATACTGACCTGGTTTGTACATAATGCTAAGCAGATGTGAATTTCCAGAGCAAAGATCACAACCGCAAGCCTTGGTTTACTACTCTAGGAAAGACAAATCAAAAGCTCAGATTCAGATGTAATGCTATGCCGGCTCTTTTGGTCCTAACTCTAAAGACTGTTTTCTTCCCTAATTGTGTGTCTTTCAGGTGCGCAGTCCAAGGAAAGCCACATTGGCTAAAGTTGTGCCAACCCCCAATAATGGTTCTGCAGAATTGGTGCCCATCCATCGAGACCAGGTAAGAAATTCATGGCTGTGGTTCAAAGCAGCTCCCCCATGTGGAACCTTCTGTTATCCCATTTCTGTTTGCCAGCTGGATACAGACTACGCTAGTCATGACTTGACTTGTTGCTTCAGTGGGACTTTTGACTAAGTCTGGATCTGGCCTATTGATTTGGCACCTTGTAGACTTGGCAGCCAAATAAAGGTAGGAAGCATGCAGGCAGCGCATGTTCGAGAGGGTGGGTTAAATTGATTTGTGTCTCTTGTCTACTTCAGACATTTTTTTGCATATTATGACTTTCAGCTTTGGAGGTGTCCTTTTATTGTGGTGCTTTATTGATGCTTGGGTTTACTTTGCTCAGTTTGGAACACAGGAAACTGCCTTATTCTGAGTTGGGCTACTGGTTCATTTAGCTCAGTATTGTTGATATTGATTGGCAGCTGCTCTCCGGGGTATCAGACAGGATCCTGTCCCAGCCCTACCTGGAGATGCCAGGGATAGGATCTGGGACCTTCTGCATGCCAAGCAACCACTTTGCCACTGAGCTTCGGCCCTTCCCTGTTGGGGTGGAGGGGCTGGTGATTGCGCCTACCTTGCGGCAGGGAGTCCTTTTAAACATGACAGTGGAAGTGTCTAAAATCTTAACTTGCTAAGCTGGCCTCTTGCATGTGGAAACCTGTTTGCTGTAACTTTCTTTATTTCTTCTAGGGGGAGGATGGACAGGAGGTCCTTTCCTTCGAATTTCAGAAAATCAAATATTTCTACGAGCTAAATGAGAGGAAAAAATTCCTTCCTGTGCTATTCCCTGTGGAACATCCATTGCAATTTTATCAGAATGCACGTGGCTATCAGGAAGACAAGGAGATCAAAGCAGCAGAGAAGACCTATGGCACCAACAAGTAAGTGGGGCAAACTTGGATCCAGCTGCTTTGGGGTAACATTTATGGTGGGCATTTCCAGGAATTGGAGCACTCAGACTTTTGCCCACAGGATGCCTGAATTAATGACTAGTTAACTTACAACTATTAGTTGGCAGTACTTTGAATCCAGCATGTGGGTAACATAGTATGAGTTAAGGGTTCTCTGGGGGATACTCTAGCAAAAAATAACTGCTGACAAAACATAGTGCTTAGTGTGATGCGCTGTGCTCAGTGTGGGTCAAGCCACCTGTGGGTAGGTAGGTGTTGGCAGCATCCACCTGCCTTGAGAGACAATGGAGTGTGCATCTGGAGGTGAAGTCAAACTGCCGCATTACCAGTGCCGAAGTGGCCTCCCAGGGTATGAGCCTCGGCAGTGTGTATAGCAGTCCTGGACTGCCCAGACCACAAGACACACACCTGCCTGCCTCCCTGGTGTGGTCCAAAGGAAAGCAGAGCAATGGATGGGTAGTACTATCAGGTTAATGAGTAACTATAGGAAGAATTTTACAGAAATAGTTTTTCATTTCTGTGTAACTATTTTTTACAGTTTACTACCTGGTGATTTTGTCCTTCCACGGGCGAGCAATTTTATTCTGATTTGGCTCCTGAGTATGCAGTTGTATGCATCAATGGGGCTTACTTCTAAGTAGATATGGGTAGAGGAAAGCATAAATCTCCAGACCTTTATGAATAAAGTTAGGGGTTCTTTGGTCATTGTTCTACAACTTTTGTGCCCGTGTTGCCTGCACATTGCTCATTAATGGAAGCTGAAAACTCATAGAGCACGTCTAGAATATCCCCTACTAGATCTGTCCTGAGTCCTGGGCTGAGCACTGCAGTCTTTCCACATGCATTTAGGGGTAGGAATAGTAGAGCAAACAGCCCCTCCCTTTTTACAGTCATCACCTGAACTCAAGCCCTGGCCCTAATCTCTCTGGTACCTCTCTTAGCCCTTAACTGAAGGGCCTCCAGGATTGAGCCAGCAAGTGGAGGCAAGGAAGATTAACCTACTCAACACCTTCCTCTCTTCTTCACAGTTGAAATACAACTTCCTAGCTCTAATCCCTTGTTCTGGCTTCCATCCCAGAAGGATGCTGTCTGCAACAAGGAACACAATTAAGACTCAACACATGCATCAGATTGCACACATTTTTCATGGCCTCTCCTTTCACTCACATTCTAGCCATCACCTCCCCAGCTCCTATTTATTCTTGGGTAATTATGGTGGGGAGAGAATTCTTTTCTTCTCCCATCGTCCACCCACCTAAGCTTCTCAGTCTTAAACTCTTAGTGTTTTGAGGCAAAGTTATGTAGTCTTCAAAGTGATAGATCAACCACGGAAGATGCAGGCATCTACTGCAATTGTGTCTGAAGGAACAGAATACCCCCTTGAATAATGCAACTTTGTCTTAAAGGCCTGATAAAATTTTAGGGCCTGTAAGATGACAGCAGAACTATCAGGAAAGGTGGGCAACACAATGAAAACTCAAGTCAGTAGCTGCAGCTTCTCTAACAGTATCTGGAAGAACAAGCAAATGATGTAATAATCATGTCAACCAGTAAGAGAGAGTTTTCACTCTCCAGTTTTCAGCCAAATGTTAGAGGTTCACTTTCATAAAAATGGCAATGGCTGCAATGGTAATTCTTGTTCCTCTAGTTATTAAATATACACTGTTGAAGTAACTCTAGGACAGACAATGGAATACAAGATTTTGAAACCTTCCTCATAAGCCCTTTTTTATGAAGAGCTTTGCCTGAGGGATTGCTGCCCGTCAACTTCTCAGAACAAGCACTTTTGCAATGTCTTAGAGCATCCGGCTTTGTTTCCACTTGGAAGCAGAGCCGGATGCTCTAAGACGTTGCAGAAGTGCTTCCAAGTGGAAACAGAGCAAGCAGAAAGATGGTGAGGTGTCTCATGTGGGGTTGGGGTGTGTGTGTGTAATCAAACCTCCAGGGTTTTAGGGGTTGCAAGCAGGACGGAATGTCACAACACAATGCCAAAATAAATCAGGGTTCTGTTTTTCACACAGGGCAGAGATGGTTGTGCCAGAATTCCTTGAACTCTTCAAAGAAAGAGCCACTGCCCCTTTCTTCGTCTTTCAGGTAATCAAAAAGGATCCGCAGCATCAGCCTCTTTTTGAGTTTCTGTTCCTTAAACCCAGAATTCCACAGGCAAAATCTCTCACGTATATTTAAAAATTGACACCTTCTATTGTACAGTGGTGTCTCGGGTTAAGTACTTAATTCGTTCCGGAGGTCCGTTCTTAACCTGAAACTGTTCTTAACCTGAAGCACCACTTTAGCCAATGGGGCCTCCTCCTGCTGCAGCTGCTGCGCCGCCGGAGCACGATTTCTGTTCTCATCCTGAAGCAAAGTTCTTAACCTGAGGTACTATTTCTGGGTTAGCGGAGTCTGTAACCTGAAGCGTATGTAACGTGAAGCGTATGTAACCCGAGGTACCACTGTACTTTGAATCACACGCTCCTGCCATACATATTTACCAGGCTGGTATGGACTTAGATGCTGCTCAGCCATTCTTGGCGCAGAAGCTAGGAAGAAAGGTTGCAGCGTTTGGGAATATTTTAGTTTACAGAAAAGGTGCCAAGAGTCGACATGATAGACGTTTTTAAAATTATGCATGACATGGAGAAAGAGAAAAAATTTCCTGCCCTCATAATGCTAGAACTCGTGGACATCCAGTGAAACTGAATATTGGAAGATTCAGGACTTCTTCATGCTGCACATAGTTAAACTCTGGAACTTGCTCCCCTCAGAGGCAGTCACAGCCACCAGCTTAGCTGACTTTAGAAGCAGCTTAGACAAACCTCTTGTCCTCATCATGGAGGATAAGGATATCTGTGGCCGCCTGCTGTGGTTGCTATGCTCTGCCTCCACAGCTGGAAGCAGTTCTCTTCGGATTACCAGCCGCTGAAACTGCAGCCAGCAAGAGGGCTTTCCCCCTACAGTCATCTGGCTGGCCACTATGAGAACAGGGCGCTGGACCAGATGGGGCATTGGCCTGATTCAGCTTACTGTTCTTAAGTTAAAATTAATGTTTTCTTAAAAGTTTTCAGTGTGTATAAAATATCATATGTTTATGCGAATAACGAAGTTTATACAGGCCCAGCCTCTACCCTCGTGTCCCACGTGGACGTTCTTGGAGGGCCTAGTGAGTCTAGTAACAAAAGGTTTGCGTTAGGCTGTTGCAGTTTTTGTCTTCTCTCTTTGGTCATTTAACACACACCCGTTTCAAAATGCTTTCAAACCACACAATAATTTGTGGTTCAAGAAAAACAAATCTAAAGTCCACTTGGGTGCCCAGAATTGGTTTCCATGGTTCTTTGGAACTTGGCCACTATTTCAGCAACCATTGCAACAATCTTATAAGATGGCCCAGTATTATTTATCCCTCTGTTGCAGACCAAGCACCAAGGCTAGAAGCTTGTCCAAGGCTACCTCGTGCATTTGAGGCTGAGGTGAAACTTAAATGCTTTTAGCCACTGTGCTAACCAAGTCTTTGTTATAGGCCTAAATGGGATTGTTGCTCTGTACCAGTATTGGGAGTGCTTTGTGTCTGTTTCCTACATGTAGGTCTTCTGCGTGGGGTTGTGGTGCCTGGATGAATACTGGTATTACAGTGTCTTCACCCTTTCCATGCTGGTGGCTTTTGAAGCATCTCTCGTCCAGCAGCAAATGAGGAACATGTCAGAGATTCGAAAAATGGGCAACAAACCCTACATGATCCAGGTGAGCCAAGGCAGGAAGTGGTGAGCAATGCTGTGAGACACTGGTCCTTCCCACTTGGAGACAATCTGATGAGGCGCATGGATTCTGGAACGCTGAATCCCCGTTGCTCAGGGTGACCCTAGAGGGCTGATCACTGTGTAGAATGTAGAATGCAGAAGGGAACAGTAATGGCAGTTGCTAGAAGGAGAGCAGTTAGGAGAATAAAGCCAAGGTTGTTGGGGTGAACTTGGAGGTACCGCCAGAGCCGCAGGGATTGCGCCAGCCCCAGATTCAGCTGCTCCTCACCTGCCTAAAGGGTTTGTTATCAACAATACTCCCAAACCCATGGCGATTCTTCTCTTGCACCAATCCCCATGGCTTCCCCATCTCCCCTGTTCATGCAAGGGCATTGGGAAGACAGTTGTCTGTATCATTCTGTCAGGTGGTGCTGTAGTTGATCAAGGGAGTGCAGGAGGCTCTTGAGCTGACCAGGCCTGAGTTTCCAAAGTATTAGAACGGGGTTGCTGTTTGATAGATTAACCTGTGATGGATAATTGGTCCAACAGTCTCCATTCAGGAGTCCTTGAGCCCAAGCTGATATGAATTGTAGGTATGACGAGGTGAATTTGGGGAAGTTGGTCTGTGGACAGCTCCAGCTTCTCTTCCTCTAGCATCCTAAATGCCACCCTTCTGTGAACCACCCTGAGATCTGTGGATGAAGATTAAATTAATAAAGAACAATAGTACTAATAATATCTCTTCCTCTTGCAGGTTTACAGAAACAGGAAGTGGCGTCCAATTTCCAGCGATGAGATAATTCCAGGGGACATTGTGTCCATTGGTAAGATCAGTGTTGCGCTGATAAGAACCCTGCCACCCACAGTCTTAATTAGCTCAACTATGTGTATAAATTAGCATGTGCATATTTCATGCAACTTTGTGTCGTGGGCCTGAAGCCTGAGTCTTTTCAATACCTGACACAGTCCCTCTCTCAAGAGTCCTGAGACCTTATGAGCAAAGGCCCCACCTTCCCCCCAGTCCTTCTGAGCATCCAACTCTCACTTCCAGGCCGCTCCCCCCATGAGAACCTTGTGCCGTGCGATGTGCTGCTGCTGCGGGGAAGGTGCATCGTAGATGAAGCCATGTTGACTGGAGAGTCAGTGCCTCAAATGAAGGTTTGCCTGATGATTTCTGCTAATTTAGTCACAATTTATTTAGTGTTAGCAGGATGCCTGGCAGTTATACAATCTGCAGAAGACAGTGCTGACCCAGGAAAACGGACACAGTGGATGTGAAATGGGCCATATAGATGCTGCAGGGTGGGGCTGCATGAAAGTCGACATAGTGGAAGGGATCAAAAGGGGACACCTGGGGAGCAAGGAGTGAAAGTGAAGGAGAGAGGAGGTGTAGCTTTGAATAGTAAGGAAGAGAAACATGAAGCTGACGGGGGAAATGGCAGGGATGTGTTCGCTTATGCAGAGGGAGAGATTGCCATGGCAACAAGAGGCAAAGCCAAAATTTTGGAGGAGAGGTTTGGCAATTACTATGAGCGATATGGAACCTCCATGTTCAGAGGTGGCGTATTTTAGAGCCTCGGGTAGTGGGACCATCTCATTCTGCCTGCTTGTTGCCAGTGTCCTATGAGTGGCCGTTGCTGGATGCAGGAGGCTGGACTAGATCAATTTGGCCTGATCTGGTTTTGGTTGGTTAATGAATCTAAAAAAACAACAACCCCAAAACAAGGGCAGCTTGTGTGTATCCAGCACAGCTTGATGGATCCCTTGCCTTGGTAATGGGTGGTGCTCCCTCCCGTGGTCCCCAGTGTGGAGTCCTCTGACTTACTGAACAAGAGAAGAAACAGGAAGTGGCTTGTTTTATGCCGGTGGTGCTTTTGTAGTTCCAAATTGCAAATAGCACAATGCTTATATTTATTTAAAAAGAAACAAACTGGCAAAGCAATCCAGTTATACAAAGCATCAAAGCACAACAACACTTAGTTTTGTTTGTTGAATTTATTAGATGCATTTTTCTAAAAGAAGACTCAAGTTGTCTTGGAGCAGTTAAAATATACAAACATTTATATAAAATGTTTGTAATATATTATATATATATATATATATATATATATATATATATATATATATATAATATTATAATATATATAGTATTATATAATATATAAAATATGTATATTTATATAAATTAGAAACAGTCACCATAAAATAATAAAACTGCACTACCCCAACAGTATAATGAAACATCAGGGACGGCCAGTTACCAAAGGCTGATATAAAACTCATCCCATCGAATATCTGGGAGTAGAGGAATGTCAACTTCACACGGAAAATACTGTTTTTAGATGCTTTTTATTTTATTTTAAATTATATTAAGAACATAAGAGCATCCGTCATTCTGTTCTCACAGTGGCCAATCAGATGCCCTTATGGGAAGCCCACAAGGGAAGCCCTCAGACAAAATATGGGAAGCAGTTATGAATCACATTACCTGATGTGCTCCCTCCAACTGTAGAAGCAGCTGCAGAATTCCAAAGTTGAGGAATGAGGGAGATTCTCAGTCCCTGGATTTTAGAGTCTTTTGTGTTAAAATATCACTACATATAGCTTGCTCCCTTGTGACCAAGAATGCAGGCAGGTACAGAGCAGGTTGTTGATGTCTGTCTACATTTGTAGCTGCCTAATGTAGGCGGAATAGTTGGGCCAGGCATTATTGGACATCTGTTATCAGTTCCCAAATGTGCTTTTTTCTTCTTCTTTTATTGTAGGAGCCAATCGAAGAGTTAGACCCAGAATATGTCTTGGACATGAAGGCCGATTCCAGATTGCACATAATTTTTGGGGGAACGAAAGTTGTACAGCACATCCCACCGCAAAAAGCAAGCACAGGCCTGAAACGTATGTACATGCCTATCTAGCTTGAATCAATGGCAGGGAAGCTCTTAAAATGTCATTCCCTGAACAGTTTAGTTGCTGCTTGATTGCTGATATAATAAACCCGCTAACTTTAGCACTAAGGGTACCGTATATACTTGAATATAAGCCGACCCAAATATAAGCCAAGGCACCTAATTTTAGCACAAAAAATGGGAAAACTTAATTATAAGAAGAAGAAGAATTTTTATTTATACCCCGCCCTCCCCAGCCAATGCCGGGCTCAGGGCGGCTTACAAGCAATAATAAAAACAAGTTGAATGATTACAACTTAAAAACAAAATACATTAAAATATTGAAACATTAAAATATTAAAATGTAGCCTCATCGCATTATTGACTCGAGTATAAGCCAGTTCACCACACCACAAACCTGGTGGTGGCGGCAGCGGCGGAGGAAGAACAAGCAGCCCAAAAGGGCTCCTTTCGGGCCGCTCGTCCCTCCGCTGCTCGCAAGAGCAGGCATAGGAGCTGCGGTTGGGAGAGGCGCAGCGCAGCGCCTCTCCCAACTGCGGCTCCTGTGCCTGCCCTTGCAAGAGGCAGGCGGTGCCGGCGGAACCAGCAGCGATAAAGGGCTCCTTTTGGATTGCTCGTCCCTGCCGCGCTGTCCACCTCACTCAAGTATAAGCCGAAGGGGGCTTTTTCAGCGTAAAAAATGTGGTGAAAAAGTTGGCTTATACACAAGTATATACGGTAATCTCTCAGTAGGAAAGAGCCGTGGAAACCTGTGCTTTCCCCTTTCTTCTCTGGCAGAATTTCCCTGGTGCAGAATTTAAAGTCATCACTTTTAGCTGTGAGATGAGGATATATACCTGTTCAGAAACTGAAACTTTGAGATCAAGTAGACATGCAGACATTGGTAGTGAAGCAGCTAGTGCTAGAAAAAGCAAAAGGGTCCAGTTTCTCCAACAGAAGCTACCTGAGTGATTCACATGATAGAATTAAACTTGCATTATATAAAAGCATACAGGCAAAAGAGCCAAGCTTGGATAAATTACACAATTAGGGGTAGCTCAAATACTCCTTAATTACAGAATTGTATATTATTTATTCCTTTTGAATAATATGCATTTCTGACAATAATAGGATTTCATTATAGTATGATGCAGATTGGGAAGGCATTTAAAAATATAGAATAAAGAAAAAATTATTTTAAAAAACACAATTTCAAAGGGAGAGAGAGGGAAAACGTTTGCTGAAAATGCTATAAGTCAGGTAAAGGTAAAGGGACTCCTGACCATTTGGTCCAGTTGTGACCGACGCTGGGGTTGCGGCGCTCATCTCTCTTTGTTGGCCGAGGGAGCCAGCGTACAGCTTCCGGGTCATGTGGCCAGCATGACTAAGCCGCTTCTGGTGAACCAAAGCGGCGCACGGAAACACCGTTTACCTTCCCGCTGGAGCGGTACCTATTTATCTACTTGCACTTGACGTGCTTTCGAACTGCTAGGTTGGCAGGAGCAGGGACCGAGCAATGGGATTCGTCGCGGGGATTCGTACCACCAACCTTCTGGTCGGCAAGCCCTAGGCTCTGTGGTTTAACCCCCAGCGCCACCTGCGTCCCTATAAGTCAGATACAACTCCTTCAAAACGTGATCCAAGAGAAACTGCCTGAGCCTGGAAGAGAGGGAGAGGCACTATGATTCACCACAGATCTACCAACACCTTTGCGTCTTCTGCGCTGTGTAAGCTTAGACTGGTTTCTGCATGTTGCAGCTTCCTTCCTTCGCTTTAGCTCTTCTGCATTTCTTGATGGTCTGTCCTGGCGCCATGTAGCAGCTGAAGCCAAAGTGTTCATGTCCGAAGGACTTCTTTGGAAGAACTGCACAACTTGACCTATTCATCTGCTCATTTTTTCATACCAACATGTTGCGTAATCCTTTTCCTTTATACCTCTTCACAGCGGTTGATAACGGGTGTGTGGCCTATGTTCTAAGGACAGGCTTCAATACATCTCAGGTAAGAACGAGAGCCACTGGGCTTCCGCTTGCACAACTGTCACCCAAAATTGGTTTGGGGTTTGTGTCAGGAGAACCCTCAGAACAGCACTTCGAGGGAGGAGGGAGCAGACCACTGTACTTAACATGAGATAGTAGAAACCTGTTTTCATGTTTATTTTACCCTTGGGAGTAATCCACCTGACTTGGCACGTAAAGAGACAAAGACTTGTCTGGATATTTAGCTCCACCTTCAGGAGCCCTTGATTATCAAGGGACTTCTGTTTGCCTTCCTGAAGCTTCTGATAACCCTTGAAGCTCTCCTAAGTAAACTGGGGATTGTGTTGAGCTGAGGACTTAGGAGAGCTAATCTTGGAAGCAAGCCCTGGGAACCTTTTGCTACTGTCCTAAGAGCGGATGGCGCTTTCAGTCGTGCTACAACTGTTTTATATATCAGTCTGATTTTTCAGGGAGTAAACTGTTTAGCCAGCAGGGTCCTTCTTACTGAACTGCAGTGGGCAGGTCAATCTCAATAAGAAGTTCTTAAAAGTCTTGTTTTATTGCTCTCTCACTGCCCCTAGTCTCAAGTTAACTAAAAACATTTCCTGCCACTTCTCCTGAGGGAGGTTATTGCTGCCTCCCCCTGACAACTCTTCCTCCCTCCCAGGGGAAGCTTCTGCGTACCATCCTGTTTGGTGTGAAGCGGGTGACAGCCAACAACTTGGAGACCTTCATCTTCATCCTCTTCCTGCTCGTCTTTGCCATTGCAGCGGCAGCATATGTGTGGGTTGAAGGTGATTTTTTATTTCTGGAACCTAGGTTTCTTACAGATCAGAAAATAGTATCAGTGAGGGCACAGGTTGGGGTTTCATAGAAGGAGCATACATTTGATATGGCTGCCTGAGTGTTGATGGGGATGCAGCCTCACCTAGATGGTTTTTTCCTTGATGATGGGCTGTCCTGCTATGTATCCATTGCTCCCTAGAACAGTAAATCCTGTACACATGATTTGGCAGCCTTTTCTGTGGGTGGAGATGCTGAGATCACAAGAAACTTAACTCTTTTAAAAAAAAAGAAATCATTTCTCCTGGCACACTAACAGTTCTCTTGTAGCTCATAGGCATTCCGCAGTATGTGGTTTGGGAAACATTGTTCTGATTGTATTGGTGGACTTTGCAGCAGTAAAATGGCATAAATATGTGTCTGCTCCCCTTCCCAAGGCACCAAGGACCCCAGCAGGAACCGTTACAAGCTCTTTTTGGAATGCACTTTAATCCTCACCTCAGTTGTCCCGCCTGAACTCCCCATCGAGCTCTCTCTGGCCGTCAACACCTCACTCATTGCTCTCGCCAAATTGTGTAAGTACCAAGCCTCACCAAGAAATGAAGCTGCAGGCTTTGAAATTGCAGGGGGTGAAACTTCTGACCTGATTGCATTTCTAGGAAGTGTCCCTGTTTTATTTATTTCACAGCTTGTTCTTCCCTCAGGTTCTGAGCAGTTTGCTAACTTTATTTTTATTGCAGGATACTGTGTTCTACAATATTTGACTATTATGGCCTTATAAACAAAGCGCAACATAAGAAGTTGCTTATATAATAGTTGGCTAGATGTAGGGGTCTTGTCCAGCACTTATCCCCTCTCAGATTCCTATAGACTTCGGGTCCCATGAACAAGGGGCTTAATCTTTCCCTTCTCTCCCCCCTCCCCACCATAAGGTTTCATCCCCACGTCTTGATTTAGAATGCCTACCATCCTGTCTCATGGACTTGAGTGTCCTCCTATGAGATGTCTGGGACCATTGGCCCGAGAGCGGAATCCCTGTTGCCATGGTGAAGCAGCCCATAGTTCTTAGAACCACTGGCTTTGTTGCCCTATTCCTCCTAGAAGTATGCATTTGTAAAAACTCATTACTAAAATAAACCCTTTCTCTTCCGTGGCCACTCAGTCCATGCCCAAACAGAACTGTTTCATGTTTACCATCTGAGAGGTGGGTGTACCCTTTATCTTGTAATTGCATAGCAAATGAGCACAAGCAAGTTTGTCCTTTTGTTAAACTTACTGGGTAGTAGCCACAAAGACTTATGCTTGGGCAACAGAATTGCCCATCCCCCTCCTCCCCCCCCATATGCCCCCCCCCAGAACTGTTTTTGGGGTTTTCCCAAGCCTCCAGAACAGATTTGGCAGTGGGCATGCAAGGAGAGGGGAAGTTCTGTTGCACAAGCAAAGTGACTTCACTGGGTACAGACCCCCGTGTCGTTTTCCTCACTTGATTGTGTATGTGTGTGCAGGCGCGCGCACACATGCCTCCTCCTCCTCTGCTTGGAGAGAGGGCAGTGATGGAGGAGGCCTTCACACAAAAAGGAAGGTATATTTTAAATTTTTGACCACCATGAGTGGGACCCAGTAGAAAAAAAGGGGGGTAGTGATCGCTGACCTCTCCCTCTCTCTTTGTTTTCTTGAAGATGTTTACTGCACCGAGCCATTCCGCATCCCCTTTGCAGGGAAGGTCCAGATTTGCTGCTTTGATAAAACGGGCACCCTGACCAGTGACAGCCTAGTGGTGAGAGGTGTGGCTGGGCTCAGGTAGGTCCTTGGTGGGGTGAGCCAAAGGAGGCTGTTCAGAGCTATCATGGGCGCTCTTCACTTTTTAAATTATTACTATTATTTTATTTTATTTGTGAGTCACTTTATCTTGCCCAGGGCCACCCAAAGAGACTTACAAACAAACAAAAGCCTCACCTGTGTTCTCAGGTAATAATAGAGATATCCAGCCAGGATATCTACCTTTGGCTTCGCTTCCAAGCCCCCTGACCATCGGTCATTCGGGCTTGGGCTGATGGGAGGGCCACAGCTTCCCCATCCCTGGCAGAGAAGATTGTAAAAGTAATGTTTGCATGTAGCCGCTAGCAAATTCTCATTTCCACATTGGATATTGGAACTGCTATATGTTCACTGTAATAATAATCTGCATCCTTCTCAAGTCCTCTGTCATACTAATGTCAGTAGTTGTCCTTCAGCTGGAGTAATTGATCTCTGTGTAATCTCCACTATTGCAGAGATGGGAAAGAGGTGACCCCTGTGTCTGACATTCCTATTGAAACACATCGAGTCATCGCCACATGCCACTCCCTTATGCAGCTGGATGATGGGACTCTGGTGGGTGACCCTCTGGAGAAAGCCATGCTAACGGCTGTGGAATGGACTCTGACCAAAGGTAGGCTTGCTTCATTTCTGAGCTGCATGCCTTTTTCCAGAGCTCCCTTACCTTTCAATTCTACTAGAGTGAGCGAAGCTTGCCTGCAACTTTCTTTCACAATATTTGGAACTAGGTGTGAATCAGCATCTGACTAGCCAGCCGGTCTGACTCTGAGGCTGCTTCAGTGTTTCCAGAAACCCCTTTTATGTTCCGTGACTGTGCGCTGGGGGAGCCAGGGCTTCCTTGTTCTGCTAAGGAATGCATCCTGTGGGCTCAGGGCCCCTTTGTCACTCCCAGGAGCCCAAGGGGAGGATTGCTGCTTGTGGTGCTGTTGAACCCTTTCAGGATTTCCCGATCTCTTTGTTTCCAGATGAGAAAGTTTTCTCCCGAAGTATTAAAACTCAGGGACTGAAAATTCACCAGCGCTTTCATTTTGCCAGTGCCCTGAAAAGAATGTCGGTCTTGGCTTCCTACGAGAAGGTCGGCTCCACTGATCTGTGTTACATTGCAACTGTGAAGGGGGCCCCGGAGACGCTGCACAAAATGGTGAGCAAAGGGAGATGGGTGTGACTTTATCTCTTGGTTTATTGTTATAGCCATGAAATGGGCTGGTGCCAAGGCAGGGAATGCTTAGGAACTGAGCAGGATTGGACACGGAGAAAAGCCTTGCGACTCACAGACTGGAAGACCTTCCCAAAAGAAGTACTTGAATCTTCCACACATTGGCCTAGTGGCAGATGAGCATTTTATGCCCTGGATTGTGGGGAGGCCAGATAACATGCTGAAGATAGGAGGGCGTGGCAGCAAGGCCCATGCAGCTAAGCGGGGTCGGGGGTGGGGAGCCAAATGGCCAGAGCTGAAAACGTGATACCCAGAGTGCCTTTGATTTCGTGAAGTGCTCTATTATCAAAACAATGTTTGGCAGCTTGACAATGCTGTTGTTAAACTTTAGTCGGGTTTTTTTTGCTAGAACATAAGAACCCTTCTGGATCAGACAAAAAGCCCATCTAGTCCAGCATTCTGTGTTCACCTTGGCAAACCACATGCCTCTGGGAAGATGGCAAGCAGGGCAGGATGAGTGCAGCTGTGCTGTTCCCACTTAGGTTCCCCAGCGACTGATATGCTGAGCCACCATAACTAGCAGCCTTACCTGCATGTAGCTAAGCCTCTGTTGAAGCCGTCCAAGTTGGCAGCCTCTACTACAGCTTGTGGGAATGAATGCAATGTGCTTCCATTTGTCTCTCCTGGACCTGGTAACCTTCAGCTTCACCCTCCAAGGCTGCCAGAGCCTCTGCTGTTCTGGTGCTTTGTGGCTCACAAGGAGACGTGCTCAGGGCGGGGGGCTTCTTTCCCCTGCCTTCACATTCTTTTGTGACTGTCCCTCTTTGCCCCTCTCTTTTCTCGTGCAGTTCTCTCAGTGCCCCAGTAGCTACAACAGTATCCACACAGAGATCTCACGCGAGGGAGCCAGGGTCCTGGCACTCGGCTACAAGGAATTGGGACACCTCACGCATCAGCAGGTAGGCTTTGGCCTGCACAGGCGACACCTTCCACATGCTCTGTCGGGACCCTATTGCTGTGGGAGGTGCCGCTGTATGTGCCAGATTGTGGCCTCTCTTATGGGTAAAGTTAGTTGTGCTAGAGATAAACTGAAGGATAAAACCAGCCCACACTGGCCCCTTGCTCATGGTTGGCCTTGAACGCCTCTTCCTTCCTTTTGCGGGGTAGAGAGGAGCATTCAGAGTTCTGACAAAGCACAAGAGGGTTGCTTTTCACATGGCAAGGTCAATCTGTGCAGCCTGGCTAGAAGTCTGCTTCTGAAGTGTGGCAGCTGCCACACTGTGCTGAGTGCACAAGTGACCTGGCCAAAGGGTTTACAGTCCAAAATAAATGCACAAGGCAGCCTAGAGGGAGAAGTTAGAAACTGACAGATGAGGATGAGTGGAAAGCAATGTCAATGTGGGTTTTTTAGCAAAGACACCCCCCCCCCAGCCCAGTAACTGCAATGTGGAAGGGAAAAGCCTTTATGACTTTAGAGGAAGGGGCATAGCTGGCCACCAGGGCAGAAGGCAGAGAGATGGGAGGGAACTCAGGGAGTTGGTGGACAATGAATGAGTTTCTGTGTGTGGTGGAGAGAGTTGATGTGAGAGAAGATGACGATTGGACTGGAGAGTTTGTGGTTATGCGGAGTGAGAAGGGGTGAGCAAAAAGATTTGGGCGGAGTAAACTGATCAAGCCCAATGGAAAAGGAAGTCTGCTGACTGGTTGGCAAGTTGGTTGGAATGGGCTGCCCAGGGCAGGGGGACTGGATTTTCCATGACGCTCATCTGTGCCAGAGCAGGTGCTATTTAAGTGGGCAAGGATTTCTGACTTGGCACAAGCATGGGGGGAACTTAGTCAATGGTCTCCAGCACACCACCTTCGCAAAGCAGGATTCCAGGTGAGACCTGGATGCTCTTTGACATGTCGGATTGCCATGTGAGGTATGGACTAGGAAGTTTACCAAACAATCCCAATGTTGTCGGCAGTCTGAGGGTTGCCCCTAGAATCAGGGTGTGAATTTCTATGGGAGATTCTTCATGTGGGGCATCTAAATATTCAGTTGGACAAAGCGCTGGTCTTTGTTCTCCCTCTCATCTGAAGGCACGAGAGATGAAACGAGAGTTGCTTGAGTGTGACCTGCGATTCATGGGCTTCATCGTGGTCTCGTGCCCCCTTAAAGTGGACTCCAAGCCCGTCATCCGTGAAATCCTCAATGCCTCGCATCATGTGAGTGAAAAAGCATGCCTGCTGGCTGAGATGTAGTGGAAGACGGAGACATGGGAGTCCTAGGCAAGCTGAGGAACTGGCCTGCACAGTCCCACCTGCTTTCCTATTTCTGTCCCTGCTGCTGCTCCTCCTCCTCCTCCTCCTCCCCCCCCCCACTTGTCCAGAGTCTTTGTTTCCCATTTGCTGCCATTTTGAACAAAAGTCCTCTTGTCTCATTGTGATCAGCCCTTCCCCATGCACAGCAAATCCCAAGGCAAAGATTTGAGCATAATGCCAAGGTATACAAGAATGGTGTTTCCCTCCTCCACACTCTTTAACAATTCTCTGCTTGGGAGATTGGAGATGTCCTATGCTTGCAGGAAAAAAAACTCTTCACACTCATGTTCACATAAGTTGATAAACTAGGATGGTGCTCCAGAGAGGCACTGCTGCAGAAAAGATAAGAATCTGAAACATACTAAGAGCCCGGGTGGGTTAGATCAAAAGCCTGACTAGCGCAGCATCCTGTTTCACCTGAGCCTCTTAGATGCCTCTGGCACCCCTCTAGGCTGGCTGAGATGGCAGGAGACACCCCTGCCAGTTGCTCCCCAGCATCTAGTATTCCAAGACATCCTGGAAGGTTTCATTTAGTGCTTGTAGCTAAAGGACCATTCCAGGATGAGAGAGCTCCCCACTGTGTTTCGGGGGGGGGGGGTAGGCTAGAGAGGAGAAGAAGCAGACTATCCTTCATGCAAATGAAGTATTCCCCACCCCACCCCCATCAGGTGGGAAGGTATACTGCACTTCTGGGAATGGAATAGAGATAATTATTGGGGCTGTGGGGGGACAGTGGAGAGGTTTGAAAGATGGAGGGATGTGTCAAATGGCTCTTATTGTAACGGTTGTTGAGCTTGCGATATCGCTGGTGGTGGAAAGTTGGCCAAGACAAGGGAATGTGCTTTGATCTTCCCTATTGTACAGAAAGAGGTTTCTTTCCTCCAGCAAAATATTTGTTTCCTCCATATTTTGCTGGAGGTTTGTTTCCTCCAGCAAAAGATGTTTCAGAAACCACACACGCACAGACATTTTAGAAGAGAACATGCTTTGAGGTACAATGTAACACTAATTTTGTGATATACAAAACAGTTTTTTAAAGCTTTTTCCAGCCCCTCTGACCCAGGTCTGTGTGGCACATGTGCATTGCATCTCCAGTCCCTGCTTAGGAAAATGTCCCTTGATGCTGCCATTTACTTCTTCTCAGGTAGTGATGATAACAGGCGACAACCCCTTGACTGCCTGCCACGTGGCCCAAGAGCTGCACTTCACCCAGAAGGAGCAGACGCTCATCCTGCAGCCGCCCTGTGACAAAGGTAGAGAGGCTGAGGGAGGCAGGTGGACGTGGTCAGGGTGGAGCAGATAATCATCCAGAGCCCCACAAGGCAGCAGCACATGGCTAGGATTCTGTGATGCTGCAAAAGCATAGGAATAGTACAGAACATGGTACACAGTGTATAATTCAGCTTTCTGAAGGTGCTGGTGAAAGGTCTTGCCCTGGTTAGCACAGGGGGGTAAGTTTACTACTACGAGCTATGTATGGTATAGAAATGCAGTGTGAGAAATGTGATGGAGACTCTGGAAGCAGCTGCAAATGGTTGATAGGTAGTGGAAGGGACGTGTGCGGGGGGGGGGGGGAAGGCTTGTTTAGTGTACATGGATTTGGGATGGTGGAGCCCAGGATAGCTCTCTTCCCTGGGCTGGTTCTGCAAAGCAGGCAGCCCCTCCTCATGCTCCCCCTTAATCAAACCCATGCTTGCCTCCCCCTTAATCAAACCCTCTATTCCAGATTGCAGCTGGCAGTGGCAGTCCATCAGCGGCACCGTCACTCTCCCCATCATCCCAGATTCCCTACAGGAGCTGACCAGGGACCACAACCTGTGTGTCACAGGAGAGGGACTCTCTCAGCTGCAGGCCACAGATGGCCAGCTGCTGCTTCGGCTCATTCCACATGTGCAGGTCTTCGCGCGAGTTGCACCCAAGCAGAAGGTGAGAGGTGCATCCTCACCGCAACGTTCTTCAGGCCCTTGTGGCCAGCGAGCCCAAGGATCCAGGGGGGGCATGTTTCTCTCATCCACTGGTAGTAAAAGAGCAGCAGGTGTTTGGATTGTCCCTGGCTCAGTGGAACAAATGGACAGCCTACAACCTGGCATATAGCACCATCTTTGAAGAGTTTGCATCCTGTATCTGCCATTGTGCTCTTGGAGTGGCCTAGAGTCCAGTCGCTGCCTCTTAGTCAAATCTACCTCAGAGGTGGAATGTTGCAGGAGTAGCAAGTGCCTTGGAGTCAAAATCCTGGGCACAGCTGTACAAATAAAAAATTAAATGGAAATAATAATATCCTTTTATCAGAGCAACTTCTGCTAGTATAAGAACATGCAGACTTTCACTAGCCTCTTTGGTCTAACTAGAAGTGGGCTGCCTCTTTTACCACAAGCACCAGATGTCCCTGTACTTGTTTTTTATCACTTGACTCTTGCCATCAAATGCATAAGCTTAGTGGAGTCATGGAAAGGATTTTGTCTGCTGCCAAATGCGCTCCCTTACCTTCCCATTGAATGAGGATGCTGACATGTAGTCAACTCACAAGAGTCTACATGTTTGGGTGAAGAGAAGCAATCTCTTTGATGGCATGGATTTGAGCAGAGGGTGGCAGGCCCTCTTCCTCACTCTGTTTTCTCATTGCAGGAGTTTGTTATCACAACACTGAAGGGGCTTGGCTATGTGACGCTGATGTGTGGGGATGGGACCAATGATGTGGGAGCTCTGAAGCATGCTGATGTGGGTGAGTGTTTATTCTGTTCAAAAAGTGCCACTGATTAATTGAATTTCGGATTTTTAAGAATGAATATTTAATGGACAAGCCTACATAAGCCAGGCATGGATGGCAATCTTCAGTTTATGAGGCATTTCTCCCACCGCTTACAAAAGAAAATGCCTCTTTAACAAGTTTTTCTGTACTCTGGCTACCTCTTCATCTTACAGCTTCTGTGTGCTTTGAGCAACATATACTCAGCCTACTGATCAATTTTGCAGGTGTCATAGTAAAACTTTTCTTGCTACCCTCTCCTCTAAGAAGCCTCCTTCCTATCCAGTTGGGATGCGGAACAAGGGAACTGCCTAAACTTTTCTGTTCTGAAAGCAGCTTGCCAGACACCTCCCAATATCTTCTGTGATCTGACTTGTTCTTGCAGGAGTGGCTCTACTGGCCAATGCACCTGAACGAATTCCTGAGCGCAGGAAGAGGCCGCCCCGCGATGGCCCTGCTGACGGGAGACCTGCTTTGCCCCCCTCCCTGGTTGGGAGCAACATGAGGCCCACCTCCCGGGCTGCCAAGCACAGGGTTATGTTGCACAGAGAAGAGCAGCTTGCCATGCAGCGGGTAAGTTGCTGGGTTCTCCTTCCTCCCCCCATATTGGACTCCCTTGTGCTTCAGGACTTTTTCCTTTGTGAAATTCCAAGAGGTTACAGGGAGAGACACACTTGGCTCTGCCCCTGCACCCATTGTATGCTGGAAGAAAAGTCACTAGGGTGAATGGAAGCTGGCCTTGTCCTTAGTCTGACCTAGATTTAAAAAATAATAAAATTCCATTGACCATGAACCAAGCAACTCTGTCCTCTTCGTGTCCTCTTTCCTTTTCCTAGTGACTGGCTTTGTAAGGTTGGCATTTGGAATGTATCTCTGAGGATAGCTTTGCTGTGGATGAAACCGCATGTCTTCTGTCCCCCCCCCCTTTCTTCCTAACAGGAGAGAATTAGCCAGGTGCTGAAGGATCTGGAGGAGGAGCAAGTCCCCATTGTGAAGTTGGGTGATGCCAGCATTGCGGCTCCTTTCACCTCCAAGCTGTCCTCAATTCAGTGCAGTAAGTAGGGAGGGGAGAGAACTTGTTTTGGGCAAGGCAGTACTTGGACCAACTCTGAAGGATGGGGACACCTCCAGGCATGTTTTGCATGTAAATGCAACCATTGAGCCTCTTTTTTTGCACTGTTTGTGTGCATGTGACTAACTTGGAATCTTTAAACTATGCACGTTTTATATTTGTAAGAGATGAAGTGCAATATTAGTCTGGCACTGTGTATGGGAAGGGGCTGGGAAAGCATGAAACAGCTCTTCTGAGTCCTGCCCCACCCAGTTTTTTAATTTGATTTCCAGTTTGTGGCCTCCAGAGCAACCCAAGCCAATCCACTAGAGAAGGTTTCATTGACTGAGTGCCCAGAGCAGGGCTGGAACTGGCCTTCTGCCAGCCTTTCTGGGCTTTTCCTTCACAGATACTCCAGCCGTGTAGATCTAAAGAGGGAAGGGCAACTAGTACATCTCATGCAAGCAAAGTGTTATTTCCTCCTCCAGTCTGCCATGTGATCAAGCAGGGCCGCTGCACTCTGGTCACCACGCTCCAGATGTTCAAGATCTTGGCTCTGAATGCACTAATCTTGGCCTACAGCCAGAGTGTCCTTTACTTGGAAGGGGTCAAGTTCAGTGATTTCCAGGCTACATTGCAGGGGCTGCTGCTGGCTGGCTGCTTCCTTTTCATCTCCCGGTCAAAGGTAAGAAAGGTGATGAGAAGGGAGGCGACCATCACTTCCTCTGCCCAGAAAAGGCCGTTCTACCCTGTTCATCATTTGCACTCTTTCCTTACAGCCCTTCCATGTTTTAAAGCAACTTTCAAAATTGGTCTGCCTTGCCACATTGACATACTTTTTTCTTTCTTTGAGACCACTTTCCAAAGTGGTTGGTGTGTGCAGGGTTCAACATGGACTGCTTCCCAAATATTTGCAAGAGAATGCAGCTGGCTCACAAACCCAGGACAGCTGCTGCTGCTAATAACATTTATTATTCGTACCCCACCCTTCTGATTGGGTTGCCCCAGCCTTTCGGGGCGGCTTGTGGCTGCCTGGTCCTGACCCCTTTTCTTCTTATTTCCAGCCTCTGAAGACCCTCTCCCGGGAGCGTCCACTCCCTAATATCTTCAACCTCTACACAGTTCTTACAGTGCTGCTGCAGTTCATGGTTCACTTTGTCAGCCTGGTTTATCTGTATCGAGGTGCACAGGCCCGCAGTGACCCCAAGTGAGTGCTGCTTGGATTTAAGCTTGGAACTATGAAAATGTGAAAGGATATTGCTCACAGTGGAATTGGTATCGGCAGGCTGGAATATATGGGCCAGAAGGAATGTTGCTCCCTTAACATGAACACACTTCCCAGGGCAGGTGTGAATGCAAGAGACATCCATGAAACTGTGGATTAACACGATCACTCTCCTAGGACAATCAGAGCTGTCCCCTTGCATCCATCCATGGTCCTTCCTCAGAGAAGCCCTGGAAAAGGGTCCTGTAAAGGAGGAGGAGAGATAGCCAAAGGGTTCCATCAGCCCCAGTCCTTCCACCTTGCACAACTGGCCCCTGGGAGAATCATAGAATCATAGAGTTGGAAGAGACCACAAGGGCCATCAAGTCCAACCCCCTGCCAAGCAGGAAACACCATCAGAGCACTCCTGACATATGGTTGTCAAGCCTCTGCTTAAAGACCTCCAAAGAAGGAGACTCCACCACACTCCTTGGCAGCAAATTCCACTGTCAAACAGCTCTTACTGTCAGGAAGTTCTTCCTAATGTTTAGGTGGAATCTTCTTTCTTGTAGTTTGGATCCATTGCTCCGTGTCCGCTTCTCTGGAGCAGCAGAAAACAACCTTTCTCCCTCCTCTATGTGACATCCTTTTATATATTTGAACATGGCTATCATATCACTCCTTAACCTCCTCTTCTCCAGGCTAAACATGCCCAGCTCCCTTAGCCATTCCTCATAAGGCATCGTTTCCAGGCCTTTGACCATTTTGGTTGCCCTCCTCTGGACACATTCCAGTTTGTCAGTGTCCTTCTTGAACTGTGGTGCCCAGAACTGGACACAGTACTCCAGGTGAGGTCTGACCAGAGCAGAGTACAGTGGCACTATTACTTCACTTGATCTAGATGCTATACTCCTATTGATGCAGCCCAGAATTGCATTGGCTTTTTTAGCTGCCGCGTCACACTGTTGGCTCATGTCAAGTTTGTGGTCAACCAAGACTCCTAGATCCTTTTCACATGTACTGCTCTCAAGCCAGGTGTCACCCATCTTGTATTTGTGCCTCTCATTTGTTTGCCCAAGTGCAATACTTTACATTTCTCCCTGTTAAAATTCATCTTGTTTGTTTTGGCCCAGTTCTCTAATCTGTCAAGGTCGTTTTGAAGTGTGATCCTGTCCTCTGGGGTGTTAGCCACCCCTCCCAGTTTGGTGTCATCTGCAAATTTGATCAGGATGCCCTTGAGTCCATCATCCAAGTCGTTGTTAAAGATGTTGAATAAGACCGGTCCCAAGACAGAACCCTGTGGCACCCCACTAGTCACTCTTCTCCAGGATGAAGAGGAACCATTGATGAGCACCCTTTGGGTTCGGTCAGTCAGCCAGTTACAAATCCACTGAGTGGTAGCATAGTCAAGACCGCATTTTACCAGCTTCTTTACAAGAATATCATGGGGCACCTTGTCAAATGCCTTGCTGAAATCAAGGTAGGCTACATCCACTGCATTCCCTTCATCTACCAGGCTTGTAATTCTGTCAAAAACGAGATCAGGTTAGTCTGACATGACTTATTTTTCAGAAATCCATGCTGACTGTTGGTGATCACAGCATTCCTTTCTAGGTGCTCACAGACTGTTTGCTTAATGATCTGCTCCAGAATCTTCCCTGGTATTGATGTCAGACTGACTGGGCGGTAATGATTTGGGTCCTCTCTTTTCCCCTTTTTGAAAATAGGGACAACATTTGCCCTCCTCCAGTCTTCCGGGACTTCGCCTGTTCTCCAGGAAATCTCAAAGATGACTGCCAGTGGTTCTGAGATCACATCTGCCAGTTCTTTTAATACTCTTGGATGCAGTTCATCTGGCCCTGGAGACTTGAATACATCTAAACTAGCCAAGTATTCTTGTACTATCTCCTTAGTTATTCTGGGCTGTGTTTCCTCTGCTGAATCATTTGCTCCAAATTCTTCAGGTCGGGCATTGTTTTCTTTATCGGAGAAGACTGAGGCAAAGAAGGCATTGAGGAGTTCAGCCCTTTCTGTGTCCCGTTTGCATTTCACCATCTTCTCCTCTGAGTGACCCCACTGTTTCTTTGTTCTTCCTTTTGCTACGAACATACCCCTAAAAGCCTTTTTTGCAAGCTCTGATAAGCTCCTCCCACAGCTAATCACCTGCCTCAACAGAAACCCTGCCCCCTCTGACCTTTGCACAGGGAGAGCAGCTAATCAGCCACAAAGAAACACACACACAAGAAAACCCTTTTTGCTCCTTCTTCAGCTGCTGCCCTGAACACGAGGGTTAGGGGAGTCCTCCATTAAGTCTCCTGAGTGGCCAGATAGTTCTGGGACTTGTAGCATGCTTGTAGGTGTCTTACTACACAAAGCAGGTTTTTGTTTTCCTTGGGTTTTTTTAGAGTGGCAGGGGGTGGGATGCCAACTCATGAGCTTGTTTACCCCTCTGGTCTGCGTGGACAGATGTAGGGCTGAAGTCAACCAAAACTCCTTGATGAAGATAAAACTGGCACCTATCTCTGTGCGCCAGTAAGGATGACTGCGTTGTTGGGTGAACAGCTGTCAGGCTTAGGAACAGCCTTCTAGGTCTGGGCCCAACTGTTGCTCAACTCTTGATCACTCTCGGAGGTGGGCCACAGCTGCACCCTCTGGCGGCAGGAGGTGCCAGTAAATAGTTCATCCACGATGGAGGCGTGTATTGTTGGCACACAGAAAATGGTTACAGAATAGCCACTCCCTCGGAAAACGGAATAGCAAGAAACCCAAGAGCTGACAAAATAAGAATGAAAAGCCAAGGAAATGAGAAGCAGAAGTGTAGAAATACTGTGTCCCAAGTCAAGACAGGGAAGGAAATGGGAGGTGGAGGCTCAGTAGCCCGTTGGTGCTGCTATTTGGTTACCATATGACCCTACACTTCCTAGGACAATAACTTGAATTTTAAGGAGTCAAATTGTCAAGAGCCTTTCTCTGTTTCTTTTAAGGAAAGATGATTTTGTAGATCTCTATAAAGAGTTTGAACCCAGTTTGGTGAACAGCACGGTTTACATCATGTCCATGGCCATGCAGATGGCAACATTTGCCATCAACTATAAGGTGAGGTGTGCTCAGTTTTTTTAGCTCTCTAGGGTGTGCTGTAATTTATTTCCCTGCTTCACTTGGTACCTGTCGTATTGGAGCCTAATTCTCCATTTGAAGGCCATTCTGCAAGATGCTGGTGGCCAGGGATCTCAAAGGGAGTGTGAAGCCATGTGGAACAAGGGAGTGCCAGAAAGTTTTGCCAGGCCAAGTACTGAAAGTCTTTGTCTGTGTAGATTAGTTTGAATAGTCTGCATGTTGCAAGCGGATTAGATGATCTGATGCTCTACTTTGAGTTCTTCAGGGTGCCCTACTATGAGAAGTACTAAATATTTTCATTTTATTGGTGGGGGCAGAAGAGAGGTTCAAAGAGAGCCAGACTTTTTTTGGCAATTGCTCATATGGCTGGGATAAGCTTGAGTACAAAGTAAACTACTTAAGCCAACAATTTGCATTTAAGTCTTGTGAAATCCATTACTTGAGATTGACTGTGTGTTCCAATAAATACCAGGACTGCTTTCTGACATACACATATTTCCTGCAACCCTCTTGTCCCTGGAAATAAAGGTGGATGTACCAGGGGGAGGCAATGAATCCAAAGGATCTATTGCCTTCCCAGTCTTCCAACATGCCCCTGGACCAAGAAATAAACTCAGCCCAGGAGCTGGCATTATTACCATTCATTTTCCTCCCTGATGAGAGGGAAATAGTTGTGGTTGCTGTGTTTTTAAAAAAGAACAGGCGTGCAAGTGCTCTTCTACCCACCATCAGCAGGGCACTGGATTGAGCAGACCATGTCTTTGGTTCCAATCCCACCACCCAGCCTAGGAGAGATTAAAATCAACTTCAACCTCACAAAAATATTGCTAATGAAATAAATGGCTAGCCAATAGACATTGATATTTTGGCCTGCAACATGCAACCAGTCTCCAGATGCATGTATGTTGAAGACAAAAAACGACTATTTGGGGTGATAGTATTTGGGTTGGTGATACCTGCAATCTGGTTCTTGACTGCCCTTTCCGTCCTTGTCTTTGTTGCTCAAGGGCCATCCATTCATGGAAAGCCTGCGGGAAAACAAACCTCTGCTGTGGAGCATCATTCTCTCTGGGCTGGCCATTGTAGCCCTTTTGACAGGCTCCTCTCCCGAGTTCAATGAACAGTTTGGACTGGTAGACATCCCAACAGAGGTGAGTAGGCAGGATCCTTCCTAGGTCTTTACTTGGGGAATGTGTTTAGGGGGTTTTTTCTACTGGGGAGTTTCAGAAATGTGTGTTCAACTGGCAAGTAGCTAGCAGTGTGCATCTTAACCAGGGAGAGCCTAGATCATCCTTCTCTGACCTGGTGCCCTCCGGATGTTTTGGCTGCAACTCTCATCATCCCTGAGTGACTCAAGGAAATGCATATATCTTATAATGTGATCCCTGATAACTGTACTCAAAAGGAATAACAACTAGGACTGAAGATGTACCTTTTTTGTGCCGCCCCCCGCCCACAAAATAGTGATGTTGGCAGTGTTGTAGTTCAGCTATTGTGAGCTATTAAGTGGCAAACGTACTTTGTACTTGGTCTCAATGCAATATTTCCAACCAGTCATGAATATGTTCACAAATCCAGCTTATTTAAGTTGCTTCCTTAGGTTACTGTGATAGTGGCACAATTTCAGTTCAGCTCAAGATAATTATTTTTGGTGAGTCACCAAAAAGTGTAGTGGAATAAATGTTGCTATTGGGGAACATTCATGGTTTTTTATCCTTCTATTGCAGTTCAAGATGGTGATCACTCAAGTTCTTCTGGCAAACTTTGTCACTGCCCTACTTGTAGACAGAATCCTACAGTTTCTTCTTGGCAGCACAAAGCTCAGAGTGCCTTCTTGAGATGAACAGATCCCTGGCCAACAAAGGAACAGCCACTGTACAGTTTTGCAAGAAGAATATTTATTCTTTGGACAGCCCTCTCTTACTCCAGTTTGGTACTGGCAGGCGACTTCCCCATTGTGCTGTTTTGGAAACCACAACAAAGGCGATGCCCCTGGGGCTACACCAAGCTCCACTTGTTTCCCAGACATGACAGCACCTGCTGACTTTTATACTACCCCTACACTCCTCAAAAGGTGGTCATGGGATTTGGTAATTAAATGGCAATCAGTGCATTTTGAAATATGGCTGGAGTTTTCTTTGTGATAAAATCCTTTCCTATTGTGCCCAATTCAACATCCTGGGAGTTTGGGGCTGGAAGTCTTCTCATTTCACTTTCAGTTAAAATTAGTGTTGTATTTCTATGGAAGTCATACTTTCATTATATACGAGGCAGCCTACTCAGAAAGGCCATTAATATTTTTAAAGGTAAAGCTAAAATCTGCTCATAAAAATAGTGCTTTGCATAGAACGTAAAACATATACACTGTACAGAAGTTTGATACTTATCAGCAAGAAATACAGTATAGGGGGTAGCATTAGCTGCCATCAGGCAAGATTATATTTACAAACTTGAGCTGCTAAAGTAATGTACCTGCTAGTTATTTCTTTTTAAAGAACACGTATGTGGTGAATGGGCTAGGAGTCCCGATAGCAAAAAGGCACACTGTCAAACAAATTACTGATGCTAGGAGATGCTGGGGGGGAGTCTAGCAGCAGCAGTTCTTTCGACGACAAAGCCATAGTTGTACTGAAAGCAAAACAAAACAGCCTTTATAAATCACATCACACAACTCTATCTAGAGTAGACAACACAGGAATGATAGTCTCAAAATTTCTCTTAAGGACAGCTTAATAAGTACATTGAAAAGCCTCAACTGCTGCTTACCTCTTTCTCAATATCGGCAAGAGATTTGATATGCAAGCTTTTAAACAGAGAATAGGCCTAGAAAATAAAGAGCAAAGCAATTATTTTTGCCTCACCACATCTTAATTTCCCAAGACCTCACCTCAAAACCAATGTTGGCACAACTAAAAACTCTTACCACCATTCCCTCTGGAAAACAAGTTCTGATTACCACCCCCATCTTCCCTTAAAGGCAGATCCTACAGTACTGACAACACACTTGGAACTGAGACTAATTCTTACATTTGTGCCCTTGGAGATGCTGCTCTCAAACTTGGGGTGCAGGGTGAAGGGCACTCCATCCATGGCTAAGAGGGAGAAAAAGAGTTAGGTTATTCATGTGACAGTGTAATGGACAAGGAAACATTTGCCACCCCTCATCTACAGGGCAAAATGCTCCACTCAATCACAATGCTGTTTTGCCATTTTCCTATGAAAGCAAGAGCAGCCCAAGAGTCTGTGCAAGACAGGTTCTGAAAAAGTAGCAATCTCTGCTCCTAAGCAAAGTAGAGAGAGAGCTCTCAAGGAAAAAGCAACTCACACAAAGCAAACTAAGTTTTAGTGCCTCAGCCCATAGAATTCTGGATACCTACCTGAGATGCCATAGACGTTTGAAGTGTCATATATAGACTCATTCCGCTTCAGGGTAGGTTGCCTTTTGGGACCGGGTGGAACCACAGGCTTTTCTGATGGAAGGACTACACTGCAGGATTAGATTAGAAAGTTGTTCACAGCAATCTTATAAAGACTCCTGATGAATTACAAGCCAGACTCTCTCAAGAGTGCCACACAATGAGTTTCTCATCTTCTATGCTAGCTTTCTCTGTAGTATTTTTCCAATTTGTTTGGGGTTGCATGTTCTGAACAAATGCAGACAGCAAATTACTTTTTCTTTTATTCTGGCAAGATTCACTCACTGAGCCTTGCAGTACTCAGTATGATAGGATGTGCCCCCATCCACAGCTAATGAGACCATGGGTTGGTTCTTTGTCGTGCTGAGCCTTGGAGATACCTGCAGCTTCTTCAAAGCACAGCATGTCATAATCAAGGCTGCTGCTCACCATCCGGAAACGGGGGGGGGGGGTGTTACCAGCTCTGACTGGCTAATACAACAAAAGGCTAAGGGTTGTAGCAAACTAACTTAAAAACTCAGCGTAAACCCAGTGAAATTAATGGACTTGATTTTTTGAGCTGAAGTAGCAATGGATACAACCATATACCTACAGAAGGTTCCAGTGAATGGGAAACAACTTCTTTGCCTTAACTTGGGGGTGCTGATGCAGTCAGCTTCCACCTAGTCATCTAAAATTTTCTGACTGGCATTACTATTGTTCCTTTATAAAAACCATCAATATTTTGAAATATTCAAATACAGTTAAAATGCAATATGGCAATCAGAGGAAATTGTTACACAGTGATAATGCAAACCTGCAAAAAATCAATTTGGAAATGAAGCAGAGGGAATTGGTTCTTAGGCTGAGAGGTGTCCCAGAAGAAGGCAAACAGGATTTAAGAGAATACTTAACTAAGGTGTTAGCAAAATGGCTACAAATTGAATAAGAATTCTTGGATGGTTCAATTGTCAGGTGAATTCAAAATTTGCAGATTAAAAAATCGCCAGGATATTGTCTGGTGACCTTTAACTCAAGAACTATTAAGGATAGAATAATACAAACCAATTATATGAACAGATTGCAAATTGGAGGTAAAAATATTATTATCCTGAAGGAAATTCCTGCATGCCTTCTTAAAAAACACATTAATTATACATTTCTGACAGATGCCCTGAGAAACCACATAATACTGTATCGATGGAAATTTCCAGAAGGGATTTCCTTCACATACAAAAACAAGAAACGTAGATTCACTGACATAGAGGAGGCCCAGAAATTTTTGAGGACATAGCGAAAGGAGTTAGGAGAGACTAAACCGTTGACAGAACCAGAGGGAGTGGTAGGAGGTGAGGAAGAAAAGCATAGTATAGATAAGCAAGAAGAAAGAAAAGAAAAAACAAGGCGTTAATAATTGACAATTAAAATGGCTGATAGGAAGATATTAAACTGGAATGTAAGTGGATTAAATAGCAAAGTAAAAAGGAATAAAATTGAACACGTAATACTGAAACAAAATCTAGATATAGTTTGTTGACAAGAAACTCATGTGGCCAAGAGACATAGAAGGGTCTTGAGAAATAAAAGAATTAGAATGGAATTTATAACTTCAGACAAAACTAAGAAGTGAGGAGTGGTTTTATAGTGATGCCTCTGGTTACGAACTTAATTCGTTCTGGAGGTCCGTTCTTAACCTGAGGTACCACTTTAGCTAATAGGGCCTCCTGCTGCTGCCGCGCTGCCAGCAAATGATTTCTGTTCTCATCCTAGGGCAAAGTTCTCAACCCGAGGTACTACCGGGTTAGCGTAGTCTGTAACCTGAAGTGTTTGTAACCAGAGGTGTTTGTAACCCGAGGTACGACTGTATTAAACCAAAATTATATTAAATGCACTATTAAATATCTCTGAGGAAGCCGATGCAATCAAATAAGCAAAGATAGGGAAGTCACCAGGACAGAATGGATTAACATCAAAATATTATAAAAAATTACAGGATTGTTTATTGCAACCATTGCCAAATTTAATGAACAGAATTTTAAAAGTAGGAAAAGTATCAGAGACTTGGAAAGAGGCCTTTATTACATTAATTCTGAAGCAAGAGACTGATTTGTTATTAACTAAGAATTATAGGTCAATTTCCTTATTAAATAACGATTATAAATTATTTGTAAAATATTATGGCCAATAGATTGAAAGGAATCTTGTTATATATGACCAGGCAGGATTTCTTCCAGGACGTCAGATGAAGGATAATATAAGGAATATGATTGATGTCACAGAATACCTGGAAGTAAGAAATGAAAAACAAGCAGCATTCATGTTTATTGATGCCGAAAAGGCATTTGATAATATTTCTTGGTCATTTATGCATAAGGTTTTAGAAAAGATGGAATTAGAAGAAAGGGTTAGAAGAGGAATAGATGCAATTTACTGAGAGCAACAATCAAGATTAATTTTGAATAATGTTACTACTGAAAAATGTAGTATCATGAAAGGGACAAAACAAGGATGCCCCTTGTCACCATTTTCGTTTATTTTAATATTAGAAGTCCTGGTGAGAAACATAAGAGCAGATGAAACCATAAGAGGAATAACAGTAGGAAATAAAGCATACAAGTTGAAAGCATTTGCAGATGACCTTGTAATAATGGTTGAGGACCCATAAATTCATTATTGAAAGTATTAGAAAAAATACAGGAATTTGTACAATTATCAGGTTTTAAACTGAGTAATAATAAGACCAAACTCTTTGTGAAGAATGTTTCAGAGCAACATAAAAAGGAGATACAGCAGAAGACAGAGATAAATATATGTTAAAAAGTCAAATACCTGGGAATAGAGTTGACAGCTAAGAATATATTTAAAGATAATTATGAAAAATTATGGAAAGAAATAAAAAGGAAAATGGAAACCTGGGGAAAGATTACAGTGGTGCCCCGCAAGACGAATGCCTCGCAAGACGGAAAACCCGCTAGACGAAAATGTCTTGCGAGTTCCTGCGGGGTTTTTTCCCTCCCCCCCACTTTTCCCCAAGCCACTAAGCCGCTTATCAGCTGATCCGCTAAGCCGCTTAACAGCTGATCCGTTAAGCCACTAAGCCGCTTATCAGCTGATCCGCTAAGGCGCTTAACAGCTGATCCGTTAAGCCACTAAGCCATTTATCAGCTGATCCGCTAAGCCGCGTAACAGCTGATCCGTTAAGCCACTAAGCCGCTTATCGGCTGATCCGCTAAGCCCGCTAATAGCGCTAATCCGCTAATGGGCTTGCTTCGCAAGACGAAAAAACCGCAAGACAAAGAGACTCGCGGAACGGATTCTTTTCGTCTTGCGAGGCACCACTGTAATTTGTCATTACTAGGCAGCATAACAGTGATCAAGATGAACGTATTGCCAAAATTGCTGTTTTTATTTCATTTATTTATAGTCCTGGTGATAAGCAATGTGAGCTGCTTCTAAGAATGGCAAAGACATATTTCAAGATTCATCTGGAGAGGGAAGAAACCAAGAATAAAACATAAATTATTGATAGATGTTAAAGACAGAGGAGGCACCCTGCATTTCCTGGAGCTGGGATTGGATAATTTTTAAAAATGACCTGTTGGATCTGGAAGGTCATGTCAGGGAAGAGTTAGAGTTAGAAGTTTCCAGTTTCCCAGAGGGAGAGCAGTGAATCTAACAGAAGAGAGCAAGAGGAACAAGAGGGAGGGACAGGGTGTTCCCAGGAAAGGCAAGGGTTCAGTTCTAGCTCAGATTCGGAGGAGGGGAGATACAAGCCAGCTCTAGCCAGGAGGGTAGGAAAAAGAGCGGGAAAGCGAAGGGAAGGGCGCCTTCGCCATTTTGAGAGTGGCTGGTCACCGAGAAGCAGAGCTCAGAAGGTATCTGAAATAAGTGACTCTGAGGAATAATAAAAAGGTAAAGGGACCCCTGACCATTAGGTCCAGTCGTAGCCGACTCTGGGGTTGCGGCACTCATCTTGCTTTACTGGCCGAGGGAGCCAGCGTACAGCTTCTGGGTCATGTGGCCAGCAGGACTAAGCCGCTTCTGGTGAACCAGAGCAGCGCACAGAAACGCCGTTTACCTTCCCGCTGGACCTATTTATCTACTTGCACTTTGACGTGCTTTCGAACTGCTAGGTTGGCAGGAGCAGGGACCGAGCAACGGGAGCTCACCCCGTCGGGGGGATTCGAACCGCCGACCTTCAGATCGGCAAGTCCTAGGCTCTGTGGTTTAACCCACAGCGCCACCCGCGTCCCTTCTGAGGAATAATAGAACCATTTATAAGATTGGTTGTTAATATGCTATGAAAAGAACAGGATCTAGTAAGTGTTGGAAATGTAAAGAAAAAGAGGGTACGTTTTATCATATGTGGTGGGAATGTAGGAAGGTTAAAAATTTTGGGGAAATGATATATAATGAAATGAAAAAAAAAATGTTTAGAATAACCTTTATTAAAAAAACCAGAAGCCTTTCTATTAGGTATTGTAGGAGCAGAAATTTCAAAAGATCAGAAAAAATTGTTTATGTATGCTATGAAAGGCTGCTCAAATGCTGTTAGCCCAAAGATGGAAAGAAGAAGCAGTCCCATCTAAAGAAGAGTGGCAAACCAAGTTAATAGATTATGCTGAAATGGCGAAACTAACTGGAAAGCTTCAGAAATCAAAATGACAGGAAATTTAAAAAATAATGGGAAATGTTTATTATGTATTTGCAAAAGTATTGTAAACTGATAAATACATTGTCAGGATTTTAAGAACACTTGTAATTTTAGAAATAGTATGGGAAATTTGAGGCTAGAAAAAAATTGGAGTAGAAATGAAATATAGTTGATAAGAAATGTAGCGAACGAGGAATGGGGGGGAGGGAAGGCAGGGGATTCAGAGAATCCCACTTTATGGAATTGATATGGTTTTATGTATAATTTTCTTTGTTTATGGATGTTATTGCATTTGTTACTGTTTGTGTTTTATTTTTATTTTTTGTTACTTTTGTTGAAAACTTAATAAAAATATTATAAAAAACAAAAACAAATAATGCAAAATGAAACGGGGGTATAAATTTATAAGGGCAGAAGCTAAGTGCACCCAACTATTTTTAGTCAATAAGCTAAAGTAGGATGAAAAGCCAATGTTGGGAAACCCAGCCAGATGGGTTACATAAATATTATCACCATCAACATCATCATAGTCCTGCCTCTACCACCATAAATCAGCTCTAATTAAAAAAGGATTACAAATAGCATTGGTCACTGGTCTGCCCCACTAATTCAGTGGTACCATGTACTTATTGGCAAAGATTCAGGACAGCTGTAATGGTAAGATGGGTAAATTAGGGGTTTCAATTCAGTTTACACACAAAACTAGATTAACAGCTACACCTCTCCTTCCAGAGATTATTTTTTGTTGTTAATAAAAGAAGCCATACATCCAGTTTTAGAAACATTAAGACAGTTGTTATGGTGCTGGTAAAATTTCCATCTGCTGCCCACCCTATGCAAATAAAGGGGACAGAGGTAACAGGCTCTCTGCCGCAGTTCATGCTTATCCTCACCAGCAATTTGCCTCCCACAGAAGCCTGGAAGCTGGAACGCATGTGCCGAAAGCTCAAACACCCTGAACCAACAGGTGGCAATCTGGTCTGGCAACTTAGTTGATCTCTTTTTGTGAATGAACGTTAAAACTGAGAAAAGCAGGTGAGAACAATTGGCATTTGGATGGTTCAAGAATCTGGCCTAACGTTTTACTTTCTATAGGATAGAGCCTATCCCAGTGAAGATGGGAAATCATGGTGGCTCACATAACATCAAGAATGATGTGCTTGTGACAAAAGTTGGACATAATCTACAGCAAGTCCAAAACTTACCCATCTGGTTCTAATGAAAGGTGCTTCATTTCTAGGCTCACTTTCCGTGGCTTGGGAAGGGGCTTGGGCTTGAGAATGGGCTCCTTTTTACACCAAAGTGCAAATCCACTCATTTCCCTAGATGAGAAGAATATGGTTAGAACAAAAGCATGTCTCCCAGGAGCTACAACATGAGAACAATGACTATAGATTGAGTGCCTCACCCTATCCGCATATAATTTGGGATCACTTTATGTTTGCTACTCAGCAAGATGTCAAACACAGCTGTTTCAGCTGCAGTCAATGGAATCAGCTTGACGCACAGTCTCTTCTTCTTGGAGAGGGAGGTTTCTGCAGCAGGGAAGCAGGAAGAGGAGATTACACCCAAATGACCAGAATAACACCAACACCTTGCCTTCCTTAGATGGGCTTATGCATCCAAAGGTGGAGGGGAAGGTAAAAGAATATGCAAATGACATATAGAAGTCCTTCCCCACAGAGAGAGATTCAATTACGACTCGATTTTATTTGAACACTGTTCTTATGTGGAGCAGGTGTTTTTCCATATTTGTTCTCACAGTTAAGACAAGAGCCACAGATTCCAGGATCATAAAAATCAGGCTCCATTTGCTTTCTCGCAGAACAGTGCTTGGCTAGTTTTATGATGCCTGAAATACCTGCTCACGGGTAAACATGCTGTAGTAATTTAATCTGCTGGAAATCGGTTACTTTCAATAATTACAAAATAAACTTAGAACAGATTCAGTCCTCAGACCTAACTTTTGATATATCTCGATTATGAGATGAACATTCTTCCTCCCTTTTCCTGTGTGTCTTCTTTTAGATTATTTAAAATAAATAAATATGTTTTCATTAGGGTTTATAAAGAAATATACAAAGATTATGATCAAATATATTTATAGCATCTTCTGCCTCAGCAGAAAGGTCAGCATCTTTAAGGGATACTTCAGGTATAGGAGCCACTTAGCCTAAGGAAACAGTATTCAAATATTGTTAAATAAATAATAGGTTGACAAATGCAGTAGTTTTGAGTTTGGGCAGATATATATGAGTCAAAACTAAGCTGAACAAACTTGCACAGTTCTGCCTTGTCCCAGTCACAAGGCCATGTGGAACATGAGAAAATGATTTGGTTCCCATTTACATGTGTAAAGTTCATCTGTGCCCGAGGGCAAAAAAGAAAAATATCCTCAAGAAGTAGATTAATTGTTCCATTATCCCTTATCATCATAACCAATTAAAAAATGAGAGGCAGTACAAAGTTCCCCCATGGAGGATCAAGAAAAGGACTAAATGACCAACCAAAGCTGTAACAGGAATGGACTTCCAAGGGAGGAATCATGGTGGATTGAAAGTCTTTCGTTGGCTCCTTACCTATGGAGGTAGGTATTGCACGCACATTTGGCTGGCAGCTTTCCCTCCGAAAAGTTGAAATAAAGGGATTACCCTCTTGCTTTGAAAAGTTTTTCCTCTCTGCCAGAGGGTTGTTTTCCTGCCCTGTGGGTCAAGTGACTGGAAGCAGAGGACCATCATCTTGCCCAAACCACACTACAAAGCCATACAAACGCCTCCCTTTCTTAATTTTCTTCAGAATGGGATAATTTACAACCTAAACGAGTTTCTGTGTCTGTCAGTGAAAACTGACACCTGGTGAGTTAACTGCTTTTCATAATAAAGGAAAGAAAGCTACTGTTTAAGGCGTTGAGAAAAAGTGACAAAAAGCAGGATTTATGGTGTGAAATGAGAAAGTTTTAAACAGACAAGGGGAACCTCTGTGAAGCTTTAAGTGGATTTCCCCCCCTTTGACAAAAATGTGTTTAAGAAATTAAAAGCTACTTTGCTAGCTGACACTGTATTCACAGGAATGGAATTTTGTTATCTCAAAGCTGTAAGCTGTGATACTGCTAAAGTGACCAAAGCTATTAAGAGACAGAAGTCTTAATAGCTTTAAAAAGAGATGTAGAAAAATAGCCTCAACATAATGGAGGCATATAATTTGGATAAGAAAATAGGCTTCCAAGTGGAAAAGTCAAAATTAGAAACAGAATTGTTAGAACCCAAAACTAAAAATTTGTCAAGAATGTATAACTTGCTGTTGAAATGGAATACTCAGGATGAAACGGTGAAATCTGCTATGATTAAATGGGCACAAGATGTTGGACATAATATTATGTTCGCTGACTGGGAACAGTTATGGACCACAGGTATGAAGTTTACGGCATGTAATGCCTTAAGAGAGAATATTATGAAAATGATATACAGGTGGTACATGACCCCAGTCAAGCTTGCAAAAATCTATCATTTGCCCGATAATAAATGTTGGAAATGTAAAGAAACTGAAGGTACATTCTTTCACCTTTGGTGGACGTGCCCAAAGATTAAGGCTTTCTGGGAAATGATATATAATGAACTGAAAAAGGTATTTAAATATACCTTTCTGAAGAAACCAGAGGCCTTTCTCTTGGGCATTGTCGGCCAACTGGTGCCAAAGAAGGACAGAACCTTTTTCATGTATGCTACAACAGCAGCAAGAATACTTATCGCAAAGTATTGGAAGACACAAGATCTACCCACTTTGGAAGAATGGCAGATGAAGGTGATTGACTACATGGAATTGGCGGAAATGACTGGCAGAATCCGAGACCAGGGAGAAGAGTCGGTGAAAGAAGACTGGAAAAAATTTAAGGACTATTTACAGAAATATTGTAAAATTAAGGAACTTTAGAAGGATGCTGGATAGAAATTAAGAGGTTTTTAGCTGTAATGCTTTAAGAGACATGGAAAAAAAAGGTTAACAATTGGGTAAAAGATTAATGGTAAGGATTTGCTGAACCAACAAACTGAATTGGAATACAAAGAAGGGAGGTATGAGGAGGTCTGGGGAAATAAGAGTAAGGAAGATAGGTTATGGAACATTATTGTGTTTTTAACTGTTTTATTTTGTATGTTTTTTTCTTACTTTTTACTTTTTTGCTGTAATTTATACTTTTTTCTTTGTTTTCTGTATTTTTGTGAAACTTTAATAAATATCATTTAAAAAAAAAAAAAAGAAAAATAGCCTCAACAATCAGAAAGCCACTTAAACATTAAAAGCTTCCCTAAACAGGGCTGCCTTCTAAAAGTTTGGTAGTTGTTTTTCTCTTTGACATCTGGTGGGAGGGCGTTCCACAAGGCAGGTGCCACTACCGAGAAGGCCCTCTGCCTGGTTCCCTGTAACCTGGCTTCTCGCTGCGAAGGAACCGCCAGAAGGCCCTCGGAGCTGGACCTCAGTCTCCGGGCAGAACGATGGAGGTGGAGATGCTCCTTCAGGTATACTGGACCAAGGCCATTTAGGGCTTTAAAGGTCAGCACCAGCACTTTGAAATGTGCTGAGAAACGTACTGGGAGCCAATGTAGGTCTTTCAAGACCGGTGTTATATGATCTCGGCAGCCACTCCCAGTCACCAGTCTAGCTGCCACATTCTAGATTAGTTGTAGTTTCTGGGTCACCTTCAAAGGTAGCCCCACATAGAACGCATTGCAGTAGTCCAAGCGGGAGATAACTAGAGCATGCACCACTCTGGTGAGACAGTCCGCGGGCAGATAGGGTTTCAGCCTGTGTACCAGATGGAGCTGGAAGACAACTGCCCTGGACACAGAATTGACCTGCACCTCCGTGGACAGCTGTGAGTCCAGAATGACTCCCAGGCTACGCACCTGGTCCTTCAGGGGCACAGTTACCCCATTCAGGACCAGGGAGTCCTCCACACCAGCCCACCTCCTGTCCCCGCAAAACAGTACTTCTGTCTTTTCAGGATTTAACCTCAATCTGTTAGCCGCCATCCATCCTCCAACCACCTCCAGACACTCACAGGACATTCACCGCCTTCACTGGTTCCAATTTAAAAGAAAGGTAGAGCTGGGTATCATCCGCATATTGATGAACACCCAGCCCAAACCCCCTGATAATCTCTCCCAGCGGCTGCATGTAGATGTTAAAAAGCATGGGGGAGAGGACGGAACCCTGAGGCACCCCACAAGTGAGAGCCCAGGGGTCTGAACACTCATGCCCCACCACCACTTTCTGAACACGGCCCAGGAGGAAGGAGCGGAATCACTGTATAACAGTGCCCCCAGCTCCTCTACATGGTCCAGAAGGATGTCATGGTCGATGGTATCAAAGGCCGCTCAGAAAACCAGAAGAACTAGGAAACAGCTTTCACCTTTGTCCCTAGCCTGCCAGAGATCGTCGACCAAGGCGGTTTCAGTCCCATGATGAGGCCTGAATCCAAACTGGAAGGGATCCAAATGGTCCACATCCTGCAGGTGTGCCTGGAGTTGTTCAGCAACCACCTGCTCAATCACCTTGCCCAAGAATGGTAGATTTGAGACTGGGCAATAGTTGGCCATATTGGCCAGGTCCAAATATGTTGTTTAAAGCAGTTTAAATAACTGCCTTTCAGCAGGTCTGGGAAGGCTCCTTCACAGAGGGCAGCAACAAAGGTTTTGTTCTACACTGTTATAACAGCAACACACACTTATGTAATAAGTCATAGGCAGGCATAGGCAAACTCCAGCTCTCCAGATGTTTGGGACTACAATTCCCATCATCCCTAGCCAACAGGACCAGTGGTCAGGGATGATGGGAATTGTAATCCCAAACATCTGGAGGGCCTGAGCTTGCCTATGCCGGGTCAAAGGGATACAAGCTAACCCTACAGGATAGCTGTTGTAGCCCAGGACCACAAAGTATCTTAGGTACATACATGGAAATGTAAGCTATTCTTGGTTAGTTTGTGCTGAAGACCTGTTGTTATAAACAGATTTATACCAAAACAGTATCAATGAATAGGCAGACTTACTGGGATCCAAAAATTCCTTAGCGTAAGTGTATCCGTAAGGCAGTGGGGTTTTCTCACTCAGGATTATGACATCATAAAGTACATCTCCTGTGGGGTTCTGAAAAGAAGCAGAATTCATAAAGTCCAGCAGCACTGAGTTACTTGTCAGGGAAGAGTTAGAAGTTTCCAGTTTCCCAGAGGGAGAATGTTGTCCCCAAGGGGGGGAGGAGAGCAATGAATCTAACAGAAGAGAGCAAGAGGAACAAGAGGGAGGGACCGGCTGTTCCCAGGAAAGGCAAGGGTTCAGTTCTAGCTCAGATTCGGAGGAGGGGAGATACAAGCCAGCTCTAGCCAGGAGGGTAGGAAAAAGAGCAGGAAAGCAAAGGAAAGGGCACCTTCGCCATTTTGAAGGTGGCTGGTCACCAAGAAGCAGAGCTCAGAAGGTATCTGAAATAAGTGACTGAGGAAGAATAGTTAAAGATAAGGAGCGTTTAAAAGTTTGTTTGTTAATACACAATAAAAAGTTATAAAAGAACAAGAAGCGTTTGTGTGGTGATCGGAAGAGGACAACGACCAGGAGGACAACGACCAGGACATTACTGGCACCAAGCTTCTCTCCGCAACCCTGGCATCCTCCTTACCTCACTGTTTATAGCTGATGTAGAGCATAGGAAGTAACCAGATTTCTGTGCAAATCCCTTTCCAAAGTTTGCAGGTGCTCCTTCTACAGTGGATGTGATCTAGAGACAGCAGGAGAGATCAAAACATCTATGAAGCGACAGGCAAAAGGACTGTCTTGATCTATTTGCTTGAGAAAGGGTCACAGGGAGAAAATAGATTTTGCAAGTTAATATCCACAGAGCCTTATAACAATAATAATAAATCCACAGAGCCTTAAAAAGCCATGTTTTAAAGAAATTGTGCCACAGGAACTCTCCTGCAGAACAGGTGCTGCTTATTAAACAGAACAATGACACAAGCAGGTGTGAAGGATGGACACAGTGCCATGGGTGGGGCAGAAAGCAAACCAGTCCATGGTTTTGTAACCTTTGGACTACAGCTCAGAACATCAGGAAGCAAGAAGTTACTGAATGAACAAGCCAGGCCACACTGTAGCCAAACCAGTTTAATGTGCGTGGAGTGAAACGTCAACACTGCAGCAATGCTGATGGGCACATACATGTTGCTGACTAACTGAAACCAAGTCAAGAATCTGTTGCCAAACTGTCAGATGACCTTTAATTGTCATCTGCTTAGCTTGGTTGACAGATGAGCTATGTTCACCTGGTCTTTGTATTCAGGGCTGCAAGATAGCCAGCAGAGATGCAGAAGAGAACTATACATATGCTAGAAAGAGGGGCTATAATGTCCGAAAGTGGAGCCTCAGGTTCTTATTCAGTCTAAAACACCAGAGGACCTAGCAATTCATTGGTATAAAATACTATAGCAGCACTGTCACGTCTAAGTATGGCCTCTAGCAGCTGCCCACTCCAAAGCTCCATTCAGCCCTGGGCTCCTCAAGATGCCCCCAGCAGAACAATAATATTTTGAATTCCTGTTCAAAAGCACTTCGTATAGAATTATATTATAAATGGTCCTCACAACAGCCCTGCAAAGCAGGCCACTATTATCTCTTCACTAAAGACGCAGAGCTTAATCTCTAAAACCAAGAGGGTTTGGGCCGTTCCCCGCCCCCATGCCTGGCTCCCTCGACGCCCAACAGACGGACGGCTCTCAATCTTCTGTAGCTCCTTCTGCATTTCCTCGGGCCGCTCTTCCTTGTCGCTCACCTGGTACTGAAAATTTGGGCGCGTCTCTAGCTAGAATAAACCAACCTCAAGATGGAGGTAAAAATAAAAGGCGCGTTCGGATGGTTTTCTCTCCCTCCCTCCCTCCCTCCTTCTGCTTAGTCGTCCTTTCAGGGAAGGCGAAGGGCGCGAGCGCGACCCGGGGGCCCCTCTGAGGCAGCGACGGAGACGAGCCCCGAGGAAGCGCAGAGGGGGGACGGGGTCACCCGGGGCCGCCCTGGGGGTCTCGTCCCTCACCGGAGTCCATCCCGCGGGGGCCGCGGCGGCGGCGGCGGAGCTCCACCCCAGGCCGGTGAGCGGAGGGCTCATGGCGCCCGCGGCCTCGCTCTTCCGCCCCGGAGGGCGAGGCGGCGGCGGCGGCGGCGACGACCTTCGGTAGAACAGAAGAGAGGCGCGCCAACTCCCGCGCGGGCGTCCGCCGGAGAGAGCAAGCGAGCGAGCGAGCGAGCGCAGGGGCGTCGGTCTGTCCGTCCGTCCCGGGAGGCGCCTCTCGCTCTGCCCCCCCCCTCCCGATTCAAAAGAAAAAGCCGTTGGCTCGTCCGCCTGTTCGCTCACAGCGGGCCTCTTCCGATTGGACGCCTTGGCGCAGCCAATGGAAAGTTCGCTCTCCTCCGGACATTTCGGGAAAGGGGGAAGAAGCGCGCAGGCGCCCTGCCTCGTCGTCCTCCGTCCCGGGAGGGAGTCACGCCAGCCAATGAGAGGCAGCTCCGCCCATCCCGGCGCGGAGAACTTTTTTGTCAGCCGCTTGGAAGTTAAGTTTGTTACAATCAAGCGGCACCTAAGTTTTATGAAATAACTAAATGAGCAAACTCCCAGAGCCAGAGCTGGGCAGCGCCTTCACCGAGCAGCAGCTGTGGAGGTGGGGAATGTGAGGTTTTCACATGCACGTGACTCGCTTCCATTTTTCAAACTATTAATAGTCACCTCATAGAGTTGGTTACCTTTTTAAATAGCCGTACTTTAAAATAGAATATTGTGGTTTTAATGTATTTTTACACAGATAAAGTTACGTCATTCAAACTGTTAAGAATTGTTTTGAAGAGTCCAGGGTACTCCGTTGCAGCCTTGCTCATATATATATATAGTTGTAGGGTGGCCACTTGCACATCAACAATAAAAAGGAAAAACTGCATATGCTAATTGATATGTATAGATGCATTTATAAATTATGGCTGTAATCAGTGCTTTAAACAGAGGACTGTCTTTTGTAAAGTACGGCACATGGCCATCCTAGATCACTGGCGCATACCCAAGTCAGGCTGTGCGAGTCTATCAATTAAGCCATGGGTCAGTAAACTAAGGCCCAGGGGCTGGATCTGGCCCGCGGACAGTCCGGAAATCACCGTGTGGATCGCCAGTGCGCGTGTTCTTTCCCTCTCCCTCACACAGTGGCGGCAGCAGCACCTCCTCCCTCCCTCCTGGCTTCTCCCCGCCCTGACTAGAGAAGGAAGGGGGCTGGGCTTTGTCAGTGCCAGCAGCAGCAGCAGCAGCACTTGAGCGATCACCATTTGAAGCAGCCCCTCTCCGGAGCCCTGTTTTCCAATTAAGCAAACAAGGCTGTTTCTAGCACTTCAACAAAGGCCAGGATGCAACCCAGCTGAAAGCTTAACAACATCTGCAGAAAAAGAAAAAGAAAGTTAAATCTTTTTTCTTCTTGGATGATCACTTGTAGCCAAGTAAGATTTGTTTCCATGAACGTGGTCTTAACAGTGAATCCATGAGTGACTGTGGAGGCTAATTCTGGATCCACACATCCTTCCAGTGGGGAAATAGGTTTCCGGGCGGAAGTTGATCCTGGTGAGTTTGCCAAGTGTACCTTCCTCTTAACACGTTTCTCTTTTTCGTCCTGTGTTTGAGCGTCTTCAATGTCCATGACACCTTTGGTAAAGGCTATTCTCCAATTGGAGCCCAGTAACATGCCAAAAGCTGCCTCTCAAATGGAGAGTACTCTGTGTTAGGCAGACGCACTCTTTTCCCTGTAGGTCCCTTTTGCTGCAAACTCCAAACAGCCCCTTCCTCATTTGCAGACACTTGTAACTCAAAAGGCTGTTCTTTGATGTAAGGTCCAAAAGGCATAGGTGCAGCTACAACAGATTTAGCCTCAGATAACACTTTTGGTTGCTGCTCCCCCCACCCAAACTGTGTTTTGTTTCTGATAACCTGATAGATTGGTCTCAGGATCTGGGCTAGAATGGGTTATGTGCTGCTTCCAAAAGCCCACTGGCCCCACTAACTGCTGAGCCTCCTCCTTAGAGGTGGGGGCTTGCAGCGTCCCAATTACATCCAACACTCCATGACACTTCAGATTCATTATCTAGCAAATTCAAAACCCTCTGAACATTTCCATGCAAAATAGTCAGTGATAGACGCGGGCAGTGGTCTACAGAGATAGCTGTCTTCAGTAGCCTCACCTCTGGAGCTATACCTCCCCCCCCCCATCTGTTTGCTGGGGAATTTTCCAATCACTGCCCCAAAGTGTCGCAATGAGGGATACAGTGATGTGATGGGAGTGCTGTGGGGGAAGCCCCCCTTACTTGAGCCCCCCTTCCTCTTCTTTGCTGTTAGCACACTCCTTTTTCCAAAGCTTAAACACCTCTTCAGTGGAAATGCCTTCTGTCTCTGCTTTTGGCACCCCCACCCCTAGCAATTCATTCATCTGCCTCCTGTTCACCTTCTGCTCTAAATTCCAAGAGCTTGCTTGCTCTCTTCTTCCCCTCGCAGCACATGCTGGGGGTCTGGCAGCCCTATCTTCCTGCACATCACCTAGCTCCCTTTTTAAAACAACACTTTCCCCCAATAGATCTTCCCTGAACAGGCTCACTGGACTCCACTTCTGAGTTCCAATGTCAGACTGCTTTTACAATGTAGAAAGAAAGAAAGAAAAAGAGAAAGAAAGAAAGAAATTGTCCAGTAGCACCTTAGAGACCAACTAAGTTTGTTTTTGGTATGAGCTTTCGTGGGCATGCACTTCTTCAGATACACTGTGTAATAAAAAATTTAAGGTCTTATATATATAATAAATGTTCATAAATGTACCCACCAAGCACGTAGATATGTGGACCACATGTCTGGAGCAGCACAGGAAGACCGTCCTGAAACCATTTTGACTCCCAAACTGACCAAATGTTTTCTCCGCAAGGAGGGAGGGGGTGAGGGAAGCTTCCCTTTGTCTCAGGAATTTAGTAATCACCATTTCAAAGGAATGGCCAGACTACCAGGAAAGGCAATCATTTAAGGCATTATCAGAAAACCCGGCAGACAGGAAAAACAACAACATTCAAATTTCTGTTATAGACCGCCTTTTCTGTGTTGTAGGTATGTTTGTGGGGGGTAGTCTTGGGTTACACCCCTTCTGTGATGTATGTATGATGTATGGAGGGGTGGTCTTGAGCTCCAGGGCAGGGAATTAAAAATATCTATATAAAGGCAGGCACCCCTTTGTTCTGGGTCCTCCACCTTTCCTGCGTGTGAAGGGAGCACCCTGTTGCAACAGCTTTAATAAAGATCAGACTTACTAGCTGCTTTGCTTCTCAATATTCTCTGATTGGCCTCGTGTTATTTTCTCCTACCGATAGAGAACCCACTTAAGGACTCTATACGGGCTCTTGGATACCCCATAAGGGAAGTGTCAGGGAAGAGTTAGAAGTTTCCAGTTTCTCAGAGGGAGAAAGCATTCCCCAAGGGGGGAAGGAGAGCAGTGAATCTAATAGAAGAGAGCAAGAGGAACAACAGGGAGGGACTGGCTGTTCCCAGGAAAGGCAAGGGTTCAGTTCTAGCTCAGATTGGGAGAAGGGGAGATACAAGCCAGCTCTAGCCAGGAGGGTAGGAAAAAGAGTGGGAAAGGGCACCTTCGCCATTTTGAAGGTGGCTGGTCACGGAGAAGCAGAGCTCAGAAGGTATCTGAAATAAGTGACTCTGAGGAAGAATAGTTAAAGATAAGGAGCGTTTAAAAATTTGTTTGTTAATACACAATAAAAAGTTATAAAAGAACAAGAAGCGTTTGTGTGGTGATCTGAAGAGGACAACGACCAGTCCTGACAGGAAGGGGGGCAGATTTTGTTTACAACACCTGAAACAGAAGTCACCTGACCTTTATATGTAGTGAGAGGGTGGGGAGGGATATTACTCAGAAGGGTGGTGGGAATGAGTGATTGGCTAATAGGTGTGGTAAACCTGTTGACGACTGTTAACAACTGCAATTGGTCTTACAGGAAAAAAGCAAGGGATGAGATGGCCAAAAATAGCTTTATCATGTATAATGAAATAAGAATCTAATGTCTCTATTCAGACCAGGTCTCTCCATAGTTTTAAGTTTGGTAATAAATTGTAATTCAGCAACTTCTTTCCAGTCTATTTCTGAAATTCTTTTGTAATATGACAGCTACTTTGAGGTCTTGTATAGAATGTCCTTGGAGATTGAAGTGTTTTCCTACTGGTTTCTCTGCCTAGTGATTCCTGATGTCAGGTTTATGTCCATTTATCCTTGGCGTAGGGTTTGGTCTGTTTGTCTAATATAGAGAGCTGAAGGGCACTGCTGGCATTTGATAGCATACACATTGTTAGAAGATGAGCAATTAAATAGTCCAGAGATGGTATGTTTGATGTTGTTGGGTCCAGTGATGGTGTTTTTACAATGGATAGAGAAAGTAATAAAACAAAGATAAGCAGAGCCAGGAAGAGATAGACAGTGATCTGACATGGTCAACTCCTCCTGTCTACTCAAAATTGTTCTGGAATAATTATCCCATACAGGATCATAGGAACATGCAAACCCACTCACCACGACAAGGTGATGATCCAGTGAGTGAGCATTTTTAAATAGCAGCTAGAACACCAAACAAAATGCTTGAGACGGGGGGCCCGCTAGGGGCGCATTGGAAGGTGGCCGACAATACCATCTCTCCGGCTCACACGAGGTAATTAAGAGGCTGATATGGGAGTATGCAGCCTCCCTTGTTACCCCAAGGGAATGGGCAACACTGCCTCGCCTGCGGTTGCCATAAATCACCCCCAAGTTCAAAAGAAGGGGGTGAGGGCACAAGGCGCACAGCACTCGTATGGGACGGCTCTCCCGGACGCTGTCTCTGATCGCGCGGCCTGGTTGCAGCAGCTCAAAATAAACAATTAGAGAGAAGCAAATGCACATATTTTGAGTGAAGAACGGGAGTTAAGACTGCTAATTGAAGTGACCTCTGTGAAGTGGAGCGACGGGTTGGATTCAACAGGAAAATAAAGCAAGAAGAAGACACATCAAAGGGTTGGTATGCTGGAACGGGACAGAATGGGGGGGGACTTTTCTTTTTTTATCTTATGTGATTGCCTAACAATCCCCCCCCCCCAGGAAGAATCATTGCAATTAATAATTATAAGCGGGAGGATTAAGAACTGTGTGGAAATGAATTACTAATCAAAGACTTGGCTTGTGGAATATTTGGAAAGGAATGAAAGGCCTTTGGAATGACGCAGTTACAAAAAGAGACTCGTTAGGAAGCAGGCCTGGTGGCAGGATTTACAATCGAGGGGGAGGAGACCATGGCTTTGTTATTATAGCGGACTGTGAGTTTGACCTGGCAGAACCCCCTAAGAAGATCGAGGAGAGTGTGACAGGCCTGCGAGGATTAATGGGCAGACTTTAAGAATGTTTTGTACGGAAGTGCTGAAATGGCGTCTGAATATGACTCTTGGAGGAATGGAAAATTCACACAGGATATAACAACGTTTGTTTTTAACCCGCTTGTGGAGACTATCAGAGATCACAAAGAAAGAAATATATGATAACAACAAGAAGATGAGGAAAACAATAAAGATAAGATTGGACAGAACTATGAATACTATTTGGACAGAATTGTGAATATTAAAGCAAAAGCAAGAGAGATGTTTGGATCCCTTTCTGAGCTCGAAGTATGGGTACCCCCAACAAAAAATTTTAAAAAATGGCTTTGTAATTTGGAATTAATGTGATTTGATTTGTTTGTTAATAAAAATTATATTTAAAAAAATGCTTGAGACAAAAGAGCAACACTATAAAAGCATAGCTTCTAAGAGCTAAGGATAGATCTGCAAAATATTTCATATTATCTTTGCACCAAAGGGTTTTGCTCCATTTTTAATTGTAATTGAGAAAACTGTTTATCAGTTTCATTCCTTTAAAAATAAACAAATAAAAGGAAATCATACTCTGCATGACAAGCCACTGACAATACTAGCAATTCAAGGATATACAGTCAGCCTGTTTACTTAAGTGCTAGAAGAACTGGACAAGGCTGTAAAAGACCAGCTACCAGGCAATAGCAAATCAATACCTCAAGAGAGTGGAATTAGACAAAGGTGCAAAAATGTTTACAAAGCATGGGAGCCAACTTGAGCCCCAAATGCAGACAAAAGAAAGGTCCTATTGCCGCTGTGTGTTTGTTCTTCTCTTCTTTCCTATCAGCAACTTAAGACCTAGGACAAATTTTTAAGTTGGCGATGGTCATCAGGGCCGTCTTAAGAATATCTGGCGCCGTGGTCCCTCCGGCACACACATACACACACACCCGTTTCCCAGAGTTGTCCACCTTCTTTTAGGGAGGACGGCACTGCTGGAGGAGGCGGGCAGCGACTGGAGGGCAGTTCGTCCAGTGGGGAAGAGGCGGAGGCTGGACGCGGCGCCTCCTGGCTCAGCTGGCCGCTTCGTGCTGCGGTGGCTACAGCAGATGGAGGCTCTGGGTGCGGCGCTGCTTTGGCATGGCAGAAGCAGGCGAGGGCGGTGAGCTGATGCTGGGAGGTGCCACGTCCCGCCTCCACCTCTTCCCTGGCGCCCTTCAGAACTTGGTGCCTTGGGCCCCGCGCCACTAGCCTCTATGGGTAAGACGCCCTGCTGGTTATGGACTACATACATACTTGCAGCTGTGGATTTAAAAATCTGAATGAAGAGGGAAAGAGCATTGGACAGTTTTATCTGATTTTAGCTCTGTGACTAAAACCTTGGCATCATATTATACACACACACACACACACACACACACACACGAAGCTGTGATCTGCAGCCATTACCAAGTGTTTCAAGCTAGACTCCTATTACCTATCAGGTCAAACCTGTGAGTTAGAAAAGAGAAAATAAAAGCCAGTACCATTTTACAGCTGCAATTAGGATTGTGATTGGAAAATCCATTGTCATCTTCTTTTAAGTTTGTGGAACGATGAGTGTCCTGTGCTTCAATGCAATTGGGGGTGGGGAGCATTTTCTTATTTGGTTGGAAGAATGGAAGTATTACTGTCCAGCAAGGATCTGTCCAATAGGATAGAACATTATTTTCATCTGCCCCATCCTTTTGCGCTGCAGGGCAAGAATGCCACCGTCCCTGAAGTGCAGATCAAACCCAAAGCCATAGTGCTGAGAAGTGGGCAGCTGCGGAGCTGCATCCCAAGCTTGCAAATGGAAGAAGAATGCAGCTCTACCCCTCTGGAGGCTGGATCACAGATGGGGTTGTTGGGGGAAGTCTGAGCAGTTTCCGGGCTGGTGAATTTTCTAAGTTCTGGAAAGTCCCTGATGCTGAAATTGAAACAAGAATCCTTAGTTGCCTCCAGATGCTTCTCATGGTTAGAATACAGCAAAAACAGAGACCATCAGATTGCACATTTATGGCAAATTATTTATTTGCAAGGCTTCATGTTTGTAAGAGGAATAGCTAGCTTTTTGACTAGCCTAAGTTGTGGGAACTGCCACATAGTCTCTGCGGATTAAGTCAAAATCCTCTCTCTCCTCAGCCCCAATTATGTGTTTCTGTAAATTGGACAAATAATGTATTCAGTCTCTCCCAAATATAATTTGCCTTCTAGACTTCTATTTATCAGAGTCTGTAAACCACCTAATCATAAAAACCGCTAAAGTCAAAAATTAAAATCCAGCTTACCTAAAAATACAAAATAAAAATAGCAATTAAAATATACATTAAAAAATAATGGTCAAGGAGCATTACACCATTTCATGTGTAAGACAAATAGCTATCAGCTTTGAAAATTAGGGGATGTGTAAGCACATGGAAATTCGCAGTATAGGAAAGAACAGCCCAGCACTCTGCATTAGCACCTTAGGAAAATGAGAGACCTTTATTACATAGATCCAACAATCCTGGCAACTTCAAAAATATTAATTAGAGCAGACCTACAAGCCAGGGATATTTAAAAAACCCCAGTAATAAACAACTACAGGTAGGGCTGAAAAGATCAAATCTGAACTGAATTTGTAAGATGTGAGAACAACTGATCACTTTCAGTTTTCTACTTATCCAGGAATTGAGACAAAGTTCACATAGGATATGCAGTGTCTTCCAAATGCTGCAGATATAGCAAAATACACCCTTGCACAACTCTCTAATGGAAGGGGGTGCACCCCCATGCATCAGAAAAATGTCGAGTGAACATGCACTTAATGGGAAGAAGAGGGGTTTTTTAAGGCACTATTTTACATTTGCTGGTTAAGCAGCCATAATCAATGCATGGCTAAAAATAAATGCTTACCAAGTTGCACTGATAGCTTCTGAAGATACCGTGTAACGTCTTCTATATAACTTTGACAAACCTTCACCATCTGATGGACTTCATCCAGCTAAGGAAACAAACATTTTAAAGGTCAGAACCCAACAATGGGATCCCAAGAAAGGACAGGCTTCAGTTTCATCTGGATATTCCTAGGATTTGCTTTTCAGAAGAACATCCAGATCTATTAAGCAACAGAAATCAAAAGCCACCTTTCCATGGTGAGTGGACCCTGTCACCTTCTGCTCCATTTAAACCTTAATTCTATCTGACTATGTTTTTAGCAGTTTTTACCTTTAAGCTGCCTTGAGCCCCATCAGGAAAAAAGGTGGGGTATAAATAAATATATATAATAAATATATAACTAAAACAACGCCACAGCAATTGTGGCTAGGAGCCACGGACAGCCTTATCCTCTGTGAACTCTGCTAATCCCCTTTGTGGCCATCACTACAGCTTGTGGTGACAATTTCCATGATTTAACTGTGAACAAGGTCTTCCTTTTGTTTGCCCTGGATCTTCAAACATGACTCACCACTAGCTCCATGTAGTCAAAGACCTCTCCTTGAGAATCCAGTATATTCTGGTAGTCTGGCTTGGCTTGAAGTACATGGGCCTGGGATGCCCCAGTATAGCTATAAGGCTCCTCTGGCACTTGCTTCAACTTGTACTCCTGTAGCTGCCTAAAAGTCAAGTTTCAGTGCTTAATAGCTGATGCCATCCAGCATACTAACATCAGGAAGCAAGTTTATAGGCTCATATCTGGGGGCAAGGCAATACAGGCAAGGCAAGGCAAGGCAAGACAATACAGCCCAATAGACTGATCTAGCATCCACATTTGTATTAGCACTGTGAGAATGCCGAGAAGTTCACATATATAAGTGTGTAACTGCCTTCTGGCAAACATGATGAGCCTGCTTTCATCATGGTAAGAATAGTCCATGCAATTTCATGATAATCCCTGCCCCTTCGCCGGCTTCACAGCTGAATTGCTTGGTCAGAGTGTTGCTGAGGCACTATAATTGTCCTGTACCTCCCCTGCCTCCCCACCACCTTTTTCTAGCTACAAACTTGGAACTAGGAAATGAAGCAAGGAGGCATAAGGTCAGGAACAACTAGAGAGTCAGGGCCCTGGCAACCACAAATTTTGACCTGGGTACCAAAGTCAGGCATATATTGTGGACCTCTGTCCGTACTTAGTTCTCTTTTTGCACACACCCCCTTAAGCTTCTCAAGTTTCTTTTCACCGAGTTAATTTTACAGCCTCTGGGTTACTTGTGCTCTGCTCAAAGTTCTATTTAGTGACCACCTCTAGTTGCCTTGTCAAAAGGAAGATGGTCACTCTAACCTGGATATATCCTCTGCATTTTTCTGGTAAGACAGAAGCAGTTCCTCCCAGGCTTGATCCTCTGCAGAGAACCTGGAGAATGAAGAGACAACAGGCTGTTTCCTTTAATGCCAAGGCCTGAGCACAAGAGCCCTCCCCTCCTGTGGTTTCCAGCAACTAATATTCAGAAGCACACTTCTTCCAACTGTGGAGGAAGAACATTGCCTCCAGTCCGTGAAGGCAGAACACAACCTCTTTCATAGATCTAATCCTCTTTCAAAGCCCTCTGAGTGAGTGGCCATCACTGCCTCCAGGGGAAGAGAGCTGCATATTTTAACTATGTGCCGTGTGAAGGACTTTCTTTTATTCAGCCTCTAGTACGCCCTACAAGCAGGGCAGGACTGAGTAGCTTTGCTCTGACGGGACTAGATTGCACATAAATTATACTCCTCCGCAAGTTATTGAGAAGTTCCAAGATATATGAATAAAACATTCAAAATAAAATCATAGACCCCAGCCTAGATAGGTCTTACCTGACTGTTGTCTCCTTTAAGGCAGCCACCATGGAATTCAGCACTGGATCTGCTAAGCCCCTAAAATAGAAAGACTTAAATGGTTATGAAGTATGGCAGAGGGACTCCTCGTAACTTCAGTGTAATTCTGTGGTGTTGTACTGTGGGCCCACAACTAACGCGAGGGTTGGATCGCACCTGAAGTCAAAATCATGTTTAGTCAAAACCCATTGGGTTCAATGAAGGGTGGCATTGCCAAAGTCATTTTTCCTGGAAGCCTGCTCCCTTTCTATTTTTGTTGTTGTTTTTAATTACCATGTGCGTATTTTATTCACATGTTTTTATCTTGCTGGTCTGCAACCTTCATAAGTTTGATGATTACCATGTGTGTAAAGCTGAATGCACACAATTTAAATGTGTGCAAATTGTGGGTTTACTGTATCTCGCTCTCCTGTTTAAAAAAGCAGTTTCTGGTGCTGCTCACAGGCCATTGCCTGAAGCTTAGCTGAGATTTTACTAGCCTGAGTGACAGCTTCATGTGATGAGGTGAAAACCAAGAAGGCAGTCAACCCAGGATTGTGTTAAATGCACGATTGGGACGAAGGGCAAGTAGCCATTACCCCTGGGAGTCCTCAAGGCATTTTTGCAGAGTTCCATCTAGTTTGAGTTTCTTTGTACAGTGGTTCAGATCTTCTGAAAGTAGGTTCACTGAAGGTAGAGATAAAGAGAAATCATAGTAAACAAAAATTCCATGTGAGGGGCCAATTTAATATGGGCTGAAACAGCTGTTTTTCATCTCTGTTCCAGGGAGCAAGTCAGTGTATTCTATGTTCACATAATGTGACAGCAGAGTCAATAGCTCAATTTGAACCTCTGGCTCTCTCTCCTTGCATGACTACAACTCCTATCAGCCTTATATGGCCCTACTGGCTGAGGCTGACGGGTGTTGTAGTTCAGCAACTTACAGAGTGCTGAAGGCTCCCCACCCCTGGAGTAAACACTACCAGGCAAACGGAACCATGGTCACCTAGCTTAAGTTCATTTCATATTCCTAGCTAGAGCATTGCGTGAACCAGATATGCACCCCAGAATTCCCTGCAATGAACAGAGGTTCCAAGGCACACAGGAATACAGAAAGTTTCTGACATCTTTCCCCGTTGGGGATTGAGACTTAGACCTTCTGCATGCCAAGCAGGGCCTCTCCCTTGGAGTCAGGGCCTTTCTCTTGAGGCTTTTCTCCACAGACAAGTCAACATGGAAAAGTGTTCACTGAAGGTGAATAATAAGATAGCCAGTGCATTCTAAAGACTGACACGGGAGTACAGTAAGCCTGCAACAACATGGGGGTTAGGTTCCAGGGATCACACCTAAAGCCAAAATCATGTATAGTCAAAACTCAATGGGTTCAATGGCAGGTGGGTTGCCAAAGTCATTCTTCCCAGAAGCCTGCCCTCTTTTTTTCTTTTTTTGCCACAGAACTAAAGCTGAATGCACCCAAGCTAAACGCACATAAGTTGTGGACTTACTGTATTGCCCAGGATTTCCTATGCACCTATGGTAGATCCTTAACAGATGGTCCTAGCTTTCTCAATTACTTCACCAGAATTGAAGCTCAACAATTTAAAGCAATGGGGTTATAGGGAAAGCAAAGGTGCATAACAGCAACAGTGTACTACTGGCCTGCGTTTTTTACAAAGCTACTTCAGTTCCGAGGCAGTCATGAATAATTTTTAGGCCCTCAATAAAACTGACTTCCATGCATCCTTCAGCTATGCCACACTTCTTCTTTGTTTAAGTCAACTGATGTTAAGACCCACCTTTCTGTTCAAAAGTTTCAGGATCAAAACCTTCAGTCTGCTTTAATGAGCACTCAAGTTTCCGGGCAGAGTACTAGGAGGGAGGGGGAAGAAATAAAGCCAATTTTATTCTATGCAATTTGGGTCACCTAATTTTTTCTGTGACAGACAGTAAAACAAGCAAATTTAAAATCATGACTCAGCAAAACTATAAATAACTAAAAGACAGCAATAGATCAAATCCATCTGTAAAATAATAATAATAATTTAATTATAATTTATTATTTATACCCCGCCCTCTGGCTGGGTATAGATAGACAAGATGGAAACTAAAACCCAGGCATAAAAGCTGAAGTACTGCCAAACTACTCTTATTTTGCAGAGACAATAATAAAATTGTACACAGGCTGAGACCCTACCTCCCTGCAGACTGTCTTACCAGAGTGGAACAGGCTCTGGTTATCTGCAAGGCGCTCTACGTGGGGCTACCTCTGAAGGTGACCCAGAAACTACAACTAATCCAGAATGCGGCAGCTAGACTTGTGACTGTGAGTGGCCGCCAAGGCCACATAACACCGATCCTGAAAGACTTTCATTGGCTCATAGTACGTTTCTGAGCACAATTAAAGTATTGGTACTGACCTTCAAAGCTCTAAACAGCTTCAGCCCAGTATACCTGAAGAAGCGTCTCCACTCCCATCATTCAGCCCAGTACAGTGCTGAGGGCCTTCTGGCAGTTCCCTCACTACAAAATGTGAGGTTACAGGGAACCAGGCTGCACCCGCCCTGTGAGATGCCCTCCCATCAGATGTCAAGGAAATAAACAACTATCTGACTTTCAGAAGACATATGATATTATTATTATTATTATTATTATTATTATTATTATTATCATTATCATTATCATCATCAATTCTGTTGGGCTGGAGAAACCCAGCCAGATGGACGGGGTTTAAATAATAAATTATTATTATTAATACTTCCAACAAATATAAAAGCATAATAAACATTACACATTAAAAGGCTTCCCTATACAGGGCTGCCTTCGGTGTGGGTGCCACTACCGAGAAGGCCCTATGCCTGGTTCTCTGTAACTTCGCTTCTCGCAGTGAGGAAACCACCGGAAGGCCCTCGGGTGATGGACCCCGGTGTCCGGGGTGGAGACACTCCTTCAGGTACACAAGGCTGAGGCTGTTTAGGGCTTTAAAGGTCAGCAGCAAGAACTAATAAAGAGTAGAAAGGAGAGCATTTTTGTGAGACAGACAGCCTTACCCGGAAGCTGGAGTGGAGAAGTTCCACCATTCTGTCTGTCTCTGGCAAGTCCAGGCTGATTGCTTTACTCAGTTCTGAAAGTTAAGCACAATAACTCTTAAAGTCCAATAACACTAGCCAGATAATTCACTTGTGCATTTTTAACATCTTTTCAGTACTGTACAGTACATTAAATAGTTGCATAATCAAAGCATACTTGATTGCTAAGCTGTAACCATTTGCCATCCACCACAATTTTATCAGACGTGGATACAGATTGTTTCTTCACATCAATAACACTACTACAGATATCTCATCTGGCTCCCCATTATGCCCAGCATTTGTGACTGACCTGGCCTGCAATCCTACACACACTTGCCTGGGAGTAAGACCCACTAATCACAGGGATACTTACTTCCAGACACGTATAATAGCCCTCCCATCAGATGTCAAAGAGATAAACAACTACCTGACATTCAGAAGACATCTGAAGGCAGCCCTGTTTATGAGTGACATTTTAATGTATTTTTAATCTTTGTTGGAAGCCGCCCAGAGTGACAGGGGGAGCCCAGCCAGATGGGCGGGGTACAAGTAATATATTATTATTATTATTATTATTATTATTATTATTATTAACCTAGCCCCAGCTTAGTCGTGACATTATGCTGAAAACATACCAGAAACATCCATGTGAAGAGGAGGCAAAGACTTCCGGCGATTAGTGCCCAGCTTCAAACTGTAGCGATTCAAGGAATGACGCATGACTCGTGGGTTAGGGAGATGGCCAAAGGATTGGTTAAATGAAGTAGAAGCTTGTCCTGATCCAGGACCAAGATTCTGCAGAGGTCCTTTCTTAGGGCTGGGGCCGTGGGCATCCCCTTCGTTTGGACCGGGGCTTAGATTGCATTTTCTCTTGCCAATTTCTGCTAACACCTGAGTGTGACTGGCTCCTGGGTCACTCTGGATACCACAGCTGAATCTAATGTTATCTGGCTCAGAAGCACATCCTGCCTTCGTTTTCTCCTGACTGCACACATTTTCTAGAAAGAAGGGAAAAGAGGAAACACTAAACAAAAAACTTGAAATACTATGAAGTGCAGATCCAAGTATACACAATGGCAACAAAGTATACAACAATGGCAGTTGACATTTAAATTAATGCATGAATTTATTTTGCATAACAAAGGGCTTGAAGGTGCCACAGGAATACACTGTGGATCCACCAGTTTGAATGATCAAGAGGGTGAAGAGGAGAACTTTGGCTACCTGAGAACAGCTTCTAAGCCAAAGTTCATGTTGTAGCACCATGGCATGTAATGTGTAGGCACACTAGTTCTAGTTCCTTCTTCCACAGGCACATCAAATTTATTACTGCAAATATAACATGACTTTCAACGCAATGCAAAGGCAACCCAATCAAAACTATGTATCAGATTTAAAAAGCCAAAACAACTTTTTCTAAAAATATAATTGCAGGATCAGCAGCAGCAATGGCTATGTAAAATGAACCTACAGTTGTAAATGTCTGGGAGTACAAAAAAGGGTTTGCCAAAGGACTCTATGGAATGGCCAGTTGGGCCTCCCCAGGAAGATGGGAGGTTGGAAAATAAAAATCACTAAATGGTATCCCTGCTTGCTTAATATTAACCTGTCAGATTACCATCCTGACAGCACTGTTGTCTGGTTTAGTGCTTTTAATTCCAAAGCATCCCAGTTGAGGGAAGAGCCTCAACTGGGAAAGCAATGCTTATGAGCTGAAGCTGTACAAGTTTAAGGCAAACAATTTCAATCATCAATTTATTTGTTTTTATTTACTGATCTCCCCATTACCATCAGTGGAGTTTATTCCTAGGTTGCAGAGGACTGCAACCTAAACTGCAATTCAAGGGCAGTGAGATTCTAAGAAGATCAGAGCTTGCAGGCCAGCAGCTGAAGGAGAAAAAGGGTTTTATTGTGTGTGTGTGTGATTCTTTGTGGCTGATTAGCTGCTCTCCCTGTGCAAAGGTCAGAGGGGGCAGGGTTTCTGTTGAGGCAGGTGATTAGCTGTGGGAGGAGCTTATCAGAGCTTGCAGGGCAGCGGTTTGATCCATCTTTTAGATTTAGGGGAGCTAGTCTCAAACGTTTGTTGGGGAGACCTAGGTTTTTTGTGGGGAGTTATTTGTCCTGTCTTCACGCTTTTATGATGGAGGACCGCTGTAGCCACCCCCAACGACACGTTCTCAAGATGGAGGGGGGAGGGAACAGCTACAGTCGCCTGCGGTTCCTGCGCAATGTTTGCCATCTTGCCAAAGGTTGCAGGCAGCTTTACCTGCAGCAATTGCATGTTGATTGCCCTCTTAGAAGACAAAGTCCAGCAACTGGAGGAACGTGTAGCTACGCTCCAAAGAATTAGAGAGCTGGAGCTCTTCTTGGAAGCAACAGAGCACACCGTCTCCACCAAGGAGGAGACAGGGGACTCCCCTGAGAAGGAGGCTAGTTCACCAACACAGGAGCCAGATATATGGAGAAACGTGACTCAAAGAAGTAGGAGGCCCAGGGTTCGCTCTGATTGTTTAGAAATACACAATCGCTTTGAGGTCCTCTCCCCTAGCATGGAAGACGAAGAGCAGACTCCATTTGAGGATCTCTCCCTCATTACAGTCGATCAGGTATATGAAGATGAGCAGCAAAGTCAGTCCTCGGGGAATGTGCAGGCGACCTTGGAACGGACAGCTCACGGAAGAACCCCGACCAGACCTAAGAGGAGGCGTGTAGTGGTGATAGGGGATTCCCTACTGGGGGAACAGAAGCAGTGATCTGTGGGCCTGACAAGATGTCTCGGGAAGTGTGCTGTCTCCCCGGGGCTAAGATCCAAGATGTAACTGAAAGACTGCAAGGAATCATAAAACCCACTGACAAATACCCCTCCTCTTGGTTCATGTGGGAACCAATGACACTGCAAGCAATAGCCTCCAGAAGATCAAAAGAGACTACGAGGCTCTGGGCAGGAAATTGAAGCAATTAAATGCACAAATTGTCATCTCATCTGTCCTCCCAGTTGAACGACGTGGCCCAAGGAGAGAGGGAAAATAGTGGAAGTGAACAGCTGGCTTCGCAAATGGTGTAAACAGGAACGGTTTGGATTCTTAGATCACGGACTGCAGTTTCTTGAAGATGGACTTCTGGCAAGCGATGGGCTGCACCTCACAACGGTTGGGAGGAATGTTTTTGCCAAAAATATCAGAAACCTCATCAGGAGGGCTTTAAACTGACTAATGTGGGGGAGGGAGACAGTGCTCCTGAAGGTAGGAGTCTATCAATTGATGAAGATGATCATCCAAATGTCATAGACCGAATGGAGCAAACAGCACGCAGACCTAGTGGTGGGAGGAAAAGATCCTTAAATAAGAGACACGGGGGAACAATTAATGGACTTCAGTGTCTGTACACTAATGCGCAAAGCATGGGAAATAAACAAGATGAGCATGAGCTCTTGGTACAGCAAACTAAATATGACATAATAGACGTCACTGAAACCTGGTGGGATAAGTCCCATGATTGGAATGTAATAATGGAGGGATACAATCTATTTCAGAGAAACAGACCAGACAAGAAAGGAGGAGGAGTGGCGTTATATGTCAGGGATGTGTATACCTGTGAAGAGATCCAAGATTTAGAACCTAAAAGCCAAAGTGAGAGCATTTGGGTCAAAATTAAGGGAGAGAAGAATAACAGTGACCTCATTGTGGGAGTTTACTATAGATCCCCAAGCCAAACGGAGGACATAGATGATGCCTTCCTGGAACAGATGGCCAAGCATGCAAAAGGAAGGGAGATAGTAGTAATGGGGACTTCAATTACCCGGATATTTGTTGGATGTCAAACTCAGCCAAGAGCATAAGGTCAAACAGATTCCTCACTGGCCTTGCAGACAACTTCATTGTCCAGAAAGTGGGAGAAGCAACAAGAGGAACAGCCATTTTAGATCTGGTCCTAACCAATGTTGATGACCTGGTTAGTGGGGTAGAAGTGGAAGGATCATTAGGCGCGAGTGATCATGCTCTTCTGAAGTTTACTATACAGCGGAAAGGAGCAGCCAAGCATACTAGGACTCAATTTCTTGACTTTAAGAAAGCCGACTTCATAAAACTTAGGGAAGTGCTGGGTGAGATCCCATGGACAGTAATACTAAAAGGAAAGGGAGTTCATGATGGCTGGGAGTTTGTTAAGAGGGAGATAGTAAAAGCACAACTTCAGGCAATACCAATGAGACGGAAACATGGAAGGTGCCTAAAGAAGCCAGGGTGGCTATCTAAAGAACTTTTAACTGAGTTAAGATTAAAAAGGATGTGTACAAAAATGGAAAAGGGGAAACCACCAAAGAGGAATTCAAACAAATAGACAGCACGTGTAGAAACAAAGTCAGAAAAGCTAAAGCACAGAATGAACTCAGGCTTGCTAGAGAGGTTAAAAGCAACAAAAAAGGCTTTTATGGGTATGTTCGTAGCAAAAGGAAGAACAGGGAAACAGTGGGGTCACTCAGAGGAGAAGATGGTGAAATGCAAACAGGGGACACAGAAAGGGCTGAACTCCTCAATGCCTTCTTTGCCTCAGTCTTCTCCGATAAAGAAAACAATGCCCGACCAGAAGAATTTGGAGCAAATGATTCAGCAGAGGAAACACAGCCCAGAATAACTAAGGAGATAGTACAAGAATACTTGGCTAGTCTAGATGTATTCAAGTCTCCAGGGCCAGATGAACTGCATCCAAGAGTATTAAAAGAACTGGCAGATGTGATCTCAGAACCACTGGCAGTCATCTTTGAGATTTCCTGGAGAACAGGCGAAGTCCCGGAAGACTGGAGGAGGGCAAATGTTGTCCCTATTTTCAAAAAGGGGAAAAGAGAGGACCCAAATAATTACCGCCCAGTCAGTCTGACATCAATACCAGGGAAGATTCTGGAGCAGATCATTAAGCAAACAGTCTGTGAGCACCTAGAAAGGAATGCTGTGATCACCAATAGTCTGAAAAATAAGTCATGTCAGACTAACCTGATCTCGTTTTTTGACAGAATTACAAGCCTGGTAGATGAAGGGAATGCAGTGGATGTAGCCTACCTTGATTTCAGCAAGGCATTTGACAAGGTGCCCCATGATATTCTTGTAAAGAAGCTGGTAAAATGCGGTCTTGACTATGCTACCACTCAGTGGATTTGTAACTGGCTGACTGACCGAACCCAAAGGGTGCTCATCAATGGTTCCTCTTCATCCTGGAGAAGAGTGACTAGTGGGGTGCCACAGGGTTCTGTCTTGGGACCGGTCTTATTCAACATCTTTAACAACGACTTGGATGATGGACTCAAGGGCATCCTGATCAAATTTGCAGATGACACCAAACTGGGAGGGGTGGCTAACACCCCAGAGGACAGGATCACACTTCAAAACGACCTTGACAGATTAGAGAACTGGGCCAAAACAAACAAGATGAATTTTAACAGGGAGAAATGTAAAGTATTACACTTGGGCAAAATAAATGAGAGGCACAAATACAAGATGGGTGACACCTGGCTTGAGAGCAGTACATGTGAAAAGGATCTAGGAGTCTTGGTTGACCACAAACTTGACATGAGCCAACAGTGTGACGCGGCAGCTAAAAAAGCCAATGCAATTCTGGGCTGCATCAATAGGAGTATAGCATCTAGATCAAGTGAAGTAATAGTGCCACTGTACTCTGCTCTGGTCAGACCTCACCTGGAGTACTGTGTCCAGTTCTGGGCACCACAGTTCAAGAAGGACACTGACAAACTGGAATGTGTCCAGAGGAGGGCAACCAAAATGGTCAAAGGCCTGGAAACGATGCCTTATGAGGAACGGCTAAGGGAGCTGGGCATGTTTAGCCTGGAGAAGAGGAGGTTAAGGAGTGATATGATAGCCATGTTCAAATATATAAAAGGATGTCACATAGAGGAGGGAGAAAGGTTGTTTTCTGCTGCTCCAGAGAAGCGGACACGGAGCAATGGATCCAAACTACAAGAAAGAAGATTCCACCTAAACATTAGGAAGAACTTCCTGACAGTAAGAGCTGTTCGACAGTGGAATTTGCTGCCAAGGAGTGTGGTGGAGTCTCCTTCTTTGGAGGTCTTTAAGCAGAGGCTTGACAACCATATGTCAGGAGTGCTCTGATGGTGTTTCCTGCTTGGCAGGGGGTTGGACTCGATGGCCCTTGTGGTCTCTTCCAACTCTATGATTCTATGATTCTAAGTCCTGTGGTGTATACAGAGGATACAGATGGGAAGTATGAATTCGCTGCATAGATTCCAGCTTCTTATCTATTAGCAAAGTTTAGTTGGCATACTTTTGAGCTATCAAAATATTACATTTCCCCCTTCAATCGCAAATTTATTTTTTAATAACTGGAAATGAGCTGTTCAGTTTCTCCTGCCTCGGCAACAGAGCATCCATGCATACAGTAACCATGTAAAACAATTCAAAAACTATCAAGTCCTTTACCTAATGTTGCAACATTTTTTCTATCTTCAAAGCCAGGCTGATTTTCTTTAGAAGAGTTCTAAACAAAAAATGAATATTTCTCATTACACGTTATCAGACATTTTTTTCCTCCTCACAGGATTCTACAGGTTTTGCAATGATGTAATCTTGCAAGATTTATTATTTTCTTCCTAAATTTCAGCCCAACCTTCAATGCTCAATGTAATAACTTGTTAAATCATTTAAAGCCTAATCCTGCACACATTTTACATGGAAGCAGTCCCATCAAATTCAGTGTGTTGTATCCGATGACGTCCCATTAGTGCAAGGGCCTCCCTCCCTCTGAGCAACATGACTTCCTTTCCTTGCATGCCCACAGCTCCAAAATCTCCTCCGGGGCAGGGGCAAAACAGAATGGGAGGGTGGGGAGAGGAGAGAGAGGTAAGTCTCATTGTGTAAAATGAAGTCCTTATGGGACAAATTCACTGGATACAACCCAGTAAAATTTGCACAGGATTAAAGCCTCAGATTATGGTTTACAAATGTGAAGGCAAAACCCAAAAGCAACAATGATCCATCCACTGAAGAAAGCAAAAACCAATAACACAAAGAGCAGCTAATAATCCATTCCTATGGAAAAAATAACCAATGCCTGGAGATTTAGGCAGCCATTGTGACAAGAAACTAGAAAAGAAACACAGTGTTTCAAACCGTGTTTATATTCCAGTATGGTTATAAATGCATCACATTCCTATTAAACTACATTCCGTATGTGATCCACATCTGGAGCAAAAAGTGAGCATTTTAAAATTACCTCAAATAATAGGAAATACCTACTATAAGTTAAAAAAGAAAAGTAAGGGTACCCTTGAAGAAAAGATTAGAAATGCCTCCCTGCAACACTGTCCAAAATCAGTCGTGACCTCAAACATGATTAGTGCCCCAATTTCACATAATATACACATGTACCCAATTGCTGTAGAAGGTATTAGGACATGCTTTTTTTTTTCAAAAAAGGGAAATGCATAGCCAGACCTGTCACTTGTGTTACAGATATACTTCACGCTAAACACCCCACTTTTCTGGTACAAAGAAATGGGCACAGTATTGTCTTTTTTCATGTACAGATACTTATTTTATTAACTGGCTCTCACACATTGGCCTATTATTATAGTAGAAATCGGACTGCCACCGTGTATGTTTTTAGCATAGCTTAATGTCTTTTAACAGCTGCAGCAACTGAACAGGTGCGGCATTCTCAAAAATGCTGTGCCTGTTGGGTTTCCAATTTTCTTGCAACTATTTAAACGAATAATTCATCAGGAAAACAAGGTAGCAACCCTAAGTATGGATTGCTTGGAATTTGTTATTGCGGCATTAAGTTTTATGCACTTTATAGCTGGTAAAGAACACTTGTGTTACCTGTTGGGTGATGTCCTTTGGAAGACTGTCTTCTGTACTGAAAAGTTCAACAACAACAAAAAATAAGCCTTGGGCTTCTACCCCATTGCTCCAATACCTCATGCACTGCACCTTGCATTTCTCCCACACCACATTCTGCTCTCACAACTAGGACCAATTCACCTTCCACTTAACTTTTGCAAAGCACCTACATGTTACACACCTGTGTTATCAGTAGCATTTCCTGTAGTAAATTTTATTTATTTTTAATTATTCAACCCCATTCTTCCCCTCCAAAAGGATGGTCAACACCTTATAAAGCCAAGGAAACAAAAAACAGCAGCAATGCAACCCCTGCGGTTGGTTGGTCTCCAGGAGGGAGCGACCCTTTCCCGTGGCAAGCCCTGTCCTCTGCAATTCCTTACCAGTAGCAGTTCCGCAGGAATCATCCCCTTGAAAACTTTTTTTTGTTTAGACAGGTTTTTACAATATGGGTGGTTTTTGTTTTTCTTTTTTAAAAAAATCCAATCAGTATTTACTGATGCTTTTATTTTGCTTTTAAGGCTACTGCTGTTGTTTTTATTATTTGTGTTGTAACCCATCTTGCTATACAATATATCTATGAAAGTGTAGGTTTTATCTACATTTGTAGATAAAATAACACAAACAGAATTAAAAACAGCATCAAGAAAAGCAAGAACACCAAGAGCAGCGCTCGCAATCGAGGCCCCAAGCAGCAACAGAAACAAACCCTTGCTTAAAATGGAGCATTTTCCAAATAAAGAGGGTCATAACCAGCTTCACTCAGAACAGCAGCGGCAAGTACAGAATGGCGCCCCGCCCGTTTCTCTGCTTCGCCTGCCTACTTGTGCGCCTCCCTCTGCATCGCTCGGGGTTGGGCTGGATGACCTTCTGGGATCCCCCCCGAAAGGCGCGGCGGGCTTTGCCCTGAGAGGCCACGGCCTTCGCCGCCCGGGGATTGACTCCGTCGAACAGCGCCCCGCGCCCGCCGCCCGAAAGACCGAGGCGCGGAAGCTGCCCCCGGCCGGGCTCCCTCTCGCTGCCCTCCGTCACCTGCCGGGACGAGGCGCCGCCGCCGCCATTTCGACGTCGCCGCTGCCGCCAGAATCAAACTAGCCCGCCTCCGCGCATGCGCGCCGGCGCCCCACCCGCCCTCGGCCCCAGAGCCTTCTGGGAAGGTGCTGTTGGCCTACCCCGACGCATGCGCGTCTTCCTCTTCCCCGCCCCCTCGGGCGCGGTTGGGAGCCGTAGAAAGGCGCGAGAAGCGGCGAGTCGAGAGGGAGGCGGGGCCCCGCCAGAGAGGCAGCGGGGGCGGGGCGGGGCGGGGCGGGGCCTGGGCTCAAGTGAATCAGTCGCCGAGCCCGGGGCCATCTAGCCCCGCCCCCCGCCAGGCAGGCCCTGAACCCGCCCCCGGCTGAGTTGCCGAGGAGGGAAAGGAGCCTCCGCGCCCCACGGCCACCCGGAGGCCAGGGCTGTGCAGCCCACGAGGCGCAGGTTCGCACGCCGCCTCTGGAAGTGTAGCAAAACACGCAGACGCGCCCGGGGCAAAGGAACTTCCGGCAGCCGGGAGCCAGGTTTGCACCCGAAGTTTGACAGGTGGGCAAAGCAGCAGACCTGTCCATCAACTGACAGCAGGATGACTTTAGGTGACCTTTTTGCCCTTCTGCCAACAGAGTGTCTTGCAAAGTGCCCCACAAGTCAACACTTTGCCCAACAGAGGAAATAAAGAGCTCCCAACAGAAAATGAGAAATTGAGGGTCTCAGTGTAGTTGTCATGCACGTTGCCCTTCCTGCCCTGCCCCCACCCCCAGAAACAAAACATAGCAACAGACACAGAAGTGGCCAGAATTTAAGGGAAAGACAACAGCCTTGCAATGCATTCCAATATGAACAGTACAGTGGAACCTCAGGTTACGAACACCTCAGATTAGAGACTCCGCTAACCCGGAAGTAGTACCTCGGGTTAAGAACTTTACCTCAGATGAGAACAGAAATCGGGTGGCGGTACAGTGGCAGCGGGAGGCCCCATTAGCTAAAGTGGGTTGTGCAGCTTCCACTGCACCTCCCAGGTTCAGAGGAGATCTTGAGAGAGCCCTGAGAAATCTCCCCAGAAATCTCTGTTCATCCATGGTAGCAGAACCCCCTTGGATTCCGCCACCTGAGGCAGCTGCCTCAGTTTGCCTCCTGGGTCCAGCCTGCCTATTTTGGTGCTATCCAAACCAGCCAAGTTCACCAGCCACACATCACTGGCCAGGACGGATGCAGTGAACCACAAAACTTCCACAAAAACCACATTCCAATACCTGTTCTGGGCCTAAAGGTTTTTCCGGGGGAAATGCCTGGAATGGCAACATCTAAGAAACCCAAACCAGGGTGCTATTCAACTAATGAATTATAACAGTGCAGCTGTCAGCTGCACAATGTAACTTCCCTGCAGTTTCCTCTCCCTGTGCGCCTGGAGGGGGATCCCCCAACCCTCAGGGGGGATGTAGGGAGAGGGTGCGTAAATCACATTACGCAGGTAAAGGTCATTCAGTAGCATAACTTGTTAGCAGAATACCGCCCCAAATTCAAGTCGCATTGTTGTTTTGGCCATTTTTTCTGGATTCATCCTTTAACTACAATGGATAGCAAGCCTGGATTCTGTGAAAGTTTGGGATCTTACTGCACCAATCCCATCAGCTACAGTGGTACCTTGGTTCTCAGACTTAATCCGTTCCACAAGTCCGTTCCAAAACCAAGGCGTGCTTTCCCATAGAAAGTAATGCAAAATGGATTAACCAGTTCCAGACTTTTAAAAACAACTCCTAAAACAGCAATTTAACATGAATTTTACTATCTAATGAGACCACTGATCCATAAAATGAAAGCAATAATACATTGATTGATTGTGTAATACAGTCACACAATCAATCAATCAGTAGTTGAACTGGGCTCCACAGTGTCACAAAAGGTTCCAAGATGGCGTTGTTAGTGGAAGCACTGACTTGAGCTCCGCAGCAGTTGTGCGGTTTTTATTAGTTTTTATTAGTTTTATCAGTTTTTATTCAGCTTTTATCAGCCTCAGTATTTTATCTACAACATTTGGCAGCTGTTCTTTAACTAATATATTCAAGGCTTGAGTTAAAAGCTCAAGTTAAAAGTCTTAGAAAAAGGAAGAGGGGGAGGAAAAACGCCGAGAAACAAGGAGCGGCTGAAACTGAAGGCAAGTTCTGCTTCATTTTATCCCCTGGCAGAATTACTTGCCTACCTTGAAAGCAGTCTCGCGGAGAACCCTCCTGCAACACCCGACGGAGCTAATGAACCGAGGTGAGATTTTTACCAACTTGACCCTACAAGATAATGGTGACGACCAGGAGTGGCTATAGAACATCAGGCTTTTACCAGAGTGATTTAAGACCTCTCTCTAAAAGAGCTACCCTAAAGGGAACTCAAACAAAAAGCACTCGGCCCTTTAAGAATAGGGATAAAGTTAAGCCGAGTGAGAATCAGCAGGAAACTGAAACTTTTCCCTCCTGCACTGAAGGGCCGGCTGTGCAGAGAGAGGATTGTGTAGAAGAATGCCACAACAAAGGGCCAATAAAGCCCAAAGTAAATCCAAACACAATTGGTACAGTCACCGAAGCACTCCCAAAACAGAGACTTAAATCCCAAGCTTCTCCTGAACCATCCCAAGTCCGAGAAGTGGAAGAACTAATGCTAAAACAAATTGCAGAGATCTCTTCGGGAAACCCTAAAACATCAGGAGACCCCTGCTTCCAACCTGAGACAAATGAGGATGAGGATGAGGATTTATCAGTTATCAAATGGCTTGTGTTTTTAACTGAGGATATCGAAAATATAAAATCTCATCTGGCCACCTGTACAAAAGTCCTCACTATAATGTTGGACACTTGCAAAACTCTCTGTAGGGAATCCAGCGGGATGACTGTAGAATTGGAAAGTAATAACAACTTCCTTCCTATCACCTGCAAAAACAGATCACCAAGGAAGGCCAAGAGATCTTGTAGGGCTACTGCCTTGGAAAGGAGGCCCATAAGGGCAAAAAAGAGCAGAAATGTTAAAAATTTTAAGGCAGTGCGTTACAAAAAAATGGATTTTAAAAAGCTTTTAATCTTCTCAAGAGTATCCCAATAACCGAGACCAGTGGGAACACTGAGAAATTTTTAACCAGGAAATCTTCTAAGCAAGAACGTTCTATAAACCCTTGCCCTGACGCTGCGATGGATTCCTTGAAACCCTTAACACCTATCCCAACACCTAACTCCAAGCAAGACATCTTGATCCAAGATCCATGGTCTTACATTCTATCTGTAGATGAAACCAATCCCTCTAAGAAGAGAAATCTGATAAATCTAACAAATAAAAGCTGGAATCTGGTGCTGTACCAAAACAAACTCGTTTTATCAAATTATCCCAAACCCCCAGGACTCCTGTCACAAGAAGAGCGTAAAGCCCATCTATTGAACCTTTTAAAGATCTATATGCCTTAATAACCCTACTGATTTGGCCCAAGTGGAATATCTATACTTCAATGGATTCCTTGCCAGAGCGGTGGTCTCATTCTATGAAGGGAGACTGGCAAAACAAGTGTACAAATGTAGAGAACAACTGGAGATGAGTGGTATAAGAATCTCAAGGTACTTTAAAAATGAAGCACCTCCAATTCCACTTATCCCCCATATCGTAAATTTGCCAAAAACTCAACATGAGATTGACCAACACGTTTTAATTGATATAAACTCTGCGGAGGACATCTCCAAACATCCTACTGGTCTGGTTGCCAAGGACTCTCAAAGGTTGGACTCCCTTGGGCCCAGGTAGGCAGAGAATCAGGGAATCGATCTTGATAGCTTTGATAATAACTTACTCTACTCTTATAGCGTTCTCCCGCAAGAAGTTCAGAAAGAAATACTTCATAAAATTGATACCCTTTACTTCTGCCTGACAAAAGTGACGGAGGAACAGCTGAGATTACCTAAACAAAATATGCTTGATAGAGACTGTGGTTCAGATTCTGTCCCACGTTTATACCACCAAGAACTGGACCTGTGGGTTGGGAAGGCACCCACCCCTACCAGCCAACTGGTTGTTGCGGAAATGAATCCACTCTTCCATATTCTGGAGGCGGAAACCTTACCACCAGACCCATCTACCATGCACCCCATCTCTGAGGCAAATATGACTACAACATCTGCCTGGGACAAAATGAGGGAACTCAACGAATCTGAATTAGGCTCTCCATGTAAAGTGCCCCATATGGGTCCACTTACTTGTAACTTTATTAACCCACTCTCTTCTAACGTGTGCAAGTTGAATAAATCCATAGATACCATCGAACCGATAACAGAACCAGCTGAACCAGACCAACACATGAGAGACGACTCCATTTTATTTTTAGCCCCGAAGAATGATCTGGTCGAAGACCCGACAGGTCGTATTAACAAAATTATCCAAACAATTAATGATCACTCAACTAGTGGCACGATACCTGTTGACTTAAATTCGCTCTCTTTAAGTAATACCCCCCTAATCCCACCATCTGGCTCTGAAAAGTCGACTATCTTAGGCCTAACATCTGCCTTTAGCGAGACAAGTGGCAAGACTTTACAGCCAAACCACCCCAATAAATCTAAACAGTTGGGATGTATAGCACGATTGCCACCTTCTCAAAGGAAAATTACTGATTTTTTTGAAGCTGAAACTCCCCCAAATTTAGAATCCCATTCCCACATGATCTGACTACCTAACGACCAACCCGGCCACTCCTCGATGTCATTTTTATGCTGGAATATTGCGGGATGGAGGGGGAAGAAATTTGATCCAGACTTCTTAAAATTTGTTAATTTATTCCAAGTAATTCTCCTACAAGAAACTTGGGAAGAGGTGGTGATTGACATAAATGGATACGATACCATTTTGCTCCCAGCTAGCCCCTCTCTTAAAGGTGGACGCCCTAGGGGAGGTTTGGTAATAGCCATCTCCCTCAAAGGGAGGGAAATTTGAACTACTGGTAACAAATGTTTATTTCCCCCCTGGGGGGCAGGTAGCGGACCTCCATTCTAAATGGGAAACACTTGAAGAACACCTAGCTTTCTGTTACACTAAGTTCCCAAATATTTCAGCAGTCATGGGAGGTGATTTTAATGCTCGTACAGCTGCAAACTGGGAAGCGCTAGGCAAGGCCAAATGGTGGGTCATACCTGATCACCAGAACTTGGATTTCTCCCCCCATATACAGAGAAAATCGAAAGATAATAGGATTAACGAAGCGGGAACCCTTCTTTATCAACTGATTTTACTTTTGAATTTGATAATTTTAAACGGAAATTGTCCCCCGGATATTCCGGGTGAGTTCACTCATTTGAGCACACTTACAAATAGTGTTCTCGATTATTTTATTGTCTCCAGAGATCTATTCCCAAATTTTTCTTATTTTAAAATAGAAAACGTCCAAATGAGCGACCATCTCCCCTTGAGTGCCAAGCCTTCCCTAGACTGGCAGTCTATCAAGTCCAGACACCCCATATATATGGGAATAAATACTGCAGAACAAGTGAGAGGAATAAAATGGTCAGTAACTCAAGCCCAAAAATATATGGAATTTTTCCAACAAGAGATAATTCAAACTCATGTTGCTTTGGATTTCGATTTGTATGGGCATGAACAAATTATTAATTCATTTTCTCTGCTTACAGAAGATCTTATGTCCTTTTTTACAGTACCAGCCATCCAAGTAAATCGGGCCCATTTTAAGACCGGTGCCCCTTGGTTCAACTTAAAATGCAAACAAGCTAGACGACATCTCTGTGCCATTTACAATGAATATAAATCTTCTGGCGCTTTAGTATTACCTAGGAATTACCAACAAGCAAAAACAGCATATAAGCAAGCCCAGAGAATGGCTAAGCAAGAGTGGCAACAAAATCGCTGGCAAGTGCTTATAGTCGCCTCTAGTCCATGTAGCTCATGGCAATTTTGGCAATTGGTTAATAGAAGATCAAGGAGATACCCTTTAACAATAATTCCTGCCCTGGTCTGGGAATCCTTTTTAAGGAAATATTTTGCGTCACCAGATTCCAATACCAACGCTTTTGATGATGTATTTGACCATCTCCCCATCTGGCCCCCTACTGACCCCGATGAAATCTTGAATTTAATCTCTAAACTTAAAATCGGCAAAGCCCCTGGGCCAGATTTGGTTCCGGCGGAAGCCATAAAACTACATTCCGACTGGTGGGCAAAAATCCTGGCTGTTACTTTCGATGCTATTAATGCAACTGGAAGGGTGCCAAAAATATGGAAGGACGCTATTATAATCCCAATATATAAAAAAAGGCTCCCCAGACGACCCGGAGAATCATAGGAATATTAGTTTACTGTCAATAGTTGGAAAGATATATGCACGTTTTCTGCTGAATAGACTTACCCAATGGGCTGAAGAAAAGAAACTGATAGGCCCCGAGTAAGCAGGATTCAGACCGAACCAGTCAACTACGGACCATGTTTTAGTCTTGCACCATCTAGCCTGGAAATATTCCTCTTCAAACCGAGGCCAACTTTGTGCGGCTTTTATCCACCTTAAGGCTGCATTTGACAGCATCCCAAGAAGGTTACTCTGGGAAAAGTTGGCCCGATGGGGAATTGATAGAAGACTTTTATGGTTAATAATCCAGCTGCATGAGGGGTCGGCTGCTAGGGTGAGAATAACAAATTCTGTGCCCATCAACAGAGGAGTCCGGCAAGGATGTATCCTAGCTCCTTTTCTTTTCAATTTATTCATTAGTGACATGAGGATACCATTGGCTGAATCTCAGGAAATCACCCATGCCCCCCGTCTCGCAAACTATCGTTGCCCATTATTACTCTATGCTGATGATGCTGTGATTTTATCCTTCTCAAGAATTGGCCTCAGGAGAGCATTAAAACTATTTGTTTCATATTGTAAAACAAATTCCCTCACTATAAATCAATCTAAATCCAAAGTACTAATTTTCTCAAAAAGTCAGAAATCTTATAAGTGGCAATTAGATGGAAAACCTATTGAACAGGTTTATAAATTTCAATACCTGGGAGTTTTTCTCCAATATAATCTGGGTTGGAAGGCGCATATTGCACATATTTTAAACAAGGCCAAGGCCCTATCCTTTGCGCTTTTGCGCTTTTTCTTTTCGGACGGGGCTCTTCATGTTCCATCTGCCTTGAAAGTATTCAAAGCTAAAGTAATTGCAACATTGGCATATGCTGTTCCTTTATGGGGGACCGCAGTAAACTTGATGACCTTGGAGGTAATTCAAAACCAATTTCTAAGACGACTGCTAAAACTTCCTCAGTGCGTTAGTAACGCAGCTATTCGCTTAGAATTAAAAACTACATCTTTAGAGGCACAGCCTTTGTTACTGGTTGTCCTTAAGGCATAGGCTCCCGAATCTGTATTTGATCCAATGCCTCTGGAGAGATAATTTTCCCGTCCTAGGGGCAAAAGAGATCCATTCCAAAGTAGTGACCTATGGATTGTCTCCATCAGAATTATTGGAATTGGACCTAGCCACAGCAAAAAAAACCCTCACGCAAAAACTTGAGGAGATTGACCTACAACAAAACATCATTTTGGGTAGTGGCACTTGCTCACCATTAAATCTTGGCATAGTGCCCTCACAGCAGATACCATCTTATTTGACCTCTTTGTTTGTAGCGGCCCACAGATATGCCTTTATTAAGGCAAGATTTAACGCCTTTCCTTCCAATGTCTTGAATAATAGATTTTCCAATGGTCGGATCTCAGCGGTGTGTGTATGTGATAATAGATCTATAGAATCTTTACAACATATACTATTCTGCTGTTCACTACATTCAGTTCCTCGGAGCAGATTTTTGTCCCCTTTATTATTGGAAATCTCAGGTGATTCCTTGGAAACACAGCTAATACATTTATTGCAAGATTCTGATCCGAGTACCGTATTTTTCGCTCTATAGGACGCACTTTTTCCCCTCCAAAAATGAAGGGGAAATGTGTGTGCGTCCTATGGGGCGAATGCAGGCTTTCGCTGAAGCCTGGAGAGCGAGAGGCGTCGGTGCGCACCGACACCTCTCACTCTTCAGGCTCCAGGAAGCTATCTGCAAGCCTTGCGCACCCGGGGGGAGTTCCCCCGGGCACTCAAGGCTTGCGGGCAGCAGCCTGCAGCGCGGAGCACGGGGCGCCCTCCGGAGGATGCTCTGTGCTTCACGCAGGTGTCCGCAAGCCTTGCGCGCCCGGGGGGAGATACCCCCTGGGTGCGCCCGGCTTGCGGGCGGCAGCCTGCAGCGCGGAGCACGGGGCGCCCTCGGAGGACGTCCCGTGCTTCGCGCAGGTGTCGGCAAGCCTTGCGCACCCGGGGGATCTCCCCCGGGAGCGCAAGGCTTGCAGGCGGCAGCCGGCAGCGCGGAGCATGGGGCGCCCTCCGGAGGACGCCCCGTGCTTCGCGCAGGTGTCTGCAGCCTGCCGCCCGGCGCGTGGGGCGCCCTGAAGCAGAGCGCCCCTCACGCCGGGCAGACATCGGCCAGCCCCACAAGCTCGGGGGACAATGGGGAGGCGCAGCGCCGCCATCCCACTGTTCCCCGACCTGGTTTTGGGGGGGAAATAAAGGAAAAATTTTTTCCTTTATTTCCCCCCCAAAAAAGTAGGTGCGTCCTATGGGACGGAGCGTCCTATGGAACGAAAAATACGGTAGGTCCCTTTCTGTTGCCAGATTTCTGATAACAGTATTAGCCTATAAAAGGAAAAATGGATTACTCTATGATTATTGATTTTGCCTAAATAATATTGATTTATACTGATAATCTGATACTTTAAGCGCTATATTGTTCTTATTTTAATGGAATTTAGAAACTTACGGATTGACATGTACTTGACTTAAACGTAATTTAATTTAATTTATTAATTTTATCTTGTTATACCTGTTCTGCTGTATGATGTATTGAATGTGGGCCTATGGCCGTAATAAACTAAACTAACTAGTGTCACAAAAACAAAAAGAGCCGCAGAAATAAAAATGCAAAATAAATAGCAAAGACAGACAGACCTCAGCGCAACACTCAAAATGGAAGCATGGCACTCAAATCAGAAGCGTAACACTCAAACCGGAAGTGTGGCACTCAAAACGGAGCATGTTCGGCTTCTGAAAAAAAGTTCGTAAACCAGAACACTTACAGTTTGCAGAGTTTGGGTTCCTCATTGTTTGAGTACCAAGGCGTTTGAGAACCAAGGGACCACTGTATTCTTGTCTGTCTTTGTATCCCACCTTTCCTGCAAGGAGCTCAAGATGGCTTAGAGTGTCCCTTCTCCATTTCATCCTTGCAACAACTCTGTGAGGTAGGCTAGGCTAAGAGTGAGTGACCAGCCCAAGGTCACCCAGGGAGCTTCACGGCTGTGATGTCTCAAATGGGTTGGCAGGGTTAGCTCAGAAGTTGGGGTTGCAGCCATAATCAAAAAGTTTATTGCCTGGAATAGGTGCTTGAATGTGGATTCTGTTGAAGTTTTGCGGGATTTGCATCATTCCCATTTGCTCCAACATAAGAGTTATTTGAATGGCTTGTAAATTTGCATTCCAGGTCCCTTTCCTGAAATACACATTTTGCCTGGAAACAGAACATGGTTTCTGTAGATTTTGTGGCTTACTACATCACTCCCATCTGGTCCAATGTGATTTCAATTGGGTTCATTTTGATAGCTTGGAAGTTAGCTTTCTGGGCCATTTTTCTGTAAATAATATAAATTTCCTGGAACATGGTTTATGTGAGAGTTACATCATTTAGTGCTTCAATCCAATCTAGTTTTGCATGGCTTGTGAATTTGGATGGTCTGGAAATCTCAGAAGTTGGTACTCCAGGCCATTTTTCTGAAAGTGGTATCAGAACATAGACTCTGGACTTTCTACATAAATTTCATCTAGAAACATGTCACCAATATATTTTGTTGATTTGGATAGCTTTGAAGTTGTCCTGTTGTGTCGGATTAGCAATTATAATATTGGAATACTTTCAGTTCTAAAATATTGCTTGTCTGTCTCTATAAACAATGCCAAACACAGTGTTAAATAATACATCCTGGCTTTTACACAATTGAAAATCCACTTTCAGCTAGCTAAGAACCCCTCCTTGAAATTAAGGTGGCAGTTTCCAAGTATATCAGATCACACAGCTTACACTCATGCTTGATTTTAAAATAATTTCACAACTGCAATATGAGCTGTATTCACAGCTGTTCTTGGGCATCTTTTTAATCAATCATCAGTGCATTCTGTATTTTGAAGGATGTATTAAAAGAGCTCTTTATAATAAGAAACTAAATATGACTCAAAGAAAGAAACAGCTACCCTAAGAGTTTAAACTTATAGGACTCAGGGTCAGAAAACAATTAAGATTTCCTTCATCCAATTTTCATTTTTCTCATTAGCTTCTCCTTAGAAGCTTATGCAGCAAAGAAACATTTTCATATCTCCATGTCCCAGTAGCTATAGATTGGCATCAGTGACTAGATGCATCTAGTCTATATATCTGGTCCATGGGGCCTGTTGGAGGCTGTGTAGTTGCAACACATTCTATGGATGAAGGAATCTTTGCTGGTCTTAGCCTTGAAAGATGTAAGTCCATGTAATCCTAAAACGTAACCATGACCTGTATGACAACTATCACATACAAAGAAGGAGGAGGAGGAGGAGGAGTTTGAGTTTGGATTTGATATCCCGCTTTATCACTACCCGAAGGAGTCTCAAAGCGGCTAACATTCTCCTTTCCCTTCCTCCCCCACAACAAACACTCTGTGAGGTGAGTGGGGCTGAGAGACTTCAAAGAAGTGTGACTAGCCCAAGGTCACCCAGCAGCTGCATGTGGAGGAGCAGAGATGTGAACCCAGTTCACCAGATTAGGAGTCTACCACTCTTAACCACTACACCACACTGGCTGTAGAGGAGATCAAGATGCACAACATCAGAGAGTCCTGTAGAACAAATATGTTTTAACAAGATGAAAACACAGGCTTTCTGCCACACCCAGTTTTCAAGAAAATTTTAAGAGACCAAGATTCTAATTGAGCACGCAAACAAAAAGCCAATCCCTGAAAGAAAACATTTTGTTGCAATTGAAGTACAATCCCAATCAAACTTGTATCTTTTTTGTGCCCCTTAGAGGAAAGCTGAGATGACCCCTGGGTCCCTTGCAACTCTGCAATTCTATGATTCTGTGACCTGAATTCCATCTTGCCTCTGCTCCACCTTAAGCACCTCTGTGATTGACAACTGGTCCAGGTAGTTCAACTTCTGAGGCTGAGGACTATACATTTGCTGAGACTCAGCACCCTCCCATTTGCAGGGAGCTACTTCAGGGGTGGCAAGAGACATCCTTTAACATCAGCCACTTCCTGATGGGGTTGCACTACCTTGAAAGAAAGATGTTCATGGCTTGGGATTTCTCCTAAATCCAGCGTTGTCAACGAAGATACAGGCAGCTTCACAATGTAGAATGCATCCCACACGCTTCAGCTGGTGGTCCAGTTAGTCTCTTAAGGATAACTGGATTTCAATGATCACTCTCTAGTAACTTCTACAATGCACCATGTCTGGAGCTGCCTCTGAAGAGTTCAGAAACCACAGCTAGTGCAGAATGCAGGGGCCAAATAGTATGATCATGTTACCCTGGCTCTGGTCCAACTGCACTAGCTCTGCACATGTTTCCAAGCCTAAGTCAATGTGCTGATTTTAACTTGGGAGAAACTTGCGTGGCTCAGGCCCTCCGTGTTTGCTGGAGCACCTCTCCAGACATGATCCTACATGTAGCCTTGCAGTGGTCAGCCAAGAAAGAGCCTCTGAGTGTCCTAAGAGATGCTCACAGGGAGGTGACAAGGGAGAAGAGCTTTTTTGGTGGTGCTCTCTATGGAACGCTTGCCATGGTGAGGCTGTCTGGCACCAGCGTTAACAACTTTTGGGTGCAGATACAAGACCTTTCTCTGGTCCCAGGCATTTGACAGAACATGACAGTATCTGTTGGCTTTTATGTGTTATCTTTCTGTTTGGCACTGGTGGCTGGCTGCTGTGCCGAGATATAGGCATTTATGGGATGGATGCTTTTTTACTATTACGTTGTTCCTTGTTTCTGCATTTTAAATTTTGCATTATTTTCTGCAAGCTGCCTTAGCATAAGGTGTTTTAAGAAACGCAATGAACAGTAACAATAAAACATCACATGAAGACATAACAATTTAGTCTCTCCCTGGTAGCATATGCTTCTTTTAAGACTGACTGGTCATAGGATAAAAATGGGTGTCATATATAGTCTGCAGTCTGGACAATCATATCTCAGCTTAGTAAGTAGAGATATGAACAAGCCTTTTACCTGCAAACTGAGTGAGAGCCTTTGTATGACTCATGATTAAACCAGGAAGTTACCTAATTAACCACGTTTTCCCATTTTGGCCTAACTAGAAAGCCATGATTACTAGTTTTAGGCTCTTAATTTTTTTAAGCATCGCAGAGATGTTTATCTAGGCTTTCATCACATTCATAAAACATCTCTTTATAAAATTACATGCAGGATTCTGCTACAGATATAGGGGAGGCTTCTGGGTGCCAGCTAAACAGCCCCATCCAGTGAGCTTTTGCTACAAGCGTTCAGAATAATTTCCCCACAAGCATCCCGAGAGCTCAGTTTCCAAAAGAAAGAGAGGTTTGAAGCAAATGCTCTACTGCTCTACCAAATGTTGCTTCTGTCTTCGCCCATATGTCATAGCACAGGAACAACGGTACCTTCATCTGTCCAAGCACCTTCATAGGTAACTATATTTGTTTATAGGGCAAAATATTTCCTTCTTTTCTTCATCCACCTGCCAGGAAGCTGTTAGCTGACAAACATGAAGGAAGGCTTCGAAAGAGGCAGAAAGGAAAAAAAGGACTTTGGAAGTTTATTCTTTGATAAAATTTCAACTGAAAGTGGTGGACTTTGCTATTAACATTTTTCTAAATGCACAAAAATCTATTCACAAGGAAGTCTGTGTTTACTCTAAGACATTAAATTAGAACTACATGAGAGTGACACAGAAGATGAAATTTCTATTCGAGAGCAAAGTCCAACAATCATTTTGGTAAAGCAATGGCCTGTTCTGGTTAATGAGTTCAAAGAAAAAGCCTTCCTATACAAAATTACAATACAGAGAACGCATACAATTACAATACAAGAGGGGCTATTTGTTAGTAACTAGCATCTAGAACAGAATTTTTATAATAAAAACACATAGAAATTAAAATCAGTTGCTATTTTTTTAAATTGGAAAAATGGAGACAAATTCCAAAGTTCATTGGAGAAACACTTTCAGACTTGTAAGCATAAAAGTGATATTTCTTTTTAAAAAAGGAATTTGGTTTGGTAAATGAAGCCAGTTCCTTTAAAATCCAAAGGGCAGAAGCCAGAAGACTCAAGCACATCATGCCGAGAGGTAGAGAGGTGTCCATATATAATCACAATCTTCTATTGGTTTTCTTTTTTCTTTTTCTTTTGTCTGAGGTAATTAGCTGTGTGTGTCAAGTTGTAGAATCAAAAGTATTGGCAAAAAAAGAGCAACATTGACAAGTTACACTAACGACCTCTTTCCTCTCCTCAACAGGTCCTAAAAAATTTAATTAGACGCATCTGAATTAATGCTTCCGGGATCTCCGGCAGGTGAAGTGATTGATGAAGGGGTAGTAGCATCCTGCCAGCTGCCATTAGCCTGAAGAGGGAATAAATGCATTTTGTTGTTAAGTCCACAAGGTGTTACTTGCATCCTAAACCATTCTGATTCTGATTTCCCACATCACAGTGGGAGATCACTGTGCCATGTACAAGACACATACTTTGTTCCATAAGACTTAACCTCAGAACAGAAGTCTTGACACTGCAGTTCACTTTCTGGAGCACAGAAGGCAAAGTACTGTGTGAATGCTGCTTCCGCTGCATTTGTTTCACGGCTTTTCCTGTTCCCCAAATGGGATTCCTTTGCTCTTGCTCAACTTCTCCAGCTAACTTACCTAAATGGATAAAATTTTACTGCTTATGACTGTTTTATCAAACAGAATTCAGAGCAAAGGTTGGAACATTATGTGCAGTGACAGCCACTCCCACATTTCCGTTCCCACAAGCAGAAACAATCCATGGCCAAGGGTGGAGTTCACTGTCGCTTGCAGTCTCTTCCTCCAACTGACAGCTCTCTCTTCCAATGGGAGGGGGCGTGGGTCTTCTAATCCACTGGGCCAATCTGGCTTGGTAGGTAAGCCATCTTCTCTCTCTGACCATCCCCTAACCACTTGGGATCCTGGTCTTCACTGTACCATGAATGACACAGAAAAGGGATAAAATAAAAAAGGGGCAGGTCCCCCCCCCCCGATCCCCTGAATGACAAGGGCTGGAAGTAGGCTACCTGTTTCCCCTTCTCTTTGGAGCAGTGCTGCATTGTGGCAGGGTGTTAGCAACACCATGGCTAAGGTCTCAGCAAAGTACAGTATTATTTTAAATACACCTGCAGAGCTGGGCACATTACCCTTCGTTGCCCAGTCAGACTTCTGAAGCTTAAGATATTCACTTTCAAAATCAGAGGTTCCTTACATCAATACGCTGCGTTGAATATAGAGGGTTCCCCACAATGCTGTCATATCTTCCTGCCTGATGTATGACATGGTGTAAGGAATCCATCTGTAACAATACAACCAATTTGGCAAAAGAAAAAATAGCTCAAACAGTTATGCAGATACTTCAGTCGCCACCTAAAGCACCACCATCCCAACGCCATTTATGTGGCCTCCAATGGAATGCTTGAAATGTTACCATATCCAGCTGGGGCAATGGCTGCAAGTTAAATCTCTGTTTCTAACTTTATTTGTGTCCACCTTCTGCAGCAGATGTCATCTCTCCAGCACTGTGACACAATTGTGTGCTATGCTCAGAGCACAGAGACTGCTTTCAGACTGGGCAGATAAAAAAAATGATGATGGATGAAACTCTGGGCCCGGGACTCAAGTCCTCCAGTGCCCCTGCTCTAGAAATGTATGACACAGCCTCACAAAGTACCTCACACTTGCATTACATGAGTGCTGCCTTTTAATCTTGAATCTAATTTATTAGGAGCTCTAAACCCAGGGTGTGTATAATTATAGTAATGAACTATCTGGAAGTACTGTTACTCTCCTGCCACACATGCTACCGGTGATGTTACAGAGTACCATCATTTCTTGGCAGCTGTTTGGCTTCACCGCTGTTCAGATACAATAGTCCCAAAGCAGGAATATGCTATATTCAAGTATTTTTCAACTCTGCTGCACAAAAAAAGTTATGCTCAAGTCTTTCTAAACCTTGCATGCAAGTCCTCCTGTACAAATGTGTATGTGACTAGCCCTACCCTCTCATGCATGACATTCCTACATATACTATGGGCCAATCCCAACCCAACCCCTTCTGCCCCACTATCGGAGCTTATGTTGCCAACTCCATCTTAGAACAGAACAAGCAAATCTTTCCTTGCCTTAGCAAAGACTGGAAAAAATAGACTTGGCCCAAGGAGCAAAAAATTTTTTTATGAAATAATCTTTCTCCTATTAAGTCACTTCTACAGGTGACCATCTTATTGCAAAATTCCCAGGAGATCTTAAAATCCAGTAATTCATAAATGTGGTGCTTTGAGCACTTAGATGTAAGTGTCTGCCTGCTGAAGACCGCAGGGGATTTGTCACACAGTTCTCTCTGCACACCCACCTGTGACTGCACATTGGCTCCCACTGGCGAGTTCTGGTAGGAAGTGAGTGATTGCAGGTTTATAAAGGAATCTCCAGAATTTGTCATTTTAAATGACCCAGAGGAACCTGAAGAGGAAAAGAAGTTACCTAATGGTATGTCTGCACCTGCTCATTTTTGCGCAATTTTATCAAGACATTAGCACAAGGAGCTGCTGTGTTTTGCACCTGATCCCATGATTAACTTTCTGTAGTGCTCCACTTTGGGGGCTTAGTGAAAAGTTTCACAGTCCCATTTCCTTGTCCATCCCCATCCCCTTGTTAACTCTGAAGCAGTGGTTTCAAATGGTGTCCATGGGAATCCTGAGGTTTCTTGGAAGTTTTTCAGGGATTCGTGTGTGTTAAAAAAGATGCCTCCCCATAAGATCTCTCCTTCCAATGCACAGCTGCATGTCTGTGTTCTAGGATACAATCTCTTCTAGTGGTGAGGCTCTACAGGCCTGGCCACTACCTCCCATGAACCAAGCATACACCATGGAATATGCCCCAGCTTATCTCCTTGGTAGCCACTGCTCAAAGCATCCTTCTGTACTCACAATCATAGTAGTTAAAGGTGAGATCCCCAGGGATAGAAAAGGGTGACTGCACACATACAGATGGAAACAGTCCACCAAACACGCAAAACCCTGACTGGCAAAAACAGAGATCTCCCTACACAAACTGTGGTAGAGAACCCTCTCCCCATACACTAACCTTGTTTGGACAAAGATATAGCAGGCAGCCCAAGCATCCTTTCCATTTCAGACTGGAACCACAGAATGAAGGGAGGGGGAGTTCCCCCCGCACTGTTCTCCTAACAAATACCACACACCCACAACATGATTCATATATATGCTTGTGCTACTAACAATTTATGAACTTTACTATTAGATAGAAAATGTGACACGGTCTTGGACTTGGTGAACTGAAACTTATATGTTTAGAGTGGTTCTGAAGAAATAATTGCTTTCCCATTTATTTCTTTGAAGGACCACCTAGAAATGTGGCTGTCTCATCCAGCAAGGTAGACTGGCTACAATTCAGGGGCAGGCATGGGAAAGACATGAAAATTAGTACTGGGATGATGAGGGACAAAACTGAAGTGAAATTAAATGTAATACAGAGCAATGTGCAGACAACAACTCAAACAACCCAGCGGGTGTACAAAGATTTCATGAAGCTATTCCAGTTCCCAAGATGCTTCAAACAAGTTGTTCTTCAGTAAAGCAAAAATAACTCTAAAAATACATTGACTTGCCCTTTGACAAGCCTTATTGTGTCTAGATGGCAATCAAGCTTGTGAAAGAAGAAACAGAAATGCTTGTTAAGTATTTTCTCTAGCGCTTTCTATTTGTAACACAACCTGAAGAACAACTGGATCAAAACATATTGGGAACTGGAAATGCTCCAGTCCATCTTGGTTCACTCAGAAGTTTACTGCTATTCAAGAAGCTGCACTTATATATAGCAACCAGAATGGCTCTTGGAAGGCAGGAAAAGGCAAAACTTGTGGGGGGGGGGGGACAGAAGGATTTAGACATGCACTGCAGTTCTAAGCAACTTTCCAAACAAGGCCAATGAGGTCTATTCACGTTTCTGTAGCTTTCTTTACTTCAGAACAGCACAGAAGAGGCTCTTCCAACTGCACACATGTTTCCCCAGCAGGTGTCCAGGGAAATCCTGTTCTAGAGGCAGGCTTTCTGCACTTACCAGAATTTGGGGTGGGTGGAGAACTTGTCTGGTTGCCCTGGGCCACCACATTGGTTGCATCCACCGCTGTCTTGGCTGCATAAATGTTAGCCTCCTCCTGGAACTTCCCCATGTTTTTCTTGTACCGGATTCTCTTGTTACCAAACCAGTTTGAGACCTGCAACAATAACTAAGTTAATGTGTGAACAAATTAGTGTATAGGCAGCTATCAACAGAAGAGAGGAGACAAAGATTGTTCCCAGAGTGTGCAAAATAAAGTCATAATTCCAGTCTCTGGGTGCACACACCAGCTGCTGACACTGGTCCATCTGCAGAATTGCAAATACTTTGGGACCAGCACGAATAGTGCTTTATACCAGTGTTTCCCAGCCTTGGATCTACAGCTGTTTTTGGACTACAATTCCCATCATCCCTGAGCACTGGTCCTGCTAACTAGGGATGATGGAAGTTGTAGTCCAAAAACAGCTGGAGACCCAAGGTAGAGAAACACTGTTTTATACAATTCCTTTGTGGAATCGGATGCTAAAAGCTGAGGCGGCCAACTTCTTTGGCAAGTTTACTTATTTTATTTGATACATTTATATCTGGCAGGGAAGGGAAGATCTCTCAGGGTGGGAGAAGAAAGGAAAGCTCCCAGGTGAGAGCTGAGAGGGCTCACCTTTCTCTGGGTAGAACAACCTAAGAAGGAAGACTTTATATTATTATTTTCCTCTCTTTCTCTTTTGATTCTTTGTTTTTGTTTAGATTAGTTTGTTCTTTTATTGTAAAGTATTCTGAAAAGTCTTAATAAAATCTTTTAAGAAAAACTTTCCTACTAACCGAAATGACAAATGATTAGCATAGGTCACTCTGTAAGCCAACAGATTTTATTTCAATCTGTATAGGCTCCAAAAGTTGTTCTTAACCAAATACAGCTTAATTTTTGTGGCAGAAAATTTCGACCCTGAAACCTGATGGATGTCAAGCAGAGATTGACTCAGTCTGCATGCTGCTACCAAGCTTTGCAAAATGGTGAAACTACAGGATAGCCGGCCAGACCAGCAGAAAATTTCCAAAGGACATAAGGTTGAGTGGCAAAGACTGACTATAAAAACATCCTGGTTTGCTTTTTGATTAAAGTAAAAAAAGAAAACAGAAAAGGCTTGAAAGAACTGGATTTGGTAATACTGTAAGAACGACTGAGAGGGAATCCAAAGTTTTATTTTTCTCACTAAGAGATTTTAAGGATTTCTTCGGTCAACAGTGAATTGATTTAAATCAATATGATTTAATCAAGAATTAAAGCCTAACACCAAGAGAAAAGACTTACAAAATCAAGCTTCCGGTGTTTACATCAGATATTTCTTTAAATGAAAACAAAAATCAAACTAATTACCTATATTAGGTAATTAAATATATTGCTTTACAAATAGAATTTACACTTCATTCGTACATTCCATGTAGGGTGGAACTCAACATTGTGCCAGCAGAAATGCTTGCCTGATGGAACAATCTCCCCTTTCCTCCCTGGCACCATGTTCAAGGTTCTCCCACCCCCACCCCCCACCCCTGAGTGGATTTAGGGGTGGGGCGGCAAGAGGAAACGCTTGCACTGGCTTCTGGTAGTGCACTGGGTTACTTGAATCTAGACCATGGTTTCTTACAATTTTTAACTGTTGTTTTAGTCTTTTATACAATGATTAAACGTTTTCAAAAAGAAGAAAACTTACATGAAATTCTGCAAAATTTTGAAAACCTTTGTTTAAAGTCTACAGGATGCAACGGTCAGAAACAAGCATCTGCCTACACAAATGTTTGAAAAACAGACAACCACATTCACTGGAGATGGACCACCCACCTGTGAGACTGTGATGCCTCCTTTCTTTGCTAGTTCTTCTTTGGCTTCTTCACTGGGGTAAGGGTTACTCAGGTGAGAATAAAAATACTCATTCAAGACTTCTGTTGCCTGCTTGCTGAAGTTCCGCCGCTTACGCCTGGGAACACATTGAAATTATTCATACAGTTGATGTCAGAGCACACTGTGTGCTGGCCCAAGGGCTTAAGGAAGAGCCAAGGAGGGCTGCAGGAAATCACACAGTGGAAAGATTTTATCCAAATGGGAAAACGGAGTGAGCATGGCATGAGGTGTGTGTGTATATATATCTATATCTGGACTGAAAGGGCAGCCAAGATTAAGTAGACTGCTCTAAATACAATTAAAAATACTTACAAAGTGATATGACAGATTAAATCCCTGATTACCCCCCAAATCTAAAGCACACTTTCCTGAAATTCAAGACAGAAAACTTTCAGATAACAGATAATACATTTCAGAGCAGGAATAGACAAAGAACAAGGAACCATATCTCAGTGGCCGAATACATCCTTTACATACAGAAGTTCCTAGGCTCTGGCCCTTGCAATTCCAGTTTATTTATTTCGATTCTACCCTTGAATAAAACTCCCAGGGTGGCAGTGAAAACAATCAGTTAACTGGTGCTGAGAAATGGCCCCAACGAAGACCGTGGAAATCTGCTACTAAAATAAATAATACTGGGTTAGATGGGTCAGTCTGGAGAAAGAGGATGACTCTTCCTACTGCAGAAGCATCTGGCAAAAGGTGGCTCTCCATACAGGAGGCAGATCCCAGGAAATCATAAAACTGGGCCTAAACTTGATGTTTCCAATGCAAGGTATATAAATGCAACTTGCATAATTAAAAATAGCAATCACCACAGTTCATGGGTGAATTTGCTGGATTGCACCCCAAACAGGATATTGTTAAAGCATAGATGTCCCAGCACCTGCCAACCTAGCAGTTCGAAAGCATGCCAATGCAAGTAGATAAATAGGTGGCAGGAAGGTAAACAGTGTTTCCATGCACTCTGGTTTCTGTCACAGTGTCCCATTGCGCCAGAAGTGGTTTAGCGATGTTGATCACATGACCTGGAAAACTGTGGGTGGACAAACGCCAGCTCCCTCGGCCTGAAGCAAGATAGGCGCCACAGCCCCATAACCTTTGACTCTACCGTCCAGGAGTCCTTTACCTTTTTACCTTTACCTAAACCATAGATGCTAATAACTTCCAGTGTTTATTGTCTACGCATTGTATCAGGTTCAATATTGTCTTCTCCCATTGTGCCCAGTGTCACACTTTGTACAGCCTTCTATGCCACCAAGATCCTGGACACAAGAAGGGTCTCCCTTGAGGCTTGATCATGTATTACCTTGCATCCAGAAACCGTGAGCGCAGGATCATCACAGCCTCACAAGTGCTCTGTTTCAGCTGCATCTGAATGGTGCTGAACTTTCCATGAATTATATTCACCATGCGCTCAATTTCTTTGGGTGAAATTGGCCTCGTCCTGCTCTGTTCTCGGAGCAGGTTCATCACATGGGTGGTGAACTCACTGCAAGCCTGGAAATAAGAAGCAGAGAGGCATATTGTACTCAAGCAACGGTCACATTTAATTCAAAACTTATAAATAAATGGGAGTGATAATTACACAACAGACTAGACAAGGGGCAGATAACTTGGCATCACATGCAGTCTAAATATTAATACAAGATTATAATATTTAAAAATATACTTTAGGTGTCTTTGTGAGATTTAATATGTAGAAACAGCATATTCTGTAGCCTATGTTACACAGGTCTGATTTTTTAAAAAACTGCAGAGGGCCATTACATTTTATTATTAATAGGCAGGTATTCAAATACTTTTTTTACACTAATATTGCTGCATACATTATGGCTTGACCCAATTTGTTTGGTAATTATTTTTATTTGCCCATATCTACACATAAAGGCCAATCAGCTGTACCAATCTCTGCAAAAAGCAGACTGTGCTCTGTTGAAAGTCAGTGAGAAAGTGTGAGAAAAAGGAAGAATTTTGAAGACCTCTGTACAAAATTCCCCTATGAAACACATAAGCTGGTGTTGGCTTCTGGAGAAGAAAGGAAGTGATCTCTGCAAACCACTGGTCTGTGGCAAAGAGGAATGCCTCCCCAACGCTATTGACTCAGCCACATTTAATGCAACCAAGAATTAGAAAAGGTCATAATCCTGAAGCTACATAAAAGCTCACAAAAGGACACAAGACTGCAGCCTAAATGAATTTATGCCCCCAAACACTTTTACTTCTTCTTCCCCCATCTAATATTTTTATTTGTTTTTACAAGTACAAATTTATAACAAAATTGTTTAAATAACCATACTCTGAGATTCTCTGAATCTCCAGACTTCCCTCCATCCCCTACATGGTTCCTTGTACCAATATTTACAACTACATATCAGTCTATTCTCCATAGTCTACTTTTACTTCAGCCCAGTCAAAAGTTGGGTGTATACTCCCTGCTCTGTGATCGCAAAGGAAAAACAATTGTTTTTAACTGAGAGGATAAAAACTCTTCCATGCAGAAAGATCACCTGTTCATATTTCTCTAGCTCAGAGTGGTATATCTGTCGGATCTGTGACAGCTTGGCCCTGTAGTCAGAGTGCTCAATGCTATTGTCATTTGGACAGCCACCTGAAGTTGCTGCTATGGCCGCAGGTCCTCCTCTTCCCCGCTTCTCCGGCCCGGAGACACCCTCTGCCAGCAACATGTTATCAAGTCTCATTAGCTGAGCATCAGGGGGATCTTCTTCCTGAATACCGCGTATACTTAACACTGGATAAATATAAATAGGGAGCAGAGGATTATTTCAGAAGCAGAGAAAACAAAGTAGGAGTTTATTTGCCCCATGATCTCTTTGCACATACAGTAACAACCATGACCTCAGGATGCATAGCACCCAAACAAAAGGCTAACAAAGATTGAATAATTTGTTTCTGCTTCATATGCAATTGCACTCAAAGGAGGGAGCTGAGGCTAGAGAAGAGATGGCACATCTCCAGAAAAACAACAAAAAAGCAGGAAGACACATATGGTCAGTAGCATCCCAAACTATTTGCATTTTCCATACAGAAGCACACATCGAACACATTCAAAGGCCAAGGGAGAGCATAGCCTAATGCAAACTTCAGCATGTCCAACAAATTCTTGACTATTTTATATTGTCATTTGGAACTCCTTCCTAAGCTTCCTTCTTGATCTCTGAAGTCCTCTCTAAAGCCAAGTGTCCCAGAGGTTCACTTTTTAAAATGGAAGTGGTGTAGAGCAGTTTTGTGCCATTTCCTCGGCCAGAAGAAACCTGTAGCAGCCGTTGACTGCTATGTAGTACAAACTGACAGCTTCTTCCATGGGTGGAAAAACCCATATGCCCAGTAGACACTGGAGCCTTTAAAAAAATGAGCCTGGAAAATACCGTATTTTTCACTCTATAAGACGCACTTTTTTCCTCCTAAAAAGTAAGGGGAAATGTGGGTGCCTCTTATGGAGCGAATGCAGGCTGTGCAGCTATCGCAGAAGCCAGAACAGCAAGAGGGATCGCTGCGCAGCTCTAGCTTCTGGCTTAGCCCCTCAGTCCCTTCCCCCTGCTCCCAGAAAAGCCCCCAAGAACCACGCTCCCTTTAAAGAGCATGTGTGCAGCTCTTGGGGGCTTTTCCCCAAGGAGGGAGAAGGGCAACCGTCACTGACGGGCTGCCCTTCTCCCTCCTTGGGGAAAAGCCTGCAAGCGCTCTAAGCACACGCTCCAAGCGGCTCGTGAAAGGGAGCGCTGAGCAGAGCCTGGGATGCATGCAGGCTCTGCTCAGCACTCCCTTTAAAGAATATTTTTTTTCTTGCATTCCTCCTCTAAAAACTAGGTGTGTCTTATGGCCAGGTGCGTCTTATGGAGCGAAAAATACGGTAGATGCTGAGGAGGGGGAAGGGGTTACATTTTCATTGCCCCTTTCCTCCAAGTAGTATACAAGATTCTCCCTCGTTCCAATTTATCTTCAGTAGTTTAAGGCAGGCATAGGCAAACTCAGCCCTCCAGATGTTTTGGGACTACAACTCCCATCATCCCTAGCTAACAGGACCAGTGGTCAGGGATGATGGGAATTATAGTCTCAAAACATCTGGAGGGCTGAGTTTGCCTATGCCTGGTCTAAGGTGACCCAACAGAGAGTTGTTAATGGAAACAGAGAACCAATTAAAATGGAAATACTTTAATGAAATCTGAGAGAATGTAATAGATTGGTTGCAATATTTTCAGTTAAATGAACTATTTAACAATGATAAAAAGATGGGATTTGCGTATGAAATCTCAACTTTTCAGAGAGAAATAATAGAAAATGAAATGAAATTAATTTCTAAAATGTGCAATCTGTTGTTGGAATGGGAAACGAAGGATGAAGAGGTTAAGTCAGTCATGATTAAATGGGCACAAGGTGTGGGACATAATATTCAGATGATGGAATGGGAAAAATTATGGAAGAATGATATAAAATTTACAGCATGTGTGGCGGTTAAAGAAAATTACATGAAAATGATGTATAGATGGTATCTCACTCTAATAGATGATTTAAATATGTTAGAAACTTAATAATGGACATGCAGTATTTTGATAAATAATTGAACCAAGGAAGGGATTAGAGGGAAGTGAATTTGTTTTGTTTTTGTATTGTTACTGTTTTTTATGTTTGTTATTTTTGGAAAATTAATAAAATGTTACTAAAAAAAGAACAGAGGTTTGAAAAAGAGTCATCCCACATTGGTTGCTTTCTTTCATGTGTGTGCAGGCCAAGGTTGCTGCTTCATATTTCTCATTTAGTCCCTATGCCTCTCCTGCAGCCCCACACACTTCCCACCCTTACTCTCTAAGGTAGGTGGAATTGGGCTGCAATTGGGCAGGGCCTCAACACACTTTCCGCCTTTTCCACAATCCATCTTTCCTAGCCCAGGCAGAGCAGAGCACAACGGCTGAGCAATGACAGCATCTCAGATAATGCAGATCACCTGGGACTCAGGAATAGCTCTGCCCAGAACATCAACTGGCAGGTTGTAGGAGTCGAATGGCTGTGAGCATTTGCAACGCCACCTGTTGCAGCAAAGCACCCAGTGTGTACACACCGGCATCCTAAATGCTAAATTCATCTCACCAGACCTGAAAGAAGCTCTCAGAAACTCTATTAGTCATAAATAATTTTTATTAAATCCAAAAGAGTTAACAGGATTCAAAAATTAGTCACAGGTTCTAGTGTGGGCTTCTAATTGCATGGTAACTTAAGTTCCCATGTAAAAGAGCTTCTCTTCATTCAGACAAAGCACTTTATTTTCCAAGGAAAGAATGGATTTGTCTCTGTTAATTAGCTGAGAGAACTGTTATCTTCATTAAATAGCCTCAAAAAATCACTTGAACCGAATTACTTTAATATTTATCAGTTAATTAATCAATTAAATGAGTAATAGTACAACAATAAATTGACTAAAAGAAACCTTTCCATTGGCTGGCAGCCCTAATTTTTATGAATGCTTTTAATGGACAATTCTCAGCCCCATAAACCCCTGAGAACCTGGGCAGCCACATCCACTAACATGCCATGGTTTGTTCTGATAGCTAATCATAACACTCTCTACATATTCATCAAAATGGAAAATAATTAAACTGAGCCAAGTGAAATTCCCATCATTTCTAATTAGCCCTTAATTAAAACACATCACAACCTAAGGTACTGAGGCCTCACTCAATATGCAAATGCAATCATTGCAATATATTTACATATCATTAATTAACATGCTGCGGTGCTGTAATGAACTGTACGAGAGCACCGGTGCCAAAACAAGAATGATATGCCATTTGTTAGGCTTGTTTTCCAATCCAGATTTTTCTCTTCCATGTAGCATCAGAGCAGCAGGGCTCATAGTCCTCTCTTATGATGGAACATTTGTGCTACTAGAGGAAAAACATATCTATCGATTAACTGACATATTCAAGAAGCAGACACAGGACGATCAAGCTGATTCAGCCAACTGAAGTTAAGCCCCGGCTGAAATGTCCAGTTCTCTTCAGGGACCAAGGAAGATAAGGTTCAACTAGTGTTAGGGAAACGGCAACAAATGTCAACAAAAACAGCAGCACTGGCACACAGTGGTCAAAGGTTTCACTCAAGAGAAACTGGAAGGAGAGAGGGAGCTCAGTGGTTGAGCTTAAGTGACAATGCTAATATTTAAGTCAGGCTTCCTCAACCTCGGCCCTCCAGATGTTTTTGGCATACAACTCCCATGATCCCTAGCTGGCAGGACCAGTGGTCAGAGATGATGGGAATTGTAGTCTCAAAACATCTAGAGGGCCAAGGCTGAGGATGCCTGATCTAAGTATTTGAATGGCAATCCTTAATTTGCTCATGTAGAACAAGTCGAGGCCTCTGCAGGCCTGCGCGCCCAACCCCACTTACTTTGCACCTGGACCGCAACACACCCTCTGATCCCAAGGACCTTATAATCTACCCTCAGATGCAAGATGAAATATTTTGGCCATGCAACTCCATTAAAATCAAGGAGGATGAGAGACAGGGAAGCATCCCTTCTGATTCCTCATCCTTAGTGCTACTGAGCATCAGCAGCAGCAGCTTTGGCAGAGTCTTCCCTTCCTTATAAACCTCAGCTGCTGCTATTAACACTGAGAAGAAGATAGTTTAATGAGCTAATTTCCATATATATCAGCAGCTCAAGTATTCTGGCTCCATCCAATGACTCAGTGTTATCCTGGCTCAGTTCAGAATATGACCACAGCTAAAGGAGCTGCCAACTAAGATTTTACTGGAATATATTCCTATGCCTACTTGCTTGGGAGTAAGAAAGCATAGGATCAGGCTGCACATGCAAAAGCAACTAGAAACACTAATATGTGCTGCTGCTCCTCAAAGTGCATGGGCATACGTTCAAAGACACTTTCAGCATTAAAAAAAGAAGAACAGAAAGATGCTCTCAGGTCAAATCTAGAATGCAAACACACAATACAGTTAAAGCACGTGACTTCCCCCAAAGAACCCTGGGAATTGTAGTTAATGGTGCTGGGAATTGTAGGTAAAAGGTAAAGGTAAAGGACCCCTGGACGGTTAAGCCCAGTCAAAGGCGACTCTGTTTGTCCACAGAAATGTCGTTTACCTTCCTGCCGCAGTGGTACCAATTTATCTACTTGCACTGGTGTGCTTTCGAATGGCTAGATTGGAAGGAGCTAGGACAGAGAAACAGGAGTTCACCCCATCGTGGGGATTCAAACTGCTGACATTCTGATCAGCAAGCCCAAGAGGCTCAGAGGTTTAGACCACAACGCAACCAGTGTTGGGAATTGTAGCTGAAAAGTATGATGTTACAAAAGGAACAAGACAGAGATGTCCCCTGTCACCATTATTGTTTATACTGGTTCCTTGAAGTTCTGGTGAACATTATAAGAGCAGAGGAAAGTATAAAAGTATAAAACCAAGTGGCTCGTTTTAAACTCAATAAGGTAAAAACTAAAATGTCGGTGAAAAATATGAATGTACAATTAAAAGAAAAATTACAACAGATCACAGAAATACGTGTGGGGAAGAAAATTGAATATTTAGGGTATGGTTAACTGCCAAAAATATAAATGTATTCAAAGACTATTACATACCTACATGGAAAGAAATTAAGAAGGATTTTGAAGTATGGGGAAGGATGAAATTATCATTTTGGGGTAGAATATCTGCTGCAAAAATGAATGTGAGGGGAGAGATTTCATCAGGCAAGGCCTTCTTCCACCTGCCTTGCTCCACCCTCCAGTCTCTGCTTCTCAATTTGTATTGTATTATTTTATACACTGTGGCTTGTCGTTGTTTTATTGATTGCAGTTTAGAAATTATTTAACCATTTGATAAGAAAGTCAATCTACCAGGTATGGGATAGGTACAAGAATATATTAGAACAAAGAACACCATGGTGGATTTCTCCATTGGAAGCAATCTCAGTTTAAAAAGTAAATATGAGAAGCGAGTGGGCCACCTATAAAGACTTGTTAAAAGAGGCAGGAGACCAATTAAAATTGAAAAAAAGAGGATATTAGAGAATTGTTAACAGACTGGATGCAGTATCATCAATTAAATGACGTTTTCAAGGTTGACAAAAAAAGGTTTCGATACGAGATCGAGGTTTGAAATAGATCTGTTGGAAAATAATGTGAAAGTTTTATCAAAAATGTACAAATTAATTTTAGAATGGAATAAAAAAGACGAAGAAGTTAAGCCAGTGATGATACATTCGGCTAGAGACTTTGGATATAATATCCAACTTTCATCCTGGGAAAAGTTACAAAAAGAGGAAATAAAATTTACTACATGCTGTTCGTTGAAAGAAAGTAATATGAAAACGATATATCGTTGGTATCTAACACCGAGTAAAATTGCTAAAGTGTACAAAACAAGTTCTAAACTTCTCCACGACCCTTCCCCTCTGCAGGGAGGTGGGACGGATTCAGATGGTCGGCCCCGCCACTTAATGGATCCAATTGGCTTCCAGAGAGTGGTAGGGGATGTTTTATCCCAAGTTGATGGCCTTTCAGCTGATTCCCGCTGGAATGCGGAGTTAACCAGGGCTATTGACTGTCTGGCTCCGAAGCGCCCTCTCCGGTTGCATGGAGCCTGGACAGCCCCATGGTTTCCCTGGAGCTGAGGGTGATGAAACAATCGTTGAGACGGCTAGAGCACCAGTGATGGAAAACTCATTCCGAATCAGACTGGGAACGGGCTAGAGCTCAATGTCAAGTCTACCAATTGGCAATGGCGACGGCGAAGAAGCCCTTCTTCACCGCCTCCATTGCATCTGCAGAAAACAGCAGCAGGAGACTCTTTCAGGTGGTTCGAAATCTATCGGAACCACCTTCATCACCGGGGCCTGGTAGGGACCCCAAGATCTCCTGCAATGCTTTTGCAAAGTTTTTTGCAGATATCAAGTCGCTCGGATTCAGAAGGAGGTAGACTCCACCGTGGGAGCAGGGCCGGGGCGGAAGAGTGCTAGAGTCCTGACTAGTCATGTTAAAGGTAAAGGGAACCCTGACCGTAAGGTCCAGTCGTGGCCGACTCTGGGGTTGCGGCGCTCATCTCACTTTATTGGCCGAGGGAGCCGGCATACAGCTTCCAGGTCATGTGGTCAGCATGACTAAGCTGCTTCTGGCAAACCAGAGCAGCGCATGGAAACGCTGTTTACCTTCCCGCCGAAGTGGTACCTATTTATCTACTTGTACTTTAACATGCTTTCAAACTGCTAGGTTGGCAGGAGCAGGGACCGAGCAACGGGAGCTCACCCCATTGCGGGGATTCGAACCGCCAACCTTCTGATCGGCAAGTCCTAGGCTCTGTGGTTTAACCCACAGCGCCACCCGTGTCCCTTCTAGTCATGTTACATGGGATCAATTCCAATCTGTCACCTCCGAGGATGTGGACAGGCTTGCTTGGACAAGTGAAAACAACCATCTGTCTCCTTGATCCTTGCCCATCCTGGGTAATAAAAGCGAGCTGGAGACTTCCCAGACCCGCTGAAAGAGGCGGTCATTAAACAGCTTCTTAAAAAACATCTTTAGACCCGGCCAATATGGCCAACTATCGTCCAGTCTCAAATCTACCATTCTTGGACAAGGTGATTGAGCGAGTGGTTGCTGAACAACTCCAAGCACGCCTGGAGGATGTGGACCATTTGGATCCCTTCCAATCGGGATTCAGGCCTCACCATGGGACTGATACTACCTTGGTTGCGCTGGTTGATGATCTCCGGTGGGCTAGGGACAAAGGTGAGAGCTGTTTCCTAGTTCTGCTGGATCTCTCAGCGGCCTTTGACACCATCAACCATAACATCCTTCTGGACTGTCTAGAGGGGCTGGGAGCTGGGGGCACTGTTACACAGTGGTTCCGCTCCTTCCTCCTGGGCTGTGTCCAGAAAGTGGTGGTGGGGGATGAGTGTTCAGACCCCTGGGCTCTCAATTGTGGGGTGCCTCAGGGTTCTGTCCTCTCCCCCATGCCTTTTAATATCTATATGAAGCCGCTGGGAGAGATCAACAGGGGGTTTGGGCTGGGTGTTCATCAGTATGCAGATGACACCCATCTCTACCTCTCTTTTAAATCAGAACCAGTGAAGGCGGTGAATGTCCTGTGTGAGTGCCTGGAGGCAGTTGGAGGATGGATGGCGGCTAACAGATTGAGGATGAATCCTGACAAGACAGAAGTACTGTTTTGGGGGGACAGGGGGCGGGCAGCTAAAAGCATTGTTACACTGCTTTGACAAATTTTCTGCTAATGCACATTTTATGTCAAGGAAAAACATTACCTACACCACTGCAATTAAAAATGGAGCAGAATTTCAAAAGGGGCACACTATTGAACATAGCAATAATTACTGAAAATCCCTGACCCATCTCCGTACCATTAGTTGATTATTTATTGATTATTTATTAACAGCATTATACGCCACCCTTAAGCCAAAAAGGCTCTCAGAGCTGCTAACAAAAATCAGTTCTAAGGTGGTCCCTGCCTTCAGGTTCACTCACAAATAAATAAATAAATAAATAAATAAATAAATAAATAAATAAATAACATATAAGTACAGTGGTACCTCGGGTTACATACGCTTCAGGTTACAGACTCCGCTAACCCAGAAATAGTACCTCGGGTTAAGAACTTTGCTTTGGGATGAGAACAGAAATTGTGCTCTGGCGGAGCAGCGGCAGCAGGAGGACCCATTAGCTAAAGTGGTGCTTCAAGTTAAGAACAGTTTCAGGTTAAGAACGGACCTCCGGAACGAATTAAGCTCTTAACCAGAGGTACCACTGTAAAGAGGAATGTGTGGGAGGAGCAAAATGCAAGTTCAAGCACAAGTTCTTTAATTTATGGTCCATGGTAGTGGCTGTTTGTCTGTCTTGCCAAGGAGAAAGAGCCATCCCTCCTCAGCAGCAGACTCCCCCACCAAGCTCTGATCCAAGATAAGCCCTGGTGACAAAGAATCCTCACCGGAGGGGGCAGGATAGAGTTACCCTCCTTTCTGGGAATATGAGAGGCAGTTCTGGCTCTCTCATCCACTGGGATGTTTGAATTGCTCCTGCAAAATGTGAATTGCACAGGCAAAATGTGAGCATGTGGTAGAAGTATTTCTAGTGGTGATGAGTGACACAACACTGACTTCCCAGGTTCCCATTTTGAACCTCTTCTCCACTGCATATCCTCCACAGCATTAATAACAACATCTTCCATTATTCTTCCACTGTTGATGCTCTTTGCATATCTTTACAGTGGGGGGGGGGAGATCTGACCACCAGGATTATCCTGTTCTCCAGAGAGTATTTTGGGGGACAGAATAATGTTTTGCTGAAACCCCCACAAGTGCCTTCTAGCACTAAGAGCTTCACAATTAGGAGTGACACATGCAGCCAAGTATATATATGGAGAAAGCTAGAGAATTCAAAAAAGACATCTACTTCTGCTTCATTGACTATGCAAAAGCCTTTGACTGTGTAAACCACAGCAAACTATGGCAAGTTCTTAAAGAAATGGGAGTGCCTGATCACCTCATCTGTCCCCTGAGAAATCTCTATGTGGGACAAGAAGCTACAGTTAGAACTGGATATGGAACAACTGATTGGTTCAAAATTGGGAAAGGAGTACGACAAGGCTGTATATTGTCTCCCTGCTTATTTAACTTATATGCAGAATTCATCATGCAAAAGGCTGGGCTGGATGAATCCCAAACCACAATTAAGATTGCCGGAAGAAATATCAACAACCTCAGATATGCAGATGACACAACCTTGATGGCAGAAAGTGAGGAGAAGTTAAAGAACCTTTTAATGAGGGTGAAAGAGGAGAGCACAAAATATGGTTTGAAGCTCAACATCAAAAAAACGAAGATCATGGCCACTGGTCCCATCACCTCCTGGCAAATAGAAGGGGAAGAAATGGAGGCAGTGAGAGATTTTACATTCTTGGGCTCCATGATCACTGCAGATGGTGATAGCCTGCTCCTTGGGAGAAAAGCAATAGAAAGCATCTACAGCACCTAGACAGCATCTTAAAAAGCAGAGACATCACCTTGCCAACAAAGGTCCATATAGTTAAAGCTATGGTTTTCCCAGTAGTGATGTATGGAAGTGAGAGCTGGCCCATAAAGAAGGCTGATCGCCGAAGAATTGATGCTTTTGAATTATGGTGCTGGAGGAGACTTTTGAGATGCCAAGAACATTTATATTCAAGGATCAGGGCACTCTTAGGACCCCTCCAACAAACGTGAAGAATGTCAAGTGCCCTTGTTGATGATGATAATAATAATTTTTTATTTATACCCCGCCCTCCCCAGCCAAGGCCGGGCTCAGAGCGGCTTACAAGCAATAATAAAAACAAGATGAATGATTACAACTTAAAAACAAAAATAAAATACAACATTAAAATAATGGAACATTAAAATATTAAAATGTAGCCTCATCGCAGGAGGAGAAGGAAAAGAAAAAAGAAAGAGAGGGAGGGAGGGAGGGAATCAAATTGATCAGCAGTCTGTCTTAAAATTAGAAAAAGTCAAAACACAAGAGGTGGCCTAGAATATATACTTGACCAAATGCACATAGTGGCAGAGAATCACCACATTTAGTGAGAGAAACACCAATTTTTCTCATAGTTTACCATTGGTTCTTGCAAGCATGCGGGCACTTGACTGAAGAGAAAAGGGAAGAGGAGAGCACAAACATAAGGCCCAATATTTGAAACTGATTCAGAACTGAGAACAAGCTTGTGACCCTTTATCGTTAAAACAGAGCCTCAACCCTGATGCTACACTATGACCAGGTCTTTGTTTGCTTGAAGCAGTAACATCTGCTCCCCATAATTTAAATAAGGAACAGACAGGCCATCAGACATTCAAAAACCTATGAGACCTAAACAAATCCGACGTAACTATGGGGCTGCAATCCCTTGGTACAAATATGTTCAACTTGAAATGAATTTCAACTTGCACATTTTAAAAGATGCAAACTGCACACCCAGAAAGGCAAATCCCACCAGGAAACACATTTCATTAAGCAGAGTTTGCGAATCCATGCTCTTTCAGCTGCAGAAAGGGAGAGAACAAACCCAATAAAAGATAAAACAGGCAGCATTCTCCTAGTTCTGTAAAGCTATGTTACAATAAAGGCCAATTGCTGTTAAAAGAAAACAGAATATGCTACCCATAGAGCAAGCATGCCCAGGTTGCTCTTTGCAATGTTTCCTAAGCCTTTTCTAGCCCAGGAAATATCACTGTAACCAATAACATATATCTGTAGTTACTAGAGTAAAACCCACGAAGAGCAGCCTCTTCTCTTAGTCTTTCCGTTACTTTGAACACGTATAGTTACAGGCCTGGGTTATGCGACATAAAAATAATAATAAAATTCTCAAGTTACTGAAAATCTAGTCATTAAAACCTTGAATGAGCAATTGATTTCTGAGCATCAGGGATGTGTTTCTAATTCGTATCATATACAGAAAGCAAATGTAACCAAGGATAGAGACAGACACTAGCTTTCAAAAGGGCTGAAGGAGGTACAATTCTTCATTTTCCATTACACTGTTTTCTTTTATCCCCTTGCTGTCTATGGTCAAACAGGCTTTGAAGAACTTAAACAACCTGCAAAACCTGTCAACTGAGAGGACAGAAGGATGAGTGTTCTAACAGAGGGAATAATACAACTAACACATACACTCCAGCCTAAAAGAATAAACTGTCAGCTGAGAAGCTGCTGTGTCGCATCTCACCCCAGCCGGAGTCAACAGGCAAGTTACTCTCTCTCACGGCCTCTGTCATACAGAGATAATAATGCTGGCTTACTTTACGTAGCTCGTGTAAGGATTAATGAATTACCGTGTAATGTAGAATGAACACAGTGCTATTATTAATTATTGTTAGGGAAATACCTCTTTAAATATTATGTCTTTATTATTGTTTTCTCCACTATTATCATGTAAATAGGTGTGGCTTCATCGAACTTTAAGCTGCACTGAAGAAAGGAAAAGCTCCCCCACTTCAACTAAAAAAAGGTGTGTGGACAAAGAAATGGTTAAACTGGGCAGTAAAACTGTCACCATTGAGTGAAGATTACCACAGACTTCTGCCTTCCCACAGAACTTTCCACCTAATCCTCTCCTTTGGTTTGATTGTAAAAAAAATCTCAAAACACAACCAGACAGCACAACCCCATCATGACCACAAGACAATCGCCTGAGACAACCCATTTGGGGATTCACTGAGTGTGACAGAGTGCAAGACAGAGAGAGCTGACCCACGAGGCACCATCAGTTTGCACCCATGCAAATTACACTGAAATGAACAGTGGCTGGGCAAGAAGAGCTCAGCCATACCCTTTCACCACTCCCCACAAATAAAGGCAGTCGAGTTTCCCACATTTGGGGAAATCGCAGGGGTCAGCGCAGTGGAGGAGCCTCACCCTGGGAAAACCTCCTTCATGATCAAGGAATCTCCCCTGCCAGGTAAGGATACCACTCCTGTTCATCTGAGGGAGGCTTGTGCAGCACTGAAACACAAGGATGTAGTGTCTGTGGGTCCAAGAGACTAAAGAGTCAAAATCAGAAACTATATCCATTATTGGGTGAGCAGGTGCAAAGAAGGACAAAGGCCCTGTACCTTTGGCCGTTGTGCAAAAGTGAGAGTTTCAGAAGGTACAGCTTCTCTCACTCCTGCATTACTAAACGCTCCTGCTAACATCCCTTCTTCTACACAATTATTTGAAGTAAAGAAGCCCTGGCTACTTTTGCATTTGGTCCATATACCAAGATCACTTGCATGTTAATCCTGTACAGATGGGAGACAATCCCAACCACAGTCCTAACCCTGCAGGTAGCCACTTGCTTGGGGGCAAACAAAAATTTCTTCTAGGTGAAGAGTTTGCCAGATCTACTGCTCATGCCTCGCTCTGGCATACAGGAATATGGAGACAGGCTGGAAAATATGTTGTACTCATCTGCAAGCATGCATGAATTATTTACTGAAAAGGCAAAGAACAGTGTAAGAGATGTATAGTTCACATGAATTTTAGAAGACTGCCCGCCAGTCCAGGTTGACAGTCAACATTATCTGTCATTCACAGATCTTTGTGTCATGACATCTACGATTGCTGTAATGGTTGCATGCCAGACCCAGCATAAAAAGCATCACCTGCCATTACCAAGCTGATTATGTTATTCTGAATATTATGCAAATTACATTCATTATGCAGAAATTAAATTATACAAATTAGCCACAGCTCTCTAGAGCAAGACATTTCCACTGTGGTCTTCCGTGTTCAACAAGTTGCCTATCCCATAAAAGAGGTTTGTCTACAATCCAAATACAATCAACTCGGAAGAATAAATACAATACGGAGGTCATCAAAGTAGAAAGAAATGTTGAGAAATGAATGGTGTTTGTCACCAAATAGCTGATAACACTGGGTGGCTTCAAGCAAAAGCCATTCACTTCTAGAAAGTTAGCATGAAGGGAGGATGATGTTAGCCCTTGATATCTTGGCTAATGAGAAATGTAGCATACATGTAGCATGGGGGGGTGTATGTGTTTAGATAGTCAAACAGCCATCCTTCATCTTTTTTTAGTACATACACTAGTTCAAACAACATACAAGTATTTTACAAGAATGCCTGGATATTTTCAATTTACTAATTTAGGTCACAAGCCTACACAGAAAGTTTGGCTGCTAAAATCCTAATGAAGTCAATGGGTTTAAACAGCGACTCTCTGAAGAAATGTACCCCAAAGCCTGTTCTCTTTTGTTTTCTAAATTGGTCCTATTTCTTTTCTCTTTTCTTCTTATTTGTGTGTCATCTTAACTCTGTGCACTTGTAATTATATATTTTTTTATCTTTCCATAAAGAAAGGACATGTACCCAAAGTCTCACTGATATCAGCTTGTGGCTGGAAGGCTACAGTGCATTAATGGTAAATTTAGCACTTAAAGACAGTTGCAGCAGCCCATGTGCCAGAAAGATTAGTTTTCAGAAATGAATTTTGTATAAAAATACCAACACACCTGTTTTTTCTTTAATATCGCATAGCACGCTGAAGAGAGCAGGTTTCATTCGGTGGCAATTCAAGGCATGTTTCCTGAAAAGGAGGAGGGGGAAACAGGATGAATGGCAAAGGAATATAACAGATAAGAAAAAGAAAAAGGTATAACAAAGAAACAGGCAAAGCATTCCATTCAAAAGCCACAGTCCACATTGCACCAGAAAATTGCTCTGCAAGGTTCATTTACAGTCTGAAATGCCCTATTGCCTATACTAGCTAAGCACCAGGAAAGTTAAACTTGCATAATTATACAGATGCTTGTGTATTTTAAGAGCATATGGGAAGCCTCAAGGCTGTATTCCACATTAGCATTCTTGCACTTCCTTTAACAAGGCAGCCTGCTTCAAAATGAGGAACGCTATGTAAAACCACAAAAGGAATATTTAAGCATCCTGCTGCTTAACTCTGCACCAGCAAAGCCACAGAACTGTCAGAATCCCAATCTATTATTCACTCACAAAACACAAGAGTGAAAGATCGCTCTACCAGTCTTAAAAACAAACACTACAATTGATATACAGCGGCTAAAGTCTTCACAGACCCTCTAACTCAAGGGTGTCAAATTCAATGGACAGGGGGAACAAATTCCACGTTCAGGGGATGCCCAGGAGGCCTGCTATTAGTTCTTCACTAATAAATGACACTTCCACCCGAGTCCCCAATTTCACCGATGTTCTTCACCAAAATCAGTAAAATCAGAAGTTGTGTCAGCAGTTCTGGCAACTTACACAGCATTTATAGCCTGAATATGAGAGCACAATGGTGTTCTATTTTGCCATGCTGTGTCCTGGAGACCCCAGGAGCAAATGAATATATGACACTGTCTTACATGGAGTCAGACCATTGGGCTATGAACAGACTTCTTACCTGCAAAGTGTTTTCTATTAAACAAGGATGTAAGCACCTATCACCAGGCACAGGCTCTTATGGAGTGGTGGCCTCCTGCACTGTTAGTCTCTGAAGGGCCTGACGATGTCTCTGAGCTGACGCTCATACACAAACTACAAAATAACTCACTCAACCACCACACTGGCCAAAAGACAAAGGTCATGTAGCCCAATGCCCTGCAATGCAGGAATCTTATCTACATCATCCATGACAGATGACCATCCAACCTCTGCTATAAACCCCCAAGAAAGGAGGGTTCACTACCTCTTGTGGTAGTCTGTTCCACTGTCAAATAGCTCTTACTGTCAGAAAGTTATTCCTGGTGTTTAGTCGGAATCTTCTTTCTTACAACTTGACTCCATTGGTTTGGGTCCTCCTATCCAGAGCTGACGAAAACAAGCATTTTCCCGCCTCCATGTGAACAGCCCTTCAGATATTGAAAAATGGCTCTCATATCTCCTCTCAGTCTCCTCTTAACCAGGTTAAACATATCCAGCTCCCTCAACTGCTCCTCATAAGTCATAATCGTTTTGTTTGCTCTCCTCTGCACACCTTCCAGCTTGTCAACATCCCTCTTAAATTGTGGTGCCCAGAATTGGACACAGTATTCCAAGTGTGGTCTGACCATGGCAGAAGAGAGTGGGACTATGACTTCCCTTGATCTGGACACTAGACTTCTGTTGATGCAGTCTAGAATAGTGTTTGCTTTTTTTTTTTTTTTTGCTGCTGCATCACACAGCTGACTCATGTTAAGCTTGTAGTCCACCAAGACCCCTAGATTCTTTTCACATGTACTGCTAGTAAGCCAAGTGTCCCCCATCCTATATTTGTGCATCTGGCTCTTTCTGCCTAAGCGCAGAACCGTACATTTGTCCCTACTGAAATTCATTTTGTTAGCCTGAGCCCAGTTCTCCAGTCTGTTTAGGTCATTTTGAATTCTGATTCTATCTTCTGCAGCATTAGCCACCCCTCCCAGATTGGTGTCATCTGCAAAGTTGATTAGCATCCCCTCAATTCCTTCATCCAAGTCATTTATAAAGATGTTGAACAACAACAGGCCCAGGACAGAACCCTATGGCACCCCACTTGTCACTTTTTTCCAGGATGACAAGGAACCATTAATGAGTCCTCTTTGGGTTGGGTCAGCTACAAATTCACCTAACCGTTACCTCTTTCAACCCACATTTTACCAGCATCCTCACAAGAATATCATGGCGGACTTTGTCAAAATCCTTACTGAAATCAAGGTACACTATGTCCACAGCATTCCCCTGATCCACCCAGCTGGTAACACTATTTAAAAAAAGAAAGAAGAAAGAATAATAAAGATTTTTTTATTAACAAATTTTAAAAATCTGTTATGCAAAGTAGTGTGCTAGATAAGAACTTACATGTTTGGGGTGGGAAGGGGAGGCAAAGCAGCCCATGGAAGGAAGCAGCCCGCAAACAGCTTCTGTACATGTGAGCGTCTTCTGCTGCTGCATGACTCAGCTGATTCGTGGGGCAGAGCAGCAGCAAAAGAGGCATGTCTTCGGCATCACAGCAGTGCCAGCCTGCCAGATGGAGATGTTAGGTGCTACCAGACAACTCCACTTGCTCGCAAAAGGCCGACTGCCGGTCATGAAATGTGACTGGCGCCTGGTTGGTTTTGAACACTGCCACCACCCTTATCTGCCCAACAGAAACAAGGAACCTGTAGCCGTTTAAAGGTTGTTGTACTGCAGCTACCACCAGTCCCAGGCAGCATGGTCAATGCTTAGGGATTATGGGAGTTGTGGTCCAGCAGCATGTGGCAACCAGTTTCCCATCACTGTCTTAAGCTACACCTAAATGCAAGTTTTCTTCTGAAGCAAGCATTAATATTTGCTTTCCGCTTCCCTGGACAAAGAATTCAGAAACCAAAACGCACTGTTCTGATGATACCTACCATCACTACAGCTGAGCTCCTGGCTGTGTGAACATGTCTCTCGAGAGCAGGAACTTCTGCATTCATATCAATATACAACATCCTAAGATATAAATGGAGGCTTTTTATATATTAATCATGGCATATACAGGTACCTCTATTTATATCCATAGGCAAGGTGAGAAGACATGGATTCTAATGAAACAACCACCTGTCGAAGCACAAGCTATGAAAAATTTCTTCAAATACAAAATTAAACTGTACATGGATCATGTTCCTTCAAAACAGAGTATCCAAGAGTTACAAACAGACATGTGAAGACCTAGGGGGGAGGGGGAAATCTAGAAAAAATGGGGGGGGGGGTCTGTTTTTCCCAGGCCTTCACATCTCTAGATCCAAGTTAGCATTGTAATGTTTTCTCCAAAGATTCATTCCCCATGCAAAAGCCACGCAAGCACAAAAGCAGCCAAGAGAACAGACAAGCAATTGATTGGTCTCTGATGGTTACAAAAGCGCTTCCCCCATATTAAAATGCCCTTTCTCATACCCTGTATGTGCCATTTTTTGACAAATGCTTCACAAAGCACCTCACTCCACCTGGCAACTTCAGCATCAGCTCAAAGCAGATCTCTTTTGAGGTCAACTCCACAGACCAGCAAGCAGGAGTTTCATTTCCTTGGAACACCAGAGTCCCCAGAGAAACTGCAGGTGCTCCATTTGCATGGGTGATAAATACAACTTCCTGCCCTGGTCAATGGCCAGGCCTCACAGGCTCCTGGAATCTTGTTATCTATTGGCATGTGGGAAATAGGCAATAGCTTACTGCAGTGTTTTCAAACTTTCAAGAAACAGCTTGTCTGTCAAAGAACTCCACGTTTCTGCCATGGTCTGCCTAACCACTACACTTGCAGAGGATTCTGGGACATTTCCTAGGGCAGACACTGCTTCTGAGATACTGGCCAAATCCATGGGGCCTCATGGTCACCAGCATGGTCACCTTCAGAGCAAGTGCATGCTCTGGAACCGACCCTTAATTACCGGGAAACACTAGCGACGGGCAAACTGCTTTTTCTGTTACTGAACATTTCATTGAGGAACCCCAGATAAGATTCTGGAAAAGAAATCTCAAGGTCGCCCAGAAAACAGTTTGAAAATCACTGGATTATTGGGTACACAAATTTCAGGTCAAACCAACAGCCCACTGCTAAATGTCTTATCTCCAACAGTAAGCCAGCAGAGAATGCTTTAAAATATAATGCTACAGAACAAACAGGGCAATTTTTATTTTGCTATACAATATTTGTGGACTACTTTTCAATCATGCGGATTCTCAAAGTAGCTCATAATAATAAAATCAGATCCATAGTGGATTATACTGCCATCACAATTTTAGATTTGGAATACCACGAGCACTCAGAGGCACATGTGGCTGTGGCTCTTATGCTGCTTCGCTGTCAGTAATGTCCAGCCCCCGAGAATCCAGTGCATTTAGGGCCACCTTCATCATATTGTCTTGTCCACAGACTGTACAGTGGTATCTCGGCTGAAGTACTTAATTCGTTCCAGAGGTATGTTCTTAACCTGAAACTGTTCTTAACCGGAAGCACCACTTTAGCTAATGGGGCCTCCTGCTGCCGCCACAGCATGATTTCTGTTCTCATCCTGAAGCAAAGATCTTAACCTGAGGTACTATTTCCGGGTTAGTGGAGTCTGTAACCTGAAGCGTATGTAACCCGAGGTACCACTGTAGCTATTTCTGCTAAGAATCTAACTTAATCTCCAGGCTCTCATGGATGGAATGTGAGGTTTCTCTTCTGTTATCTGATGTTGCATTCTTTTCTTTTGCTTGGTATTTCATGCTTTTTGGTTTTAGATACCGGTACGTTTGTATTCTTATTGCACAACACTCTGGGACTTTTTGTGAAGGACAAGTAGCAAATATTATCTATGATAATTAAATTGCCTAACCTAATTGATGGACATGGGGAGTGGCTGGGGAAACCCAGCCAGATGGGCAGGGGAAAATATATTATTATTATTATTATTATTATTATTATTATTATTATTATTACTACTACTACTACAACATTAAAACATTGGGCTTCACCAGATTCCATGAATATAATAATGCAACAAACGGCAATACACCACCTTGTTTTTATATTGCTTTTCTATTAAGGCCAAAACTACATATCATGTGCAAATACAACCAGCTGTAGCAGCCCTTTTGTTTTAAGCACCACTTCAGGTGGGCACCATTCATACTGAATAAGCAAGGGGTGTTACCATGTCCCAGTCTAGCTGTTCTGCTCCAAATCTCCTTGCACTTAGAATACATCATACATTTTCAAACCAGGAAGCGGGTCGTCATGGGGTGGAGTGGGAGGATTAATATTTAACTGGCACCACAACCTTCAGGATATGTCAGGTTGTAGCTCTAAGTGCAGCCTTGCGCATCTCATTAAAAAAATTCCCAAGTTGGAGCAGTCACAGCAGATCAGTGACAATGCACCAAAATCAATGCAATTGAAAGCCAGCCTCTCTTTTATGCAGGGTAAGAATTTCAGACTGCACCACATGAGACTGCAGAAGAGCAAGGGAGTGATATTTCTGAAGGTTCTCATGTAGAGTATGTTCTCTGTATGGGAAACTAGCACAGCAGTGAGAATGTTTTAGCGTAGAATTCCTCTCCTTGGTCTAGTAGTTCCCCATTTGCAGGGAGCTTCTTACATAGAAAGTTTGAAGTGGTTGAGTCCAGTTGTACCACCAGTGTTGATATATTTAACAGAATCATATGCTGATACTTTTCATGGGCAGCACTACTTCAGGCTGAAATTCGTGTTTTTCATGTCCCCCTCCCAAGAGCTTCCTATACAAACAAATCTAGCATGCCAGGAGGATGGATTCAGCAAAGCTTTCTCTAGGATTTATTTCAATACGTATAGAAGATGGGGAAAGTGGGGGCATTTAAGCAGGCACCCCTCCACCAACACTCTGAATATATAAATTGGCCCCAAGACTCTTGGAAGAAGAGACACAACAGTTAGAGCAACTGAGGCTGCAATCTTATACACACTTATCTGGAAGCAAGTCCCACTGAACTGAACTCAATGGGGGCTTCTTCTGAGCAGACATGTATAGAATTTCACTTTGAAAATACAAAGGAGAAACAGTGGGCCTTCATGCTACATGGTCCATCCCCAAAATCATTTGGCTAAATAAAATTATTACATTAAATGTTGCCTTAGTAAGCAATGACAAATACAAATAAACCATCGCTATCAGATTTCATAAAGTTCAAACTCAGTATAGAGATCCGTCAATGAATAATATTGAGCTCATAAATTAAACTCTCCAGAACTTGCTTAAATACTCAATGGTAGCCAAAGTTCATTACTCATTCTTGGGACAATACTCTTCCAGGACTTCTACATTAATCCCATAGTTCTACAATTTCCATAGCTGAAAGACTATACAGGAAGCCAGCCCACTTACTCCTGTTGCAAAATTTCTAAATGCACTGCATGCAGGGCTGCTTTCGAAGACCGTCTGCAAACTACAGTTAATTCAAAACACAGCTGCAAGACTGTCAACTGGAATTAGGGGGCAGAACATCTCTCATTAGTGATTAAACAGCTGCATTGGCTTCCAACTCAGGTCTAGGCACAATCCATGGGGCCAGTTCTTAGCTTTTAAGGCCTTCATGGTTTAGGACTACAGAAGAATCATCTACAGTGGTACCTCAGGTTAAGAACTTAATTCGTTCTGGAGGTCTGTTCTGAACCTGAAACTGTTCTTAACCTGAGGTACCACTTTAGCTAATGGGGCCTCCCACTGCCACTGCGCCGCCGCCACACGATTTCTGTTCTCATCCTGAAGCAAAGTTCTTATTTCTGGGTTAGCGGAGTCTGTAACCTGAAGCGTCTGTAACCCGAGGTACCACTGTATCTCCAGCCAAGTCTGCTGATACAGTACAATGACTGATATTTTGGGACCCTTCTGCAGCACTTGCAAGCAGGGACCACCTCACCCAGGGAGGTTTGACTGACACCTACCTTGATATAATTTCTGCACTGAATATCTTTTTATTTTCACAGGTCTTTCAAATGTGAAACTGTACCCCTGATTATTGATTTTATGCTGGTCTTTTTATCTACTGCTTTTAGAGTTTATTGCTTTATTTTTATTGTGGTTTTATCTGCCCTTCTTCTGAAACCTGTCCTACTTTTTTCTTTAAACAGTTGAGTAAGTTAGGCTTCTTAATCAACAGATTTTAAACATTTTAAACAAATGCACGTTACAACGGGGGGGGGGGGGGGTCAAACAGCCACCTCAGCTTTAGTTCAATGTCAAATCCATACTTGATTTTTGTGTATAGAGACTTTTGAAATTTAATGATGTTTTAAAAATACTATACACCAGAATACTTAGGTATCTGCCACCCTGGAAGGCAGACTCTTTAAACAAGAAAAAGAAAGAATCTTACATTAGAGTAAATTCATTCAACATTCCACAGCTCACAGCAGTCATCCAGCCCAGTCTAACCTAACAGACTTAACAAAACATGGCACAAATTGCCTGCTTCTATTGACATTCTGTTCCTCGAAGAGGTGGCACCCTGCTGAACACGAAAGGTAGTAGTTTGTGATTGCACAAAAAGTCAAATGCAAAGATCCAAGTACACAACATAACTTTACTTCCTCTGACAAAGTGCAGGTCTCCAAGGGCAACACAAGCAGTAACATTCTGAATACAAGCAGAGGGTTCAGACTGCTACCAAGCAAGGTTCGCTCCAAGACTCAGATTAATAAGACTGGCCTTGACTGCTGTCAAAGAGGCAATAAGGCTGCCAAGTGGAACATAAAGATGCCCCCCCCCCCCCCGTAGGAGAGTTCCTACTGACCGGGAAGTGCAAGAACCAATAACAGTAGATTTCTGGCTTTGTTTTAAGTGCTGAATTTCTTATTGCTAATACAGTGGCACCTCGGGTTACATACGCTTCAGGTTACATACGCTTCAGGTTACAGACTCTGCTAACCCAGAAATAGTGCTTCAGGTTAAGAACTTTGCTTTAGGATAAGAACAGAAATCGTGTTCCGGTGGCACGGCAGCAGCAGGAGGCCCCATTAGCTAAAGTGGTGTTTCAGGTTAAGAACAGTTTCAGGTTAAGAACAGATCTCAGGAATGAATTAAGTACTTAACCCGAGATACCACTGTACTCACAATACTTCATAGGGAACAGTAACAAACTGTTATGAGATGTAGCAGCACTGGAGCGTTCTAGTAACACTGAGACTTGTAGTAGTGTAGTCAGCCCACATTACATGGAGTGCTTGGATTTTGTTCCATAGGTACCTTTACGCCCAGCATTGCAAACTTCAGGCCAGTGCATGGCTCTCCTTTGACCAGCCAGGCTGAAGTTTTCCTTGCACAACTAAGAATAAATGTCAGTATATGCCTGTAAAAATCTTTAAAAGCAATCCTTGAGGACAGGTACCTGTCCGCATGCACCTGCTCATGTAGCTTTTCAAGTTACTGCACTAGTTGAGCATCCTGGTGTATTGCTGCACAAGTGTACACTACGACTCATGGTGCTGCACCTTGCAGTTAATCCTTTCTGCATTTCGCCATGCACAGTAAATCAAAGGAATGTGGAAACTGGCACATGAATGAAATGAGGAGAAAAAGAAGGAACACACCACTGCACGAAGGAGGAGAGAACATCTAAATATGTATCCACGGATAATTTAGAATGTAAACTGGGAAATCGTTTTAGAGAGCAAATATACAGAGTGCTACTTTGTTTTACGGTGCCACAGATGAAGATTCTAAGCTGTCAAGATAAATAAATTAAAATTTAGTGTACCTTAGAGGTTCTCTTTTCATGTTTCTACATGAACGGAAATATTAACATAACTCAATACTTATACCTCAAATGTATCTGCTGTACACTGGCATTACCCCAGAGCTACTGCTGCAAATGCATACAGGCTTCAGTCCTAAGGCCACTTATTAGGCCATAAGGCATACTAAGTTCAATAGCTTACTTCTGAGTAAGCATGGCAGAGGGTTACACCAAAAGAACAAATTACACACAGAGATGTACACACATATATACACCTGGGCATCCTGACCCAGCCTGGGTCCACAGTTGAATGTATGTGTTTTTGTTTATGGGTCCTCCTATCATTGGATGATTCTACCACATCAACAGGATGGGAATTTATTCTTGGGTTCAAGCAACACACTTCCACAGAATTCAATTCATGATGGAGCTGCACACTGCACAGAGCAAATATTTTGCTTCATATGCACTGATGTTTCTTGCAGCAAACTCTCAAATTGGAATTTTGGCACCTGTGCTTAAATAATCAATGTGTTCTATTTTATTATCAATGCAGAAGAATTACTACCAAATCACATGCAGCATCAGGGCAAAGTGAGTAACTGGAATGATGCTAATTCCTTTTGCTGTGCTCTTCCTATATCAAGCTTGTTACCTCCCATAATTAATTTTAGTCCCATGAGAAAAACACAAGAGAGGCCACTGCACTCCTAAAAAGGCTGCATTTCTCAAGCCAGCATCTCATTAAACAGAATCACCTTGGTTTTCTTGTGTTCATAACAATGGCATGAGTAAAGACAATAGGTTCTAAGATGCTTTTCCACACAGAATTCTGCCATAAACGCACCCTCTTATTCAGGATGTTTTTGTTTTCTACATCTGCACCTATCAAAGTGGTGGAGGCACAGAATATTGCCTCTGAAAAGCTGTGTTACAGATTGCTATGACTAGTTCATAACCTTACTTTTTAGACTGTTTACAAAATAAATGCTCAAAAATTCAGCATAGATAGTTAGCACCTTTTGTCTCCCAGCAGTAATGCAGTAATCCAGCCCTATATTACTATTTAGAGCAGGGGTCAGCAACCTTTTTCAGCCGTGGGCCGGTCCACCTTCCCTCAGACCATGTGGTGGGCCGGACTATATTTTTTTAGGAGGGAATGAACGAATTCCTATGCCCCACAAATAACCCAGAGAGGCATTTTAAATAAAAGGACACATTCTACTCATGTAAAAACACGCTGATTCCTGGACCGTCTGCGGGCCGGGTTGAGAAGGCGATTGGGCCGCATCCGGCCCACGGGCCTTAGGTTGCCTACCACTGACTTAGAGGGATAACAATACTAGACCATTACTGCAGAACATGGCATTCTGTTGAAAATTCAGTGGCATAAATGCTTAGAACCATAGAACTGGAAGGGATCCCTAAGGGCCATCTAGTCCACAATGCAAGAATCTCAACTAAAGCATCCCTGACAGACGGCCATCCAACCTCTGCTTAAAAACTTCCAAGGAAGGAGTATCCATCACCTTCCGAGGGAGTCCCTTCCACTGTCCAGCAGCTCTTACTGTCAGAAAGTTCTTCCTAAAGTTTAGTTGGAATCTCCTTTCTTGTAACTCGAAGCCATTGGTTCAGGTCCCCCCCTCCAGAGCAGGAGAAAACAAGCTGGCTCCCTCTTCTATGGGGCAGCTGTTGAGATTTTTATATGTACCTCATATCTCTGTTAGCCATTAATGCTTCAATTCAACACAGAATTAGACACACTTACAGCTCCTGCCAACCTAGCAGTTCGAAAGCACATCAAAGTGCAAGTAGATAAATAGGTACCGCTCCGCCGGGAAGGTAAACGGCGTTTCCTTGCACCGCTCTGGTTCGCCAGAAGCGGCTTAGTCATGCTGGCCACATGACCCAGAAGCTGTACGCTGGCTCCCTTGGCCAATAAAGCGAGATGAGTGCCGCAACCCCAGAGTCAGCAACGACTGGACCTAATGGTCAGGGGTCCCTTTACCTTTAAGCTCAGTCCTGTGTGTGTTTATTCCAAAGTGTGTTGCCCTCTTCCATTGCGCTCACATCATAGTACTGTAAGTGTTCTTAGGGATTCAGCCTTAAGCTCATCAATCTCAGATAGTTTAAGGGCAACTAATTCTGTGCCGGCTTGTAGCCAGTGACTTTAAGGGTGATGTTCCCGTGAGCAGATAGGTTAGGTAGTTCTCTAGGAATAACTAAGGAACAAGTGCCTTACTTCTGTATTGTTTATATGATCTTCATATACAGAAGTACACCCTCCACTTTCCCCCCCACAAGGGAGATGTTCAGTTTAGTCTTGTTAGAAGATTAATCTGACTCACCAAAGGCTACCAAGGAAGTAGCTACAGCACTTACAAACCAACTCTTGGGTAAAGAGTTTCATCCTGGAACAGCCAGGAGTGGCGGGCAGATGCACACCTATATAAATAGGAGCTTGCAGTCCTGCTCCCTGATTTTTTTTAATTTCTCTGTCAACAAAACTAATGCAAGATAAAACTATATTATGAGTTTGTCCTATTGAATGTACATTGCTAAAACTGTCCAACAAATATGGGCCACCTGAAGGAATTGTGAATTGCTGTTTCAAAGTAAAAAAGTTATGTATAACTTAGCAATATGCTTATTTTAGCCCCCAATGTACAGCATGAAGGAGCACAGCATTTTCTGTGGTGAGTAAACAGGAATTTGGCATTTGTATCAAATTGCAAGGAAACACATGATGGGGCAAAAATGTTCTTTTGAAGCTGCGGGACAATTTATATGAATTGCCACCACAGAGAACCACCACAGAGAAGACCAATTCTGGCAGACAAAAGTGGATTGCTGACTTTTATATGCACTGAATGTATTGTACATGGTTGCTTCAGCTTACCACTCAACCCACATTTACAATGCCACAACTCAATCCAGGATGGACAAATAGTTGATAGTCAGCAGATGCCACTTTACAGCACTTGTAAGTAGCCACTTGCCCAGTCACCTACAGCAAGTTAAGAATCAACTCCAGGCTACCAGGATGAGAAGTTGTTTCTTGTTGCCATTTGGCCACAAATGACTCACATAGGCAAGTGCAGACAAGGAAGTTAGTAAACATGTTTTGAGCCTAGTAACTTTTGTAAACTTATTTGCAAGGCAGCTGTATAGTTCTACCCAATTCACATTCTCAATGCACCAAGTTGGCTACATGAAGTGGGTCTTAGCAGAGTGGAGCCATGTTTGTGTTTATGGGCCACAATTTTGCTTGGGGTTACAGATCAAACACTGCACAGAGGAACTAAGCAAGAGTCCAAGAAGATGCAAGGGTTCCTCCCTCTCCTCTTTCAGACCAGTCTATTTGTGTGTCTTTACTAAGCAGAAAAATTATAATTTATGTTTTTAAACTCATTATTACACAGAAATTTCACTTAAATCAATGGAACTGCAAAATAATTTTCTGCAAACTCTTAAGGCAAAGACCATGCAACTTCATGGTCCAGCACATGACCTACATGACCAATGCAGAAATCAAAGTAACGTATTGAAATAAACATAGGTATAAAAAGAAGTCAGTCACTATTCTCCCTACCTTATACTGCCAGCCATTTGCAAAAAAATGCAGGTAATCTGTAAAATGGATGCAAATACAGTATGTTCCTCAATGTCAATGCACCACAGGCATTAACTAAGTAAAAACCATTCTCCTGGGATGACTCTTCAACAAGTTGCCAATTAATAGCTGTCTGGCCACAAATTCTTCACAAATGTGGGGCCACAGATAACCCACCATCTTATTTTGGTTCCTCACTCAACAAAGGCAAAAAGAACAACAAAATACAGTAAATGCAACCAGTAGGCTGCATCAAATCCCTGACCAGATTTTTCATTAGCGGATATCTCAAGTAAGAAGCACAATATAAGGATCTGATCCAAAGATACCAAAGCTATCAATCTTTTCCTTCTTGAACATACCATAGGCTTGTTTGCACTTACACAGAGTCCCTGTTCCTTGCAGACCTGCCCAGACTTGCTGCAAGTTCACTATTAGCCTTTGCTGTGATGCCTCATGGCCTGCCCACTGCAGGTACTGACCATGGTACCGTTTAAATAGCAAAACTATCTTCCCTCACCGCAATATATTATGCTAGAATTGCTTCTGCCTTAGTGAGCAATGGAGAAATAGCACCAATCCTCTGTAACTTGGGGTCTGACTCCTCCCTAACTAGACTACACTCTTCCCCGACAAAGAATTATTCTCTCTTTCTTATACCATTTTACCAAGTCCCATTTAGTTCCCATCCTGCCTGCGAAACTAATTTACACATTGTTGGGGCACTGGGGCTCTTAGGTCACCTGGTGATCAACCTACCATGGGAGACCATTACAGATTATGGGATCCTTGACCAGATCCCAAGGGAAAGGCCATCTGTCACCAGACCAGGCTAGTCAGCAGCCCAAGACTCTACAGAGATCACTGCATCAAGCTCCACACCTGACGTTTTCAGGTGTGCACCTACAGATGCAGAGCATGAACGGAACAGGCTCGCGGTTCAGGACGTACCGAAGCGGAGACACAAACTGCCCGAGGAGTTTGGGGGCTTCGGGGCCGCGGTGCCTCTCCTGCTTTCCTCGGAGCTCAGGTGCTCCTGCCATAACCTCCCCCCCCGGGAGGGGGGGCTTCCCAGCCCTTTTGTCTATGGATTCCCCGCTGGATCTCGGGGGGGACCCACGCGCAAAGGCAAAGTTTCCGTCTCGATCCCCCCGCCCGGCCTGGGCCCGCCCCATCTCCCGCGCCCCCCCCCCCCGGCGCCCGTCCCAAGCCCGGCAGCCCTTCCCTCAGGCCAAGGCGGCGGCGGCGCCCCCCCCCCTCACCTGGCCTGCGCTTCGTCCAGGCTCTGGTCGGTGATGGCCATGATCTGCTGCAAAATGTCCCCCGTGTCCTGGAGCCCCGGGGGCGCCTGCGGCGGGGGCGGGCCCGGCGGGGCGGGCAGCCGGTGCGGAGGGGGCTCTCCGGCGCCTCCCGGAGGGGGCTGCAGACCCGCCAGGAGCCGCGACGCCTCCTCCATGGCCGGCGGGCGGGCGGGCGCGCGGGCGGCGAGCGGAGGCGCCTCAGGCCGGCGGCTGCGCGGCCCGATCCCCTCCCCGGTGGCGGCGGCGGCGGCGCGGCTCTGGCGGACGCGCGACTGGCGGCGAGCAGGCCCCGCGACCCTGGCTCCTGGCGCGCGCCCCGCCCCGCCGCGCACGGGCTCCGCCTCCGCCGCCTCCTCGCCCGTCGCCCCGCCAAGCGGCAGCCCCAGCAGCAGCAGCAGCAGCAGCGGCGCGCCTCCTCCCGCTCCCCCTCCCCTCGCGCGCCTGCCCTCCCAGCGTCCCGCCCCCTTCGGGGACAAAGCCAGTCTCTCGGCGGCCGCGGCGCCATCGCCGCCTCCCAGGGAGAAGGGGCGGGGCCGCGCCCAAGACGCCGTCGCTGACTGGCTGCCCGCCCCGCCCGCCCCGCCCCCGCGGCCCCGCCCCCCGCCCCGCCCCATCTTGGCCCTCCGGCGCCGCGGCGGGATCCTTTGGGCGCTTCTCCGCCCGGCGCCGCCCGCCCCGCCTTCCTGGGTCTCCCGCGTCCTCCGGGGGCCGCCCGGCTGGGCTTCGTGGAGGCGGCGGGCGGGCGAGCGAGGAGGGGAAGCAGCGGCCCCGAAGTCCCGGGGGGGGGGCCAGGAGAAGCGCCTGGCGGCGGGAGGCCGAGCCAGCCCTCGCTCCGCCTGGACCGAAGACGCCGATCCAGGCAGGACGCCGCTTTCCTGTCCTCCTCAAGGCCCCGCAGGCCAGCCATGCAGGGCAGAATCGGGACCCGGGTCCATCCCTCATGAGGAGCCCTGCATAAATGAGAGAACTTCCCGTGCCCAGTGAGGGAAGGCAGGATAACTTTTTGAAAATGAAAACAAATGGGAAATGCTCCTCATAATGGAAGAAGTTTGATAGGTATGTGCCACATTCTGGATGATTTGATACTCCCTCTCTATTTGTCTGCCTTCCTCACCCTGTGACAGATGGCTCCACAGAAGAAAGCCATCGTGGCCCGTCTTAGCATCTCTTGCAAAATCAGAGATTCATGCAACCACTTCTGCAACCAGGTTGTGACCATCACAATGGAAGTTGTGCTCCCTAAAATAAATAAAGTCATCATTTGTGTGCATGCATATATATTCTGGGAATCCATGCTTTGACCCATGCACCACGTTTTTCTCTCTGCCTTTATTCACAAAACACATACAGAGTTTCCATCATTCTAAGCTTCAGTTACACTCTTCTCTGCACATGGTATATTACCTCCCATGCTGGTCACAGAAACATTGAATCTTCTAGTTGGAAGGGACCCCAAGGGTCATCTAGTCCAACCCTCTGCAATGCAGGAATCTGAGCTAAAGTGACCATCCAACCTCTGCTTAAAAACCTCCAAGGAAGGAGAGTCCACCCCCTCTCATGGGAATCTGTTCCACTGCTGAATAACTCTTAGAGTCAGAAAGTTTTTTCCAAACGTTCAGTCAGAATCTCCTTGCAACTTGAAGCCATTGGTTCGAATCCTACCTTCCAGAGCAGGAGAAAACAAGCATGCTCCCTCCCCCATGTGAGAGCCCTTAAGATATCTGAAGATGACCATCATATCTCCTCCCAGTCTCCTCTTTTCTGGGCTAAACATACCCAGCTCCTTCAAGGGCTCCTCATAAGACTTAGTTTCCAGACCTTTGATCATCTTGGTTGCCCTATTTACACTTTCCAACCTGTCAACAACCCTCTTAAATTGTGGTGCCCAGATTTGGACACAGTGTTCCAAGTGTGGTCTGACCCAGGCAGAAGAGAGCAGTTCTATGACTTCCCTTGATCTGGACACTAGACTTCTGTTGATGCAGCCTAGAACAGCATTGGCTTTTTTTGCTGCTGCATCACACTGTTGACCATGGGTTGGCAAGGTTTACCTCGCCTGGGCCAATTCACTTCAGTGGAGATCCCTCCGTGGGCCGGATCATGCGCGTGCATGCCCCCGATTTCTGGCAACTGCGTCTGCGCAGACACAATTTCCGGCACTGCGGAAGCAAGTCCCTGTGCCGCGCTGCGCCGGTTTAGCATACCATGTGGGACCTTGCCAAGAGGGAGGTTTGGGGGTGGCTTGTGGGCCAGTTAAATGACCCCCGTGGGCCGCTTGTGGCCCATGGGCCTTAGGTTGCCTACCCCTGCTGTTGACTCATGTTAAGCTTGTGGTCCACCAAGACCCCTAGATCCTTTTCACATGTACTGCTAGTAAGCCAGGTGTCCCCCATTTTACATTTGCGCAGAACCTGACATTTGTCCCTTCAGAAATGCATTTTGTTAGCCTGAGCCCAGTTCTTCAATCTGTTAAGGTCATTTTGAATTCTGATTCTGTCTTCTGCAGCATTAGCCACCCCAATGGCTCAGGGAGAGGACAGAACCCTGAGGCACCCCACAAGTGAGAGCCCAGGAGTCTGAACACTCATCCCCCAATACCACTTTCTGAACACGGCCCAGGAGAAAGGAGCAGAACCACTATATAACAGTGTCCTCAGCCCCTCTAGACAGTCCAGAAGGATGTCATGGTCGATGGTATCAAAAGCTGCTGAGAGATCCAGCAGAACTAGGAAACAGCTTTCATCTTTGTCCCTAGCCCACCGAAGATCATCGACCAGCGTGACCAAGGCAGTTTCAGTCCCATGGTGAGGCCTGAATCCCGATTAGAAGGGAACCAAATGGTCCGCATCCTCCAGGTATGAGCAATCACCTGCCGATTCAGCAACCACCTGCTCAATCACCTTGCCCAAGAATGGAAGATTTGAGCCGTTAGTTCATTTTGTTCAATTATTTTAGCATATTGTTATGGTTGAAATAAAAATAAAATAATAATAATAATAATAATAATAAATTGTCCAGTTAGTAGCTCCTTATAGACCAACTAAGTTTGTTCTGGTGTAAGCTTTTGTGTACATATACACTTTTTCAGATACCTGTTGTAAGCCATTTGAGTGCCATATTTGGGCAGCAGAGGTGGGATAATTTTTTTTTCATAAAGAAACAAAATTATACAAATACAGAATTGTAAAGATTTTCTAGTACCATTATTTATTAATGTGCTGCTCTTTGTAGTTCCAATGAAGGCTTGCTTGTTTTCATTGACTCTCAACTTCTGTCTTCTTGTTTCCTCTCTTTCTTCCCTTCCTCCATTTTGCCTAGATAGTCAGTGCAAATTTGAACCATGTTTTACAGCTCTCACGATTTTCAACCTCTTAATTCTGTGCTGGATTAAATTTTGTACATTTTGCTGTTCAGTGTGGTTCAGTAACATTTGAATTCAGTCCCCCATCCCCATTTATAAATACACAGAAGCTCGCTCGTTTTCCTATTCATTCATACCAACTCAGACCCAGTTATTATAGTAGAAATGGAAAAAGCTAACTACTACATACATGAAGGTTTGATTGATTGAGAACATTACTTGTGGTTATTGTTTTCCCTGTAGATTTGAAGCTTGAGTCAGTTCAATCAATAAATGCACCAATATTAATAGGAAGGCACAGCGCTCTGCCTGGAAACCAAACATTATCCTCTGCAAGGAAGCCTGGGGAGTGCTGGGAACTCGCTCAACAACTGCATCTGCTGATTCCTTGAAATTTCCACAGATGAATATTCACAGATTTTTAGCTCAAAATGGTAAAGGCCACAGCGGCAGTCCTGCACACAGACTGCTGACATCCCACTGAAAATGGAAGTTAAGCAAGCTGTGTTCATATTTAGACAATGAATGTTACAGTGATTCAGCAAAAGTACTCCATATATAAGATTTATGAGTATCACAAAGAGGAAACATTCTGAGTTAAATTGTTTTTTACATGGGAGTAGGAGAGAGAGCAATAGCCATAATTTCAAACTAAATGTATATATTCAATTGTGCTCACTGGATATAAGCAGAGAACCTGACACTCCTCTGTGCATTACAGCACCTGATATTAAGGCAATATGAAGTAGCAGCCGCAACACTGCCAAGAGCTACAGGAATCATGAACTAGGCAGGGTGTTTAGCTGTCTGATAGGGGTAATCAGATGGGTTCTGTCACAGAACAACTCTTAAAAGTATATTCTTCAAAGATGTTTCGTAAGCTTGATGACAGGCTGGACAGTCGATGTTAAAAATACCAAAAGGTTCATTTATATAATACCTATGCTGAAACCATTTCTAGATCAGAAGCTGCTTGCCTGTTGTTTGGGAGAACAATATTCTGCAAGTGAAAATAGGACCTGCTCTCTATATTTTGGATAGCTGAGGATACATAATGCTCACTGGTGATCAGTCCATACCCTGCCTTTCCCAACCTGGTGCCTTCCAGATATTGTTGGACTACAACTCTCATCTGTCCCAGCCAGCGTGGCCAATGCTGTGTGTGTGTGTGTGTGTGTGTGTGAGAGAGAGAGAGAGAGAGAGAGAGAGAGGTCACCAGGCTGGAGAAGGCTGTGCTGGACCCATGAAGACACCTGCCTGCCTGCAGTACCAGATTTACGGATAAGCTAAACAAGCTATAGCTTAGGGCCCCACTCACTTGGGGGCCCCCAAAAAACTCATAAAACAAAACAAAACTGGATGTACATTTCCAAAATATAAGATAAAAATAAAATAAAACCTACATACAGCAACAGTGTTTTGTGTTGTGTAGGCTCCTGTGATGTAAGTAATGGGCCCCACCTGCTAGCCTGCTCCCTAAAATACCACTGGTTTGTTGTTGATAAAGGACAGCTGGACATATAAAGGGCCCCATTACGTTCAGTAGCTGAAGCAGGCTTCCTCAACCTCGGCCCTCCAGATGTTTTTGGCCTACAACTCCCATGATCCCTAGCTAGCAGGACCAGTGGTCAGGGATGATGGGAATTGTAGTCTCAAAACATCTGGAGGGCTGAGGTTGAGGAAGCCTGGCTTAGGGCCTCATCAAACCTAAATCCGGCCCTGCCTGCCTGGATGTGTCCATGGAAGAAGAATCTGGCCAGGGAGAGTGAAAGAAAGAACCAGGAGGTTTTGGAGCTAGCTGGCAAGAAGAAGGCTGCTCTACCCTGCCTCTTCTTAACACTTGGGGGAAGTCGCTGGGGCCGGGGCGGGGGGGGGATGGAGCATGAAGCAATACATTTTAGGTTTCAACTAGATTGCTGTGGTTGGGGGAGGTTGCTGACACATTGCCTGAGCACCCGCTGCTGTGCCAGCACAGACATCTGATCCTATGAACTCTGTGTAGATATTTCAGAAACCCATGCAGGCTGTGAGCCCATTCCTACCCTTGGGCTAGGGAGGGAGGGGAAGAAAAAATCCAGGAAGAAACCTAGCTGTTTTCACATCTAACAGAGCAGCACACTGTTAAGCGGAAGATCAAAACTTGATTGCAGCAATGACTTGCTCTATTAAAATGTATCATAACCTCCTCTAAGGTAAGAAGGTTCAGAGCCCAGGGAGTGATGGTGGGACAATAATGAGTGGCCAGAGGGAAAAGAGGGAGAAGACTGGGAAGGCTTTTTCGCTTGGAAAAAGCTCTGGAGAGGAGGGGACTTAGGCAGCTGTGCGGAGGAAGGGACTTTTAGTCTCAGCAACTGATGCATGGAGTAAGACCTACCAGGGATGAGCTGCTATGCTCATTAGGCCTGTCACTCTGCAAAATCTGTGAAGATCCTGGTTTTGCTAATAAAGAGTTGAGTCCAACTTTGAGTGGTGTGATTTACTGCTGGCTCTGTGACAGTAGGGGTTCCTGTGAGCAGGCTGCATGGACCCCAGAGGATCAGGGGGGGGGGTGTAGACTCAGAAAAGAGGGAGATACAGACACACTCCCCAAGATGGCCAAGTACTTAGTCCCTTTCCTGGCCCAGTAACATTTTGTCTACACTCATATAACATTTCCTTTTAAATAAGTACGGCAGTTTTTTCATATATTTTTTAATGCTATACGCTTTTCACATAGTGGAGTGGGGATGATATACATAAACCACCTTTTCCCTGCTCACAGATAATCATGTCTCTACTGGATAATGAAATGAAAAGGAATTAAATTGTAGGGCAATAGTTCACATGGATACTGCTGAGGGAGCAGGGAGCCCTATCTTCTAGTCCTGTGATGAATTACCTGCGCTTATACAAAATGGACAGGGGTATAATTAACAAGTGAATTCTTGCATGTCAGCACAACAGAAGAAAGTTCATTCTCAAGCTGAAGCCGGAAGCAGGCAACTGACCAAAGTACACAAACCTGTACATCTTGAATGCAGATCCACCCTCTTTCCTTGTGAACCACACCTTTCCTCCAAAAACCTCTATAAATTGAATTAATATTTAAGCCATAGGGAAAGATTTTTGATGCAGAAAATGAGTGTACTTGGATTATTCCAGTAGTCCATGGCTTTGTGCTGGGCCATGGGACTCATTCTTATTTTTAAAAAATAAATAAATACTACCTGCTGCTTAATTGCCCACTTTCTCTAGTTCCTTTTGTATGCTCCTGTTCCACGCAGGCAGTGTTAGTGTCACTATTGAATAGGGGCTTAACATCATCAGAGATGACGGGATGCAGGAGCTCCCTGTGCAGTTTGGGAATGTCTTCTGAAAATGTCTCTCCCCCGTCTGGCAAAGGAAGATACCAGACACATCTGATCAGATGCAGCTGCATAAGTTAATGCTCATCTAATCCCACTGGACGTAATGAGCACATTGGATGCAGATGGGCTTGTCATTTCCCATTCAAGGCCACTAGGTGCCTGCAACAACTTGCAACTAGAGGTGGATCAAAGCACAGAGAGAGTGAAATTCAGCAAAGCAGAAATACCTGTGCTTTTGAGAATGTTCATGAAACTAAAAAATAAAATAAGATCCAGAACTTTAAAGCCGACATATTCCCACAATGACAACGCTTAACTATTCAAATAAACTTTTCTTACATTACAAAGTGTACACGGCATACGTTTAAAGCAAATTATTTCCTCCAAGAATCCTGGTAACCCTAGTTTTCCCCTCACAGAGCTACAATTTCCAGCACCCTTAACCTCTGTCAGGATTATTTGGAGAAATTCATGGGGGGAGTTCAATGTAGCGCTCAGCAGATGGCCCCATCAGCGCAATCATTTCTGCTCGCCTGACAAAAAAAATCTGCCTTCTCCTCCCTTGTTCTGTTGACCCCTTCCAGAGCCAATTTGGGAGGTGTGCAGGGGGAAATGGGGAAAGGCGCTGTGCACTAGCAGAAGTCCTTGCATGGGCTTCTGTTGGCAGGACTAAGTAGTTGACCCCATCCCCATGTACTTTAAATGTGCGTTGTGTGTTCAGACTTTCTTGGGGGGACTTCTTCTCTCTACCTTTAGGACTGAACCTATCTGAAGCTGCCTTATACCAAGTCAGCCTATAGTTCTTCATCTCGTCCAATATTGTCTGCTCTGTCTTGGCAGCGACTCTCAAAGGTTTCTGCGAGAGGTCTTTCATACCACCTTAGGACTACCTGGTCCTTTTAACTGAAGATGTCAGGAACTGAGCTTGGGACTTTCTGTATACAGATACTTCCTAAAGGGCCAAGATGCCATCCCCACTGTGACAATGTTTGCAGGGTTTTTAAACTAATGTTGCAGAATCAGGGGTAGCACTATCGCAGCATAACGGGGACAAAGGTTAGAAAGCAATCCTCTGGGAAGGCTCTATGTGTTATGTACTGAAGTTCTCACCCTGGGCCAGCAGGGGGATACTGTAGATAGTTTTCACTCAGGTCCACATCAGTTATTTTAGGCGGGAAACCCTGGGTTGTTGTTGCTACAATGTTGACAGCCGGCTGCCCATAAAAGCAGGCCGGCTGAGCTGTTTGCTGCTCAGTCTGTTCCAGCTTACAAAATAAAGAGCTGCTTTGGAGAAATCGCTGTGTCGTCTGCCATGTCTACCCACTATTCTACACTGGCGACGAAGGTGGGATAGGTGGACATCAGAGCACAGCCAGATGCGGCCATCCTCTGAACAGAGCGAAATCACTGAGCAAAATCACTGGACAGAACCAATTCAGAGCTGACTGTTCTGGCTAGAGCACTGTGTTCCATCCATCACCCTTCACGCCGGCATTGGAATCATGGCTTCACTTGTGCCTCTACTGCCGTTTGCGCCAGCCTCTGAATCATGGGACTCCTACCTCGCTCGGTTCGATTGCTACCTCCAAGCCAACGAGCTGACAGCAGTATCAAATGAACGGAAGCCAAAAAGAATGGGGGAAATTTATTGTGTATGTGTACAGAAATACTGCAAACAAGTTGGTACACTGGCAGGTTTAGATTAAGCACTTGTTAGTAAGGAATTAGAGAATGTAAAGGTGTAACAAATGAATAAAAATGATAACAAAATGCTGAGAATGATGTAAAAAACCAGTAGAAGGGGGTGAAAGGAAGTCTTGAGGTTTAAAGAACCTCAAAAAAGTTGGTAAAATAGTAGGATTTTTTATTAGAGGTATAAATGTTAGATGGTGGTTTGATTTTTGTATCCTTATTTTATTATTTTTGTAAAAAAAAAAAATTACCAAAAAAATGATTTGAAAACGATCAAATCATTGTTTCTTCCTTGTTCCTTGTTTCTTCCTTGTTTTTAGTGGTTTTTTTGTGAATAACATTCCACATCCTTCTGTTTGTTGAATTCTTCTCTCCGTACTCCCCACCCCCCTCTGCAGCCCATGGTCTTTTGCATTTCCCAAACGCCTACACTGACAAACTGGAACGTGTCCAGAGGAGGGCAACCAAAATGGTCAAAGGCCTGGAAACGATGCCTTATGAGGAACGGCTAAGGGAGCTGGGCATGTTTAGCCTGGAGAAGAGGAGGTTAAGGGGTGATATGATAGCCATGTTCAAATATATAAAAAGGATGTCACATAGAGGAGGGAGAAAGGTTGTTTTCTGCTGCTCCAGAGAAGTGGACACGGAGCAATGGATCCAAACTACAAGAAAGAAGATTCCACCTAAACATTAGGAAGAACTTCCTGACAGTAAGAGCTGTTCGACAGTGGGATTTGCTGCCAAAGAGTGTGGTGGAGTCTCCTTCTTTGGAGGTCTTTAAGCAGAGGCTTGACAACCATATGTCAGGAGTGCTCTGATGGTGTTTCCTGCTTGGCAGGGGGTTGGACTCGATGGCCCTTGTGGTCTCTTCCAACTCTATGATTCTATGATTCTATGAACTGCCGCTGCCCGTCTGGAACCACGACTGGCCAAACCGACTCGCCTACGCGACACAAGCTGAACGTCATGGTGCTCATTGAAGGAGCTCCATGTGACATGGAGATCGACACCGGGTCTGCCCTGTCCATCGTGTCTTGGAGCACCATCAAAAGACTGGTACCCAGAGTGTCCAAAAGGCAACTTGACTCTCACCGCGTACACCTGAGAGACTACCAGGGAAACGACATTCCCGTGGTAGGCGTTGGCCGGTTCCGGATCGCCTTCAAGGGTTTTTCGGGCCTGCTCTGACTGGTGGTGGTCGAAGGTCAGCGGCCAAGCCTCCCAGGGCTAGACTGGTTTGATGCCCTCGGCCTGGAAGTTACCGGCATCAACTGCATCTCTAACGCAGAGACTGAGGGTCTTGTCAAAGACTTTGCCGAGGTTTTTGACTGCACTTTGGGGCAATATACAGGTACGCCCATCTCCTTTAGCCTTGATCCACAAGTCGCCCCCATCAAGCTAAAGCCACGCCGGGTTCCCTTTGCTCTCAAGGCTAAGGTGGGCGAACAACTGGACAAGCTGATCGCCCAAGGAGTTTTGGAGCCGGTTGACCACGCCAAGTGGGAAACTCCCATCGTCACGCCTGTCAAGCCAGACGGGTCGGTGAGAATCTGCGCTGACTACAAGTGCACGATCAACAAGGCACTTCAGCAGCACGCTTATCCGGTTCCTGTTGTCCAACACCTGCTGCATTCCCTGGGTGAGGGTAAGGTCTTCGCTAAGCTGGACCTTGCCCAAGCCTATCAACAACTGCCCGTCGATGATGCCACTGCTGAAGCCCAGACGATCGTCACCCACCGAGGGGCATTCCGTTGCCGCCGGTTGCAGTTTGGGGTGAGTGTGGCTCCTGGCATCTTCCAAAGCCTTATGGAGCGTCTCCTGCAAGGGCTTCCGGGCGTGGTACCATATTTTGATGACGTCTTGGTGTCCGCAGACTCACACCAGCAGCTGTTCGAGCGCCTCCGTGCCGTGCTGACCAGGTTCCAAGAGGCCGGGCTCAAGGTAAAGAGGGAGAAGTGCCAGATCGCCGTTCCACAGGTAGAGTTCCTGGGCTATCTTATCGATGCCTCCGGCCTTCACCCGACCACATCCAAGATCCGCACTATCCAGCAGGCCCCCATCCCAAAGAACAAGACGGAGTTGCAGGCGTTTCTGGGGCTGCTGAACTTTTATAACATGTTCCTGCCCCACAAAGCCACGGTGGCTGAGCCTCTTCACCGACTCCTCAGCACAAAGACGCCTTGGTCCTGGGGTCATTGGGAGACGGCGGCCTTCAACGCGGTCAAGGCTCTCCTTTCATCGGACCGTGTGCTGGTACAGTACAGTGAATCCAGGCCACTGGTCCTTGCCTGTGACGCCTCACCTTTTGGCATCGGTGCTGTCCTTAGTCCCCGTTTTCCAGACGGAAGAGAAGCACCGCTCGCCTACTTTTCCAGGACGCTATCTCCGACGGAACGGAATTACAGCCAGCTCGACAAGGAGGCACTGGCACTTGTGGCTGGAGTGAAGAGGTTCAATGAATACCTCTACGGCAGGACTTTTGACCTCATCACTGACCACAAGCCGCTCCTGGGCCTCCTCACCGGTGATCGTCCAACTCCACCGGTCCTCTTGCCGCGCATGCTGCGATGGACTGTTTTCCTGGCTGCCTACCACTACCGGCTCGTCCATCGCCCGGGGAAATCGATGGGCCATGCTGACGCCCTCAGCCGTTGCCCTCTTCCAGCTTTTGTGGAAGACCAGGCTCCAGCTTCATCACTCCTCCTGATTGAGGATCTTCTGGCAGCACCTGTATCGGCTGCCACTGTGGCCTCCGCATCTGCCCAGGATCGCACCATCAGCCGTGTGCTCAACTGGGTGTGGAGGGGGTGGCCACAAGGGCCTTTTGCATCGGAGTTCCAGCCCTTCGCAACCAGACAACATGAACTCTCGGCTCATCGCGGCTGTCTGCTGTGGGAAGACCGCGTCGTGATTCCCCAAAGACTCCGTCAACGCGTCCTGGAGGCTCTGCACGTTGACCACCCGAGAATTGTCAAAATGAAGGCGTTGGCTCGGTGTTACGTCTGGTGGCCTAACATGGACGATGCCATCACTGCCTGGGTGTCCGCCTGTCAAGCGTGCCAAGAATCGAGGCCTGCACCACCAGCAGCTAAGGGACACACCTGGGAGACGCCAAAGACACCCTGGTCGAGGGTGCACATTGATCTGGCTGGCCCCTTTCACGGCCGGACCTTTATGGTAGTGGTGGACGCCTATTCCAAATGGCTGGAGGTGGCCCTGATGCCCTCCACTACTACCGAGGCCGTCATCCAGGTGCTGCGAGGCCTGTTTGCGACGCATGGGTATCCTGATGTCCTTGTCTCCGACAACGGACCGCAGTTCACGTCAGGCACTTTTGAGCGGTATCTTTTGGGACTGGGCATCCGCCATGCCCTAACGGCACCCTTTCATCCATCCAGCAACGGGCAAGCGGAGAGAATGGTGCGCTCAGCAAAAGAGGCACTGGCGCGTCTGGACCGGGGAGACTGGCACGAGCGGGTCGCTGAATACTTGTTCGTGCAACACATCACCCCTCATGCGACCACAGGGCGGAGTCCTGCTGAACTGCTTATGGGCCGCCACCTCAGGTCACCGCTCGACCGGTTGCACCCGGACTTTGCCGTGGCTGAACCCCCAGGCTGTGCCAACGCGCCACGGTCATTTGTTCCAGGAAACCAGGTCTTTGCCCGGAACTATGTGGGGGACATTCCTTGGGTGCCAGCCACAGTAGTGGGAGTCACTGGACCTCGCTCGTACCAGGTGGCACTCGAAGACGGACGCTTGTGGCGCCGACACATAGACCAGCTTAGGAGCAGGGCTGGGGACTTGGACACTACCGTGGTGCCCCCAACTGCGCTCGTGGCTCCAGAAGAGACACTTACATATGGCGAGGCTCCACCTACGCCTCCCTCGCAAACTGCCAGCGTGGAGCCGAACCAAGCCGCTTCAGAGGGTCTGCCAGACTTACCACAGACTCAGACCACTCCACTTGCGGAGGCTCCACCCACAGCAGCGGATCCAGGGAATTTGGTTTCAACGCCACCTAGGGTCGCACCACAGCCCCAGCAAGAATTGTGTGGCCCCCGGGACTCGGCTACCAGTCCCCGGCGGTCTGGCAGAGTTTCCAAGCGCCCAACGTATTTAAAGGACTATGTTGTTGGACATGTATCACTGTTGGTCTAAGTATGGGAAATGTAACCGATATGCTTTTGTGCCTAATTGAACCATTACGTGTAGTGCTGTATATAAGGAAACCATTACGATTGTAACTAACGCCTTATCTCGGTGGGGAGGGGTGTTATGTACTGAAGTTCTCACCCTGGGCCAGCAGGGGAATACTGTAGATAGTTTTCACTCAGGTCCACATCAGTTATTTTAGGCGGGAAACCCTGGGCTGTTGTTGCTACAATGTTGACAGCCGGCTGCCTATAAAAGCAGGCCGGCTGAGCTGTTTGCTGTTCAGTCTGTTCCAGCTTACAAAATAAAGAGCTGCTTTGGAGAAATCGCTGTGTCGTCTGCCATGTCTACCCACTATTCTACACTATGGATCCTTAGCTTTGGTGCCCAGAACTGATAAAAGAATGACCACATCTTTCCCATGTACTCATCCTCAAAAATGTGATGAAGGGTTCAGCTAAAGCATCCACAAACTCTCTTTAATTACTGGATGAGTGTCTGGCTTTAGAAGCAGAGAAATCTAGTACTGTGTGCCCTTCCCAGATTATGTAAGACAAAAGCATCATTTATTGAAAGAAAAATCAAGTAAGGTCAAAGGATTTTTATTTTTATTTTAAGTAATGCACGACAGCTCTTAGCTTCAACTTCTCTGTTTCTTAACAGGGGATGGGTTAGGGACAATCATTGGCAAGACAGCAAAAGAAGAAACACACATTCACCAGAAAATTCCATGATCTAAAGCCATCATACCCTGAATGGTCCAGTCATAGCTGCCCAGAGTAGAACTGCCAACATTTGATGCGAAAAACACTGTCCCTTAGGCAGGAACTGGAGGCAGAGAAAGGACAGGAAGAAGTATAACTGAGATAGCCTCCAGATGACCTGTTTACTGAGCCTTCACATTTAATTATTTGCACAATGTTTGCAGGGAGGTTGACGCTGCAGCCTGATTACTGATTTGTTTGAGGAGAGCTATTACGATGCTGTGTCACCCAGTTGTTATCCTGTACCTTTCAGTGCTTTGGCCCCTCACTTTCTCATTGGAAAAAGTTGTGTTTGCTTGTTGTGCCCAGACTACTTTCAACTGTGCAACCTGAATGTACCAGTACAGTATGTGATTGAATCCCACCCGAAATACCAACAGTCCTGGAAGTGCCCAGAACCTGTCAAGTCAGGTGAAGCCAATATGGAATCTGGTGGGTTGAGGGCAGAAATGGGGAGAACCTGGGGGTGGAGCCCAGCACAATCTGGGAAGCCAGGGTGGAGCTTCCTGGCTTTTCAGATCCCAGCACTGGCTAGCAAATAGAACTGATTGCACAGAAAAAATACTGCCTGGTTTGCAGCTTTGAAGTCAGAGGTTTCCAGATGCATGCGCAAAACAAGCTGGAGACTTTGAGCTCAGAATGAAAGAATATACTTAATGATCCCTTCCAAGCCATTTACATGAGGAGACTGAAGCACAGAGATGGCTCCAGGAGGCAGAGAGGAGGAGTGTCCCCACAGGAGACCCACCACCCAATTTGCCACCCTAGCTTTCAGTCAAGTAATATTGAATGTTGATGTTGGTATCTGTCTGTCTCGACAAACAGTGGAGTGAGCCTCTGTGTGCTGGTCCCGGGGGCTAACCGAGAGGCGAGGTCCGAGTCCAATCCGAGGTTGATGGTGCACTATGAAGGCAGTCCGTAGAAGTTGAAGCTAGGTGCAGGGTGAGGGCAGGAGCTCCGACAGGGAAGCAGGTCAGGGATCAGGCTGGAACCAACAACCAACGATGTTGCCCACAACTTGGGACTGGGGCTGGCTGGCTTTTATCTCCCCCGAGGCATAGGGTGGACCCGATCATCAGGTGACTCGCCTCCCCTGGCCTGGAGGCGAGCACTCCTCCTGCGGGAACTTAGTTCCCTCCACCTCTCTGCCCTGAGCCTCTGCAGCTCAGGAGAGGCTGGAGGGTTACTAGACCCAGAGGCAACCTCAACTTCCTCTGACATGGCTGAGGGTGGAGCACCTGCAGGCAATGGGTCCTCCATCCCCTCAGG